GATAAGTCGGAGGTGATCCCAGTGGATGAGGAGGTGGAGGGAGAGCTGCCGGCTGGCTACACGCGTGTCGGCTTCAGCGTCATCTTCGAGGGCGAGCTGTGGGAGCGGGTGGTGAGGGAGCGCTTGCAGGCGTTGACGGACGCTTTCCGTGCCGACACAGCAAGCGCCGTAAGTGCTGAAGTGGTGGACATCCACATTCGTGAGTACGTCGTGAGCTCAGAAAGCGCGATGGTGCACTTCAGCGCGCAGTTTCACGAGTCGGTCGATGAGGCGGGGCTGCGGGAGAAGATCGACGACAACCCGTACGAGGACGTGTGGGCGCTGTACGACGAGATGGAGGAGGAGGAGGCCGGCAGCGTCGCCGCCACGGCGCTGGTGAAGCGCTTCGACGGCACCGACTGGGACCTCGCCATGGAGGCGTACCGCGACGTGCTGGAGGAGACATTCCGCGAGGACACGGCTGATGTGCTGCAGATGCGTGCGGAGCACGTGACGGTGGACAGTATGGCGGTGGGCAGCCTCATAGTGCACTTCCGCGTCAGCTCCGTGGACACGCCGGTGGAGACAATCACATCGCTCGTGGACAACTACGCGTACCCGAAGGTGTGGGCGCTCTACCTCTCGCGCGAAAGCGAAAGCCGCCGCACCTCGGTGCAGCTCTCCAACACGCGCGCATCGCGCAAGGTTGAGCCGTTGGTGGTCGAGGAGGGTCTTGAGTCCGAGGATTCGGTGACGTACCTTCGCAAGGCCCTCGCCGACGCCCGCCGCGACCGGGACATGTACATGGAGCAGGCGGAGAAGGCGGAGGAGGAGGTGCAGCGGTCGAGCCAGCGGGCGAGTCAGTACCGCAAGTAAGTCAGGAGGTCACTCATTGAGTTTTTTCACGTGGCCGCTTTTCGTTACGCCGGGCGCAAGGCAAAAGGAAGGAAGGCGGGTGAAGTGCGGTTTGAGGGTTTTGGTTGAAGACGAACGGCGGTCTGTATTATGTGGGTCTCCAGCAGACGAACGAAACTACCTTCATGCGTGTGCAGTTCAGCACGATGTTTGTTTTTCCTTTTCTTTTTGTCGCCTTTTATGCTGTGGCGGCACTGCCGGCTCGTTGTCCTTACGGCTCCTCTCCTTCCCTCCTGTTTTTTTTTTTCTTTGGGCGAAGGTGGGCCGACCCAGCGAAGCGTTTCCTTTTACGTGTTTGTTGCTGTTGGACCTTCGCGTTCTCCTTTCTTGTCAACCCGCAGACATCTACATGGAAGAGGAAAGGTGAAGAAGAGACGTTACTGAACCAAAGTGGACGTTTATTCCGATATATATATTTTTCCCAGTCTCATATTTATTGTTATCCTTAATCCTCGTTGGCAGGCAGAGGTCTCCCCCAACGGAACAACAATAGCAACGAAAGTTGTGGTATTCGTGATGTAGCTGATTTGAGTCGACCGTGCATTGTCTCGTTTCCCTTCACCTCACCGTGCCAACAGCTGTTGCCCTGCATCGTGTGCAGAAGAATGGAAGTTTTCTTTTTCCTTTCGTTTCTCTTCCGTTGACATGCTAATGACACCAACATCTCCTTCGGAAAAAAAGGTTCTCGGTTTCGTTTTTATTTTTTCCCTTCTTCTAGTTCAATGGAGCTGTACCGGATTCATCGTTGTTTTCTTTTTTGAAGTTTTGGCTTTAAAGTTTTTGTTCGCCTCATTGTTATTCCATTACATGTGTTTGGGCAGATCAAACAAATAAGCACCACTAACGGCAAAGATCACCATCACAGAATGCTATCGCTGCATCCAATGAATGCGACGTACGCGAGACTCCGTTTGAAAAGTGCTGTCTTCTCTGATGTGTGTGCTCTGCTTCGCGGGTTACTATACTCAAAACAACTACTCCCACAGAAACGGTGGATGTTCTCGAACACTTCACAAGACAAGTATTGTGGCTGCGCTGCTTAGCTGAAGAAGCGACAGCACCTACAATTCGTGCCACGCGTCGTCAGGATTAACCAACAGGGTTTGTTTTAAAAACCAATGTTTCCCATCCTCTTCCCATCCTCTTCACTTGCGCTGTCGTCTTCTCCTTCTCACTCCCCATGACTGCACTTTGGCCTCCGAATTCGTGCTGTCTTGACGCACACCTGCAATCTGCCGTCGTTTCACTCACCGTACCGCAGAGCACAGCAAAATCATTGTACGCTAATTATCCCCTTTTCGTTTTTTTCCTAGTTCAATTCTTTTCCACCTCTCCCTGTTCAGCTTGTAGGCAACTTTTTTAGTGAATACATCGAAAGAAGTTTACGCAGACAGCGAACACTAGCGGAGCTCGTTTCGACAGAAACGCAAAACAAAAGCCCAGCAACTACTACAGTTTCTTCTCTATATACTCTCTTTGTTTCTCTTCTATTTTCTCGGGTACAAGAGAAAAGCAAGACATGTCGGAGTCTGTTTCCTTTCACTCTGAGGAGGGCGCTGATGCCAACGTCGGCGCCGTCGTGCTCGGCGACCGCACCGACCTCCACATCGGCGACTATGTCGGCTTCGAGCGCATCTCCCCCAATAGGGAGTGGAAGCTGTCCCTCGGCAAGGTGATCGGCTTCCCCTCCACCCGCACGGTGAAGGTCGCCCACTACGACGCACAGAACGTGTCAACAGTCGCGCAGGACCCCAACTCTGAGAGGGAGGTGCGCGATAAGGCGGAGGCGGAGAACAAGATGGACATCTGGCACAACCGCGAGGCCCTCCGCGAGGATTTGCTGGCGGCCGCCGCGAAGGAGAAAGAGGCGACGGAGCGGCTGTTCGCGGCGCGCGACGTCACCGCCGTGCGTCAGCAGGCCGCCGGCGAGAAGGTGGCGGAAACGCTGGAGGCGCTCGACGCGGCTCGCCGCGACCTCCGCGCCATCCCGGCGAAGGAATGGAAGGAGGTGCGCAATCCATGCGAGCCGACCACCGAGATCGCCGGCCTCATCCGTTCCGTCATGCTGGTGCTCTACGAGGACAACGTCACGGTGTGGGAGGACATGCAGGAGACGATGCGCCGCCCTGACTTTTTGGACCGCCTCGTGAGCTGGGACTGCACCGTCACCCCGATGTCCATCACGCGCCGCAAGAAGATCGTCGCCCTCTGCTCCGGTGAGAAGGAGGAGACGCACGCGAAGAAGCGCCGCCGCTCCGACTCGCGCAGCCCGACCTCGGCCCACCTCGTCGTTCCATCGAAGGGCGCTACGAAGTGTGCGTTCCCCACCCTCGACGTGAGCATGCGCAGCTGGCTGAACGCCCAGCTCGCCTGCTCTGAAGCCGCGCGGGCGCAGGAGAACGTCATCAACGACTGCTTCGTCGAGCAGCAGGAGCAGCGCGTGCTGTTGCGCGAGATCAACGACATGCGCATCGGCGTCTCCTCCATCGAGTACCAGATGCTCGAGATGAAGAACGCCATTCTTGGCATCTCCGACACGCCCAAGGCGATCATGCCGCTCGACGCCTACCCGGTCGACACCGTCTTCTACAAGCGCACCTACCCGGACAGCGAGGGCCGCTTTGTGCAGGAGGTGATTCTACGCGAGTCCGTCGTCATCAACTTCGGCCCAATGGCTGATGAGGACGCCGACGGCTACGTGCGCCTCAACACCGCCCAGGCGGATCTTCTGCGCAACGCCGTCATCACGGCGAACGTCCGACATGACGCAGAGGAAATGGAGGAGCTGCTGGCTCGCAAGGAGCGCGAGGAGCAGGAGATGGCGGAGCTCAAGGCCCGCATCGACGAGCTGCGTGGCAAGTCCTCGCTGACCGCCGAGGAGGAGGAGGAGTTAGCCCAGCTGGAGAAGCTGCTCGCCGATGCGGAGCGCCGCCACCACGCGACGCTCTCTCGCATCGCCGACCTCTACGCCTGCGGCCGCGGCGCGCGCGAGATTACGGTTGCGATTCGGCGCCCCGAGTTCCGCTACACCCGCCTGCACTGCAAGATGTCCGGTGACTGGGACATGATCCTCAACGACCCGGAGCGCTACAACGAGATGGTGGCCGCCTTCTCGGCCGATATCTCGAACATGTTGAACGTGCCGGCGCAGAACGTGCTCGACATCGACGCGCGCAGCGGCTCCTTGCTGATCGACTTTACCGTGAAGCACAACGGTGACCTCGACGATGAGGAGCTGCAGGGCCTGGTGAACAAGGGCCAGTTCCCGAAGCTGGCCATGTTCTACGAGAAGGTCACCTTCAAGAAGACGTCGCCCCTCAACACGAGCCAGCAGCAGGAGGCGTGGGACGCGGAGCAGACTCAGTCCATGCCGTTGCCCATCTCGGGCATGGGTATTCGCCAGACGCTGGCGGACTACTACAACGCCGACGGCACCCTCGACGAGGAGTTTAGCGCGGAGGTGCGAGGCCACCCTGACTACCGCAAGTGCGTCATCACGATCCCGCCGCTGCGCGAGGACTATGACCAGGACCTCGTGAACGGGCCGTTTGAACAGTACGCCGAGGATGAGGAGGCGCCCGATGCGGAGATCGCCGCCGCCTCGGTGGCCGCCTCCACCGTGCAGCGCGAGTTGGCGGATGAGCCGGTTGGGGAGTCGCTGCCGCCAACGCAGATACCGCCTCACGCAGCAGCCGAGGAGGCTCCCGCTGCGGCACCCGCGGCGGAGGAAGCGGCGCTCGAAGAAGAGCCCGCGGGGGCGCTGGCTGCTGCTGAAGAATCGGCGACGGCGCCCACTCACTCAAAGACTTCCTCGAAGACCGCGTCGAAGGCGTCGTCCAAGAAGAACACTCCTGCGGAGGTCACTGATGAGCTGTAAGAATAACAGTAATCATGATAGGGTGGGAAGTGTCGGATGAACGGAAGAGAAGACAGTACGATCAAAACACGCAGACGTGACTTGACGTGGTCTTCTTCTTTTTCCTTTGGACCCCTCGATTCCCCCCTCTCGTTTTTATTCGCAGTTTTTTCTTGCCGGCGACTCCAAATTAAAAAAAAAATAGAAAGAAAAAGAGGAAAGGAAGAACAATCCGTATCAACATGTTCGTGGTTTGTTGTTTTTGATGTGATTTCCGGCCGCAGCGAAAGCTCCTGACGCGCGGGCTTTCCTTTTTCCCCTTTTCAATCCAATAGCGATTCCTGTACTTCCGATTTTCCTTTTACTTTTTGGACTACTGTCATTGAGTTTATATGTCTCGTACATCAGGTTTTCCCTCTTCTTTTTCCCGTATTGTACTTGATGCGTGTGTGTGTGTGTGTATGGTTGAGCTCCTGTATCTCTCTTTTCTATTATTATTTTCTTCTTTGTTTTCCCCCCATTTTCATTTCGTTTTTCGTCCTCTTTGTTGTGGTGGGGGAGGTTGGAACGCCACTGGTAGAAGCCGCGGCGCCAAGCAGAAAGTCATGGTGTCCGTGACCTACGCTGAATTGCCGCATCTCGCGCGTCTATCTGCATGTGCTTGTGTAGTCGCTGTTTTTTGTTTTCTGTTGTTGCTGCTCCCCCTTGTTGTGAATGTGTTTCTATACTGTACGCATTTGCACAGCCGTTGACCGAAGGGGTCGCAGATGTGGAGGGAAGGGAGGCACCAGCGGGGTTTGGCACGAAAGCAAAACAAAACAAGAGGAGGAAGGGCAAGTCCGTGTGCGAAAACCTGCTGCTCCTCTTAGCTGTTCAATTCTATCCGTTTTTTCTTGTTCTAGTATTTTCCCCTTTTCACTTCGCAAAGCACTGAAGGAAGAAGATGCGCTGAGGTGCCTTTGACCTTCCGCGATCGCGCACGAAGTACGCCCGTCAGACGTGAGGGAGTTATCGTTGTATCTACATGCTTTGTCAGCGACAGAACATGCTGTCACGTCCTGTACCGCATTGCGGTCAGGTGTCGCTGGCGCCTCGCATTTCTTGTTGTTTTATCTCTCTCCGTTTTGGCTTTCGAAACTCGTGCGTCAAGAAAGCTTTTCGTTCTCTTCCGGGTTTGAAGGTTAAAAAAAAAGAGTTATACGTCTCCTTTGTTTTTGTCTCGTTGACGTTAGTAGCGGAGTAAAACACAGAAAATGAAGAGACGAAACGAACAATACTGTCGCCACACGCATCGCCGCAGGCGGACTTGTGGAGCTTCAGCGCTGGGTTGGTGGTTTTGATGGTGTGCGCATCAGCAAGGGAGCCACACTTGCTGATGTCCCACCGCACAGCGAATAATCATACTTCCTTTTCTGCTTTCTTTTGATGGAGAAGCAGTGGAGTATTTCTACCCGTTGTCGTCGCTGTCTCGTGTGCTGTGGTGCTACGCAAGACAACGCAGGAACAGCGGCGGAGCAGGAGAGCAAGATCTCGTTGTTTTGCGCTGTGTGCGTGAGCGACCAGCCACCGGCGCTAAAAACAGCGGAGGCCTTCTTTTTCTGCTCCGTGAACTGTGGAACGAAAAAGCGAAACAAGAAATCTGGCTTGCCTGACCACTTGTATCTCTGTTGTTTTTCCTACTCTTTATTCCTCATTGCAGGGTATAACCGGGTTACCTCATCAAACTTTAAAGGAAGCAGTACTTCTACGTCGGAGAGACTCCGTGCTTTCCTATCCGCGTTACGCTTCTCTCTTCTGAAAGTGCTCTCTTCACAGCTCATCACAACAATATTATCGTGAGTGTTCTGAAAACTGCTCTTTTCGAGATTTCTGTCAACGTTTCTCGGTCTCTCTTTTCTGGGCGTTCTCATGCGTGGCTTTGCAGCATATCAACGAAGTAGCGGCCGTCGGTGCTCCGTCCGCGGAGGTGCTGCTGCTCTCGTGCCCCTCCTTAGCTCCTCTCGGTGGTTTGTCTGTCCACCGTCCTTGTCGTTCGCAGCGCCTCGGCCCACCACGTCTGCGGTACTTCGCGCACCACGACAAACACCTTCTAGCTGTTGGCGTCTTGCCTCGCTCTCTGCGCAGCGCACTCGGGCCACCACTCCTCTCTCCCTCTGTGCTCGCTGGGCATCCAACTCCGCCCGCAGCGGGGGCAAGGATATCGACATCGTGGACCAAGAAAAGCCAATCCACATCCGTGTGGCGGAGCAGAAGGACAGTCAGATTTACACCTACAACGAGTACGTCGAGAAGCATGAGATGGAAGAGCGGGCGGGGCGTACGATAAGCGAGGCCGTCGATGAGATGCGCGACAACCCGGCGTGGATGCTGTGGGCGCTGGGCTTTCTCACGTTGGGGGTGATGACAGTGGTCGTGTCGATCCGCGTGCGTCGCGAGCAGATGCGCTTTGACCCCAAGCTGCGCGCTGTGAAATCCTTCGATAGCCCCGAGGGCCCCAGCATTGGCGGTCCGTTTAATCTAATGGACGTGAAGACGGGCAAGCGTGTGACGGACGAGGACTTGAAGGGCAAATGGCTTTACATTTACTTTGGCTTCACGAACTGCCCCGATGTGTGCCCGGAGGAGATGGCGAAGATGGTGCGTGTGATTAACCACTTGGATAAGAAGGTTGGCAAGGATTATTGGCAGCCGATCTTTGTCTCATTGGACCCTCGCCGCGACACGCCGGAGAAGATCCGCGAGTACCTCAGTGACTTCTCGCCGCGCATTATGGGACTGGTCGGCACCCAGGAGGAGGTGGAGGAGGCCGCGCGGCAGTACCGTGTGTACTTTGCCGTCCCAGATGAAGAAGCGATGTCGGAGGACGACTATCTGGTGGATCACTCCATTATTATGTATCTGATGGACCCTGCCGGCAAGTTCAGCGACTACACCACGAAGGAGTTTCAGTGGTTTGAAAGCTACAGCAAGCTGCTCCGACGCATGATGGACTACGAGCGAAATAAGGCGACAGAGGAGCAGCAGCGTGCCCTGCGCGGGGAAAAGGTCGTTGAGGAGGGCGAGACGCCTGCAAACTTGCAGATCGCGAATGTGGCCTCGATGATGGACAACGCGGAAGCGCAGGCGGCCCAAGAGGCGGCTCTGACGAACCAGCCGAAGGGACTGTCCTCTCTCCGCAACGGAGGAGAAGATGATCGAGGAAGAGAGGAGAAAACTGCATGAGCGGAGAGACAAAAACAGCAAGGGGAATAAACAGAAAAGACGTGGCTGTGCGCACGGCGGCTTTCCTCTTTGCGCCATGCAGTAACGATTTTTTTTCTGAGGCTTCCGTTTCGTTCTGCGAGCATCGCGTATCTGCATCGCCACTTCCAACGGTAGGCCACCAGGCGTGGCGAAGATGACGATGTCAAGAAGCGCTGGTGAGATGCACCGCAAGCGTCGTAGGCGGTGTCGGCCTTTTTTGTTTGTTTCTTAATCGTTTGTGAGTGCGCACGCTTGAAGTGTCACTGACAAAAGAACAGGGTCTCGACTGTTGTTTTCAATCGGGTTTTTGGACGTCGCCTTCTATCGCCGAGGTGGAAGGCTGGGAATCACAGCAGAAAACGCCCGACTTCACAGGTTTCTTTTTTTTTTCTTGCTTTCACTCTTCAAAGCCAGCAAAACACGCTCCTACACCAACACGTACAAACGCACCCTATCATAAAAAGAAAAAGGTCACATCACTTCTCCTTTCACGCTCTTTAGGATGTAGAGTGAATCGAAAACCAAGGTGCCTGCGCCACTGTCCTGTGTGAAAACCACCGTTCATCAAGCCGTTGAAGAGGCGGGGGGGGGGGAGGGAGGGAGGGAGGGCACAAAACATTAAGAAAAGAAAATATATGTTTTGTTGACCCGCACTACGAAGGCGCAACGTGTACTTCCCATAATGGCTGCTTTTGGCTGATTCCGGGGAGGTGAACCGGAGTTCGGATTTTTGCTCTGCCGCGTCATCGCTCTCTTTTTTCGTCCCTCTTTTTCCTTTCTTTTTTCTTCTTCCAAATCTTCTTTTTCCTCCGTACACGTACACGTACACAATTGTTGCGTTTGCTGCTACGACGCACTTTCACGCCCGACCGCTTTCGGGTTGTGTGAAGGATAATAATTTTGTATCCTGCTGTAGAAAGTTTTCCCACTTGTGTTTTTCTCTTTCCTCTTCGTTCCCTTGCTTTCGTACCACTACCACTATTCCCACCCCATACAACGCATTCGTATACATACTTTTCCCTTTTATTTTCTTCACTGTGCTTTAACTTTCCTTCATTGTTATTTTCACGTTGTGTGAGTGCTGTTTCTTCTTCTCCCTTTTCTGTTTCTCTCTCGTTGCTTCGCGCAAGAAGAATAATTGAAAGAGCTAAAAAAAACCCTCTTTTGCACCGCCAGCAAAGCTTTTTCTTTTGCAAACAAAATCCCCACAAACCATCAATCTCTATCTATCTGTCATCATGTCTCGCCGTGAAAGCTGCGTCTGGCACCCGATGCCCGACGAGGTGCGCCGCTCGTCTGTGCAGTCCCGCCGCGCCTCCCTCGCCGCCGGCCGCCGTAAAAGCACGAATACGAACGAGCCCGATTGGGAGGTGGAGGCCCCGCCGACGCCGCCGCACGACGACTACACCCCACGCAACGGCGAGGCCGCCGCGGCTGCCGCGGGTAGCGCTGGTGCTGTTGCCGCTGCTGCCACGCAAGACAAGGACCACACCCCGGTAGAGAACGAGAATGCCGCCGGCGCTGCCGCCGAGGACCGCGAGGCCGCCGTGTCCGTCAAGTCGGAGGAGCCGACGGAGCCGTCAGAGGGGGAATGTGCCCTGCAGGGCGGCGCGCAGGAGGATGCCGAGGCGAGCGGCCGTGGCCGCACCCGTCACATCGTTCGCTTCCACGGTGATAAGTGGGCGAAGGTGCTGCGCAAGAAGCGCTCCGAGATCGAGGCGGCCTTCCTGGAGGATATCAAGGACTCCGCCAACGTCGAGGCAGAGGAGGCGAAGCGCGTGAAGATCAAGATGCACGAGTGCATGGAGGTGACCTTTGTGCTGTACAGCGAGAGCCGTGCACGACAGAAGAAGATCCACGCCGCTCTGCAGAAGTACAACTTCCCCAAGACCTGCCGCATCTACACAACTTTCCAGGCGTAGGGACATTATAATTCTTCTTTTTTTTGTTTCTAGGCCCTCCTTTTGTTTTTGCATATTTACATCGTTTCTCTTGCCCATTTTCCCTCTTGTTTTTAAAAGAAAAGGACTCTTCTTCTTTCTCTGGCGTTTTCGGATCCCCTCACTGTTTTCGATTTGTGTACCCCATTCGCCCCTCGGAGTGACTTCCTGTGGCTGCTCTTCTTCTCGCGTGTACGCGGTGCGATGGCACGACCGCGTGTGGGGAGTGCGGGCGCCAAGTGTTCGGAGCTCGCGTGGGATGCCGCGATAGAGGAAGGGCGAGAAGGTGTGGCGCGGCAGGTGAATGGGCTCCCAATACAGTGCTGTTTTTTCCTTCTTGCTCGAAATACGAGAAAACGGTGTTTTGTCTTCATTAACCACAGATTGTTTATATATGTATATGTTTTGCAGTGCAAATTCGTAGAGCGGGGATACCTTCTTTTACAACAACAACTACAGAGAAAAGCCACCATAGGTTATGAGAGCAGTCTTTTTATTATCTTCTTTTTTTTCCTTTGTTTCTATAGTTGGTGTTTTAACTCGGGAGTAGCGGCGAAGGTGCGGCAGCTGGATAATGTATACAGATGCGGGTGCATTACATGTCCGACTGAACAACTGTGAAGCGCTTACATTGCTTTTCTTTTCCTTCTTGTGTCGCCCCGACAATGTAGCGAGTCCTCTACGAGAGGTTTTTTTTTTGAAGTGCCCAATACACTTTTGACGGCTCTGCGCTGGTGGAGGCGGAGCATTCAATTTCTTGTTTTTTGTTTTTCACTGTTGTTGCGGCGCTCTAACCAGGATCCTATTGCGCCGCTTTCACGCTGTCTGCCGTTGTGGAGACAGTGATAATGCGAGAGCGAGAGCGAGCGAGCGAGGGCGACCTATTATATACACATACGCAATATTTAACTCGTTTCGGGCGAAGCTACGCGGGTAGGAGTAAGGAGAGGCGAAGAGGGTGTTGAGCGGGTGACACCAGGACGGCAACATGAAGAAAAGCAAGAGAAAAAGAAAATGTGTCGACTGCTCTTTTACCCCCTTTTTCCGCTGAGAGGCGGGACCAGAAGCACCTGGGCCGTGGCGGAGTGTGTCAGAGCTACGCTTCGAAAGAGTGTCTCTTCTTTTCAGTGGTGAAAGCGCCTTTGTTTTTTGCCGGCCTTCGAACTAAGCGAAACGTAATTCTGTGACTTGAAGTCGTTCCGCAGCCTCTCTTCTGTTCTCACGCTATTTTTTTTTCCTTCTCTCTCTCGTTCTCCTTTCGTGGGAGTTTTTGGGTTTGTTTTTCTTCCAATGTATTACGATTCCTCCTACCATTTTTATTCACTCGCGTGCGTTTTCCTTCTCTTTTTGGTACCTGTAAAGGTTGAGTGGCTTTTACTACGGTTTCCTCCCATTTCTCCTGCTCGACGAAACGGTGAACCAAAACCCGTGCCAGGCGTGCCGCTGCTTCCTTTGCTTCACTTCTGTTCCCGGTTCCTCCCTACCGCGCTAGTTATTCCCACCTCTTGTTAGATTTGGTTATTGAGGCGTTTCTTTTTTTTTTTGCTGCTGCTGCTGCTGATGATGGTGCCGTGCCTCACGACAGTTTGTGCAAAATATTGATAGCAAAAAAAGGAATCTGTTTAAGTAAGTACGTAAGTGTGAGGCGGAAGTGAATGCAGTAGTGAACCGGCGACAAAGAACTCTGCAAGCAGGGGAAAACGGAAGAAAACCAAAGGAAAAAGGCACGAATTTGAATGAAAGTGTTTTTTGTGAGACGTAGGTTTGTGTTACCATACGGTGCAGCCACGTAGTATAGGAGACGAATTGAACGTCAGTATTACGACCTTCTTTATTTTCCAATTTATGGGTGCGAGAAGCCAATTTGAGTTATGCATAGAAGGAAGGAGAGCCAACGAACTCACAAACGCTTGTTTCGAAAGACATTCCATAGTTAGAGAAAGGAAAAGAAAAAGTTCATGTACTTGTGTGTGTGTGTGCTTTTGACCTTTTCATTTCCTCTTCTTTTCTGCCAATCTGCGATTTTTGCTTACGATTCTTTCCCCTATTTTCTCGATTAGGCGATCATTGTATTTTTTCATGTTTTTGTACTTGCTTTGATAACTTTGGTAAAAGGAGAAAAATACGAGAAGTTAACCTGTTATAATCGGATTGGATGACGATGATTTGTGGTGGAAAAACAAACAAACAAACGATCAGTTACGTCTAACGGGAAAATGGACACATAGTAGCAAGCGAGTTGGATATGTTGCTTCACGCACCTCTTCAACTCCTTCAACTCCACCCAATTTAAGGTGGTGGGTGATTTGACCTTTCACGGTTGGTCGCCGTAGCCACCTACACGGGAGGAGAGGAGAGAGGGGAGGGGTGAGCAGCAGTGAGCACGTACACAGCAGAGAGGGCGAGGCAAGCGAAAAGGAAACGACATTTCACGGAATCATTTCCTCCCTTCTCTTGGCTTAGCAGTTTGCAACGCCTGAAAACGGTGTACATGTGTGCGCGCCTCTCCGAACACATCACGAAGGCGGTAGGAACTCCTAGATGCCTCGGGCACTTTCGGAACCGCTCCCACAAGCGCTCTTTTTTTTTCGTTGAAGAAGTAGATCGTGTACTTTCAATCGATTTTCTCCGCCACCGTCAGTGCTGCCACCGGGGCGCATTACGATTTATTTCTAGTTATTCTCTCTTTCAAGGGTCGTGTCTGTCACCTCTTCCCCCTTCTTTCTTTTTGCCGTCTCCCTGTCCTTCCACTTTGTTGACGCTGCCTATGCGATTGCTTCAGTAGATAGGAAGGAAAACAAACCTCAGCAACCCCCAATACAACTCTTTCGCAGCCCCCTTTACACAGCGTCACTCTCTCTAAACATCCACGCAAGATGCGCGCGAATCCACAAAGCGATAGCGAGCAGGAGCTCAACGTTGCGGCCAGCAGCGACGACGAGGGCCGCGACCGCATCATCGACGGCCTCCGCTACCCGCGCCAGGAGCGCCAAATCGATCAGCTGGGCTTTGAGCTCACGAAGCACTGCCTCCACTTCCACGGCGCGGACTGGGACATCCCACTGACGCAGAAGCGCGAGGACCTGACGCGTGCCTTCATCAGCGATGCCGCCGCCGCCGTGCACGAGCCGGAGAGCAACATTCAAGACCTGCGCTTCATCGTCACGCCCACCCATCTCGACGTGAAGCTGTCCGTGCGTCACAAGGCGCACATCTCAAAGCAGGAGACGCAAAAGAAGCTGGCCGGCTTCGGCTGGGAGCACGTGAAGGCGCTGTACGAGCCACGCAAGAAGGTGCCGCGGCCAAAGAAGGAGGAGCCGCCGGTGCTGGAGCAGGTCCGACAGACCACGTCACACAACATTAGTTTCTTTGGTCGCGCAAACGTGGGGAAGGAGGGGCCCGAGTTCGGCGATAGGGCCGACGATGGGGAGGAGCCTGCCGCCTACGAGGAGCAGCAGGCCGCCAAAGATCGCCGTACGACGAGTCATTTGTTCATGGCGGTGGGTCTCGCCGTGTAAGACATATTATGCTATTATTACATACAGCAATACTTTTCCCGGGCAATTTTTTTCTCTTCAGCGAACCGAGATGCGTCTGCGTTTTCCGTTCCAGTTAATGTCCGGTGTGAGCGCTGCGTGGCTTTTTTTTTCTATTATTCCTGCTTAGCCTTTTTCATTGATGTGACGTTGCCTACGCGTTTTCTTTTCTTTCCTTTTGTCTGTTGCTACTTGCTTTCAAGTTTTTTTTTTCATATTCCATATTGAAGTGCTTGTTGTATGAAATGATGTGGACAACACTTCGTACCTGTGTGTGTGTGTGGGTTGAGTTGAATGAGTGAAGAGCTGCAGTAAAGTGAAGGGGAAAGACGGTCGTCTGTGGGCGTCGCTGCAACGTTTCTCTGTGTTGTTCGAGCCGTCCACGCGCATACGTGAAGAGCGATTCTGGTAGAGTGCGTGCGTATCCGCTAAGCGGTGCGAGGGGTAGGGGTGGGGTGGGGATAAAAGGCGTGGTTGCTTGTGGGGTTGTCGCTGCTGACCGCGGTAATGCCCCCCCCACCCCCCGCATGTGTGCTCGTCCTTGTAATAGGGGGAAAAAAAATTACTGCTTAGAAAAGAGGGGGAAAAACCGGCAGAGTCGTCGGTCTGCTTGCGAAACGGAAGACAAACGAAAGGAGAAGCGCGTTATCTCATCGTTTTCATATTTTATGAAGCACTTCTCTCTCCTCTGTTTTCGCGTGAGGTTGAGCCATTTCATCGGTCTTTTCTGACTTTCTTTCCGCTGCGTACAATTTCTGATGTCGACAGAGACGCAAAAGCGTACACATGAGCCTGCGTTACATCAACACCGTTGCTCGTTGCTTTTATTAAGACGCTAACCAAACTGCCCGTTTGTTGGCGTTTACTTTTATTTCTCTTCTAGTTGTTCTTCTTCATCGTCATGCAATATTTGCAGCAGCAACAAAAAAGTACTTAAAAAGGGCTGTTTTCTGTGGCATTGCGGTCACGACAAGAAAGAAGTGGAAGTGTCAGGCTGCCACGTGAATGGAAACTCCTCTTTTCCTGTTGTCGAAGAGCGCTTCCGTGTTCGTTCATGTGGCGCGTGGTGCAGGTTCTTCTTTTTTATATATGTGTGCCGTTTTAGTAGCTTTTATCCTCTCTGAATGTGCTCTCTGCACGCCTCCGCTTTGTGTCGAGTTCTGTATGTGTGTGCACACGGAGGAGCACCATCGTCGTTTTCGGGTCAACGAATGCGGCTTACCTATTCTCTCTCCGACTTTTCCCTCCTCCTCTCTTTTCTTTATGGGTGTTCTCTACGCCTTTTTTTTCTAACAGAGATCATATTCCGAGCAAATTTAATCTTTCCAAACGACGCCTCTCAATAGTCAATAGGAACCCGCAGCGGCGAAACTTCCTTCACGCAGCTCACGTGTGTGTGTGTGTGTGTGTGTGTCATTACTATTATTAATTACCGTTTTCTTCTTCTTATTACTATCGCCAACTTTTCTCTTCTCTTTTCGTGTGTGTGCTCTCATCGTTTCAGCGATGTCCGTGATGGATACCCTCAAGAATGTGCCGAAGCAGCTCCTCAGCAAGGCGGAGGAGGCCACGAAGGACTGGTCCGCAGAGCAGAAAAGGCTGACTGGCGCGGTCGTGGCCACCGCGGTGGCTGCGTCTGGCGTGACCTTTCTCGCCATGCGCCTGGCAGGCCGTTCCAACAGCGGCGCAGGCGTGCGCCCCGATAGCCACTCGAAGAGTTCCGACATCTACGAGAGCGAAGCTTCCGCGCGGCAGTACATGGAGTTCCACTACACCCCGTCCAAGGAGAGCTACACCCAGCGCCTGCGGGCCGTCAGTGAGGCGTCGGACTTCCCTACGCGACTGGCGCACAAATTCCACACCTATTTGAAACCCGGGAAGCGCGGCCTCCGTGGCCTTGATGTGGGCTGCGCAACTGGTGCCTCGGTGCTCGAAATGTCGAAGGTGTTCGACGGCGGCGTTGTCGGCATCGACTTCTCGGAGGTCTTCATTCACCTTGCGAAGGAAGTCGCCGCCATGCCGAAGTCGGGTAAGAAGGTGTTGTACACCGCACCGGTGCAGGGTGAGATTACGGAACCGCGGGAGCTGGAGCTGCCTCGTGGCGTGCACCCCGAGCGCTGCGCCTTCTACGCCGGGGATGCGATGGACATGTTCGAGGAGGATCACAAGATGGAGAAGACCGTCTCCAATCGATACTCCGACGTGACGTACTGGCAGGCGAAGAAGGGCGAGAAGTTCGACGGCGTGCTGTGCTTGAACTTGATTGATCGCGTGCCAGACCCCCAGCGGCTCATCCACAGCTTTGGCCGTCTGGTGGAGAAGGAAGGCGTGTTGATCCTCGCCGATCCCTACTCCTGGTGGGAGGATGCGACGCCCAAGGCGAAGTGGCTCGGCGGCACCCGCGATGGCGCGCGCAGCGAGGAGGTGATTGTGGCTGCGCTGAAGAAGGAGTTTGAGCTCCTCAGCGAGAGTGACGAGGGCTTCTTAATTCGCGATCACATCCGTCACTACCAGCTCGGCTTTTCTCACTGCACGGTGTGGCGGAAGAAGTAAGCGGTGCGACGGTCTGGAGCCGCCCCTCTCCCCCTCCCCCCCCCCCTCCGACGGGTGTGCGCTGTGACTTTTTATTGTACTGTGCTTTGGAGCAAATGTGCCGTGTCGTGTTCTTGGATGTGGAGGTGGAACACCGGTCCAACGATATGATCAGATTGGTGTGTTGCAACGCACTTTGGATGCATTCTTTTAACACATATATCTACTTCTGTTTTTACTAGAAAACTGGTCACAATTCTTATTTCCACGTTTTTCTTTAAAAATTTTTATTTCTCCCTCCTGTAGCCTGCAGCGGTCTCTTGAGATGGCACTCCTCAGCCTGCAAGAAGCGACAAGACAACCGAAAAAAGGGGATTTTTAGTGGTGTTTCTCCCTTGTTCACCTGCGCGTGTCGCACTAGCATTTGTCCTTCATCGCTTTTACGGCGAAGTGCAACCTCCTCTTGCCGTACGTTAGCGGCCACTCTTTCAAAGCACACACGCGCTCAAAGAAAGAGACACAATGAATGTGTGAACCTCTCCCCTCCCTTTTTCTTTGCTGCGCTGTTCTCTGCACACATGTTTTAACGTCTTCTGTGGATTCCTCCCTTGGCGTCTTCTACTGCCGCTCCCCTTCCAGCGACGACTGAATTCAACCCTCTGGTATTCCGTTCACCGGCCCCGCAGAGGAGTGGCACGCATACGCATAGAACGCTTTCTTTCTCCACCTGACCTCTGCTGATTGACGCCAGCGTCCTTTTTTCTTACTGCTATTATTTGCAACAGCACGCAGACAGACAAGAAGGGTATCACCCCTCTCGCTCTCTCTCTCTCGGCTGGACAGGCGATGGACCTTACCAATCGGCAGTGGCGAGCCCTCGCCCAGGCCTTTCCCTATTACTTCTCTACGTCACCTGACGGGCTCGACGCACCAGCAGAGGAGGCGAGCGGCGGCAACTCCACCAAACGCGCGGCGTTCACCCAGTACATCGTACCGCGCGCCAGTAAGGCCTTTCCAAAGGAGGTGGCGGCATGGGCAGAGGCATACGCGAAAGGGAAAAACATGCAGTCGCCGGTGGATGCGGTAGAGGCGATAATGGCTCACTTATTCGGTCGTGCAGCGCTCTTTGCGACTTCGACGCCTCCTGCAATGCCCACCTGGGCCGTTGCCCAACTTACGGCACGAGAGTTGCAGCTGCTCGGCCTCTACCATCGTAAGCAAGAACAGTACGAGTACATGCACGGCATCCAGCAGCAACTGCGCGAGGCATCGCAGGCGGCGGCGCGCATGTTGCAGACGGCCCTCAGCGCCGTTGCCGCCGGTGGTGTTGAGGAGAGCAGAGACGGTGGCCTGCTCGACTCAACGCGCGAGAGTCTGTTGTGGCTTGGTGGTGCAAGCCAAGGGACCGTCGTCGGCCGCCATCCACCTTCGCTGGAGGACCTCCTCACCGATACACGGGCAGCCACGGCAACAGCGACTGGGGGCTTCACAAGCGCGCTGGCCAATCTCCCGTACACCGCCCCCAAACCAAACAACACGGGCTCTTCGTTTGCGGGCAGCGCGGTGCCGCCGCCGCTCATCGTGGTGAACCACTGCGCCGGCTGCGGCGAGGTGGACGGTGATCTTCTCGTGTGCACGCAGTGCGGGGAGGTGCGGCACGAGGCGTGCGGCGGCCCGCATCCGCCGGAGCGAAGTCGCGTGGATGGCCGCCTGCCGAGCGTGAACATGTGCCGCGCGTGTGCGAAAGCGTTAAACCTGTCCAGCAGTTCATCGAGTCTGCGCAGTTCCACCTCGTCCAGTGAGCGGGCGGAGCTGGAGGACTACTTCGACTCAGAGGAGGAGACGGATAGCAGCCTCTCTGGGTTTGTGGTGCACAGCAGCGATGAGGAGGATGAAGAAGGGGAGGGCGACGCAGCAGGCGCGAGTAGTCGGAGTCGAAGCGACGTCAGCCACGACGACGCTGATGCAGACGAGGGGGAAGCTCGTCCGGGAAAGACAGCATCGAACGGCCATCAACGCCAGACGGGCCACGCACCGGTGACCGACGCCAAGAGACACGACAACGACACGGAGGGGAAAAAGCGCCCCCAGCGCCGCGGTGAGAGCAGCAGCAGCAGCAGCGACGAGGAGGAGGGGTCACCTCGCCGGCGGGACAAGCGTCGCCGCAAAGAAGTGGCAAAGCGCAGCTCCACTGCCTCGATCGGCGAGGACGCGGCACCGTTGTCATCCCGCAGTGCCTCACCATCAAAGAAGCCGCCGCAACAACAGCAACAGTGTAGTGGCAACTCTCCGCCTGACCGCACGCGTGCTCCGTCGGCAACGAATAAACCTCCTGTAAGTGATGCAAGGAAAAAGAAACGCGCGGAGAGCGCAACACCGCTCTCTTCGCAGGAAAGGCGGCGCGCACAGGACGAACAAGACGAGCTCACCACGTTGGGCATCCGCCCTGACGCAATGCCTTCCAAGAGAGTGAATGCAACTGTAACCAAGAAGAGCAACAGCTCCCACTCGACGGCGAACGCGCCTCATGCATCTTCGCAACCGCCGCAGCGGCAGCCTGCGGTGGGAGCCAAGAAGAGCGGCCGTCGCAGCGTGGTGAACGCTGCATCTTCCTCTTCCTCCTCCAGCAGCGATAGTGACTGATACACTGTATGCACATTTCAGGGATGCGGCGCACGCTCAGGGGGACTGCAGCTGTGGAAGCTGCATCACGGATAATGAACTGACGCTGCAATACACGCCCAGCACCTTCTCTTCCTCAAAGGAAGGAAGCGCCGTGTGTCCACATAACTACTGTAACAAGAGAAACAACGAAGAAGAATAATTATTTCGCGTCAACATGAGCCTTAAAAAAAAAAGTTTCCTTTGTGATGAAAGACGGAATCGAGGCGAGCGTTCGAAGTTGAAGTGAAGCGGCGAAGGACGTTTTTTTCTCCTTTTCTCAAATCAATGAAGTCGAACCCGATGGCTTTTTAATCTACGCCCACTGCCTACCACTGCCTTCTCTTTTCTACTTGTTTCTCTTTCTGTCGCCTCTCCTCTTCGCGCCCTTTCACTCGTTTGAACACCTCTAACTGGCCATTTCACCTGGCCTACCGACTTGCTGCTTTTCCTTCTTGGGGAGCTTCACATTGATGTACACGTGTAGTGCGAACGACATCAGTTGAGAAAGAAAAAAGGCACCCCCAAACAATACACACGCACAACAGCTGGTAGAATGGGTCGTAGCAACAACCAGCGACGGCGCACCGCCAAGGCGAAGGGTAAGGCCTTCATTCCCAAGATGGTGAAGAGCAAGGTGCGAAACCAAGTTCGAAAGGTGAAAATAATGGTCGCGAAGAAAGACCCGAGGCTGAACAAGAAGCTTTCCTACGACAAGTTCCGCACAAAATCTGGCAAGATCACCCAGCGCAAGTTCCAGTCTGGTGGCTACAACAATAGCGGCAGGTTCGGTAAGGCTGCCGGTGCCAAGCAGCACGCCATCAAAGGCAAGAAGGGGGTGAAGTGAGGAGGGCTGATCCATCAGCGCCAGTCCTGTGCCGCTTTTTGTGATTCTTCTTTCTCTCTCTGTCTACCCAACGGGAGCGGAAGCACCGCCTTGCCTCTCTTTATGCCGGCTGGCCACGCCGTGACGGTGAAACACGGCGGTGGAGGAGTAGACGACTATTTGCTTCGCGGTGGATTCCATGTGTGTTGCGTTGTGGCAGCCGTGTAAGGAAGAAGAATAAGAACAATAAAAGAAAGAAAAAACATACACAAAACCACAAAGTAAAGGAGCAGCAGTGGTGCATCTGGAGATCACCACACGGCTAGTGTAGTAGCAATCTCTCTTTTCTTTTTCTTTAAAGAGAGGAGATCGTTCATTTGCGCGGAGGCTCTTGATGCCTCTCTTTTTCCTCCCCCTTTGTGTGGTCCTCCGCGTTTCGGTGGTTTCTCGAACCTTTTTTGAGTCGTGAGCGACTGTTGCGGAGGCACAGCGGGTACGTGCATGTCCAACTCCTTTACTTCTGCCCCTACTCATGGTGGACTTCTCTGTGAACTCCTTACCTCTTTGCCTCTTCCTAACCCCTTCTTTTATTTGGCACGCCGTGCTCTTCACACACACACACCCACCCACCCACACAGAACCACCACAGTGAGAACCCGCTCACCTCATCCCACGCCACGGAAAAATCAGCAACAACAGGTGCGACTGGCCAAGGTCCTTCGACGCCTACCTTTGCTTTTTTTTCCCTTCTCCCCTTCGCGTGAACTAACGCTTACGTTGCCGAGGAAACGGGCTCCTACTCTTGCCACCCCAGACGCTCTTCATATTTAATAGTAGTATCAACGCAGAAGGGAGCTGTTGAGGAAGTAGAACGGAGAACAACAATGCTTCGTCGAACATGGACCTGTTTCATGACTCTGGCAGAGGCGCAACGACTCGTTGACGATGTCAGCGGGCGTCCAGCCTCTATCCCCTCCACTGCCGCCACCGCCACCGCCACCCTTCCCAACGTTCTCAGCGCGCTGACGGAGCACTACCGCCAAGGAGGCGAGGCCTTCACAAGGGCGGCTCTGCAGCGTGTGGTGCAGCTGGACCAATCCAACGAAGACACGCAACACGTCGCCGACACGTGCCTGTCCGATACCTCAACGGGAGTGGCAGCAGCGACAGCAACAACCACAGAAGGAGTTGCGGCGCAGCCGGCGTCTCGCCACTTAATCACGGAGCTCCTCCGCACCTACCCACACAGCCCCGAGATTCGAGAGCGGTGCTGCCGCTGCATCGCAAACGTGTGTCAGCTGGGCACCGACACCGCATCGGACGACGGCAACGCCAGCGCTAGCCACAACGACGCTGGCGTTGCTGTGGTTGCGTCGCAGTCGTCCAGCGACGGCGCCTATCCGCCTTCTCATCATTCGCCGTTGGCGGACGCTTTGGTGGACGAGGGAGCAGTGGAGCTCATTCTTGGTACACTAGTCATGGCTGGCCGTCTCAGTCCGCGTGGGCGGTGCTGGGCTGCCATGGCCATGCTGAACATCACCTGCATGTCGCACAACGGTGCAGCGCGAGCGACGAAGGCGGGCGCAGTCGACCGCGTGGCGGAGTACATTTTATTTCTGCTGGACGATGCCGCCGTCTCCACTGCCGCTGCCGCCCCTGCAGCGACGACCGCGGCGTCCTCTTCGGCTGGCCCGGTGCGTGGACTGTCAGAAGAAACGGCGATAGCGCTCGATGCGGCGCTGGGGGCCCTGACCGCCCTGTTGGCAGCAGAGGCGCCGGAGAACGCATCTGGGATTTCGTTTAATTACGAGGCCGCCAGCTACGTTGCGGTGGACGCAGTGGTGCGTGCCCTCCTCTTCACCTCGGCGTTGCTGGTGCGAGACGGCCGTAACGACGGCGCATACGGCGCCTCGCTGCCCGCGCGCCGCTACGGCACGGTCGTGTTCCCGGCCGCCTCGGTGACGCAGCAGACGGCGGTGGTCGTGCTGCTGCCGCTGCTTCACAAGGCGTGGATGGCGCTACAGGAGGTTTCCAGCTGCCCAACGAACCTGCCGATGGTCTTTGATGTCGTGTACGAGGCGGCGAATGCCAATCAGGAGAGTATGGTGGTGGAGAGCGAGAGCGTGACGGGTGGCTCGGAGGAGGTGCTGGAGGTGACGGCGCAGACGGAGCGGCAGTACGTCGCCGCCCTGTCCAGCATGATTGACGCAGCACTGTTTGTGACGACGGAGTTGGAGGGGTTGGACGCGATAGGAGCAGAGGAGCTCGTGCGGCTGCAGAAGGATGTGCAGCTCAATGTGATGGACACGATGCAGTCCATGACCGCGTCTCGGAAAGACTTGGCACGGAAGAACGCGAGAGAATGCAATTCAGCAACCACAGGAGTTAGCAACAGCAGCATCGGTGTGGAAGAGGATCACCCCGGTGACAGCGATGCTGCGGCGGACGCGTCCGGCGTGTATCCGACTGCTGCGGCGATGGGCGTGACGGATGTGCTGGCGTCTGGCACCGTCAGCAACATGGCTCTCGCCTGCGCCGTGCGTCTGCACACGGAGCATCGGGAACACCGCCGTGGTGGTGGTGGGGCGGAGATCGGGGCTGCTGCGGTGGCGGCTCCGTACAACACGCACGACTTCACGTTGCTGTCGCGGTCGCTGGTGGTGCTGGCGAACGTGGCTGAGGTCGGTGATGAAGCCGCCACCTCTGCAAACGCCGTGGCGGCGTTGCAGACCATTTTGGTCGACGCAGTGGAGGATGTCGTGGCACTGCCGCGGACCTACAAATCGGACCTTGCAGACTTGTTCAAGCCCACCGATGACGGCGAACACGCGTCTCCCTCGTCTTCTTGTGCGCAGCGCGGTGCGATACGCGAAGCTGATCGTCTGATCTTTTTGCAGCAGGCTGCGCTGGTGGGTCAGGTGTACGCGGTGCTGTGGAGCACGCTGCGCACGGCGCAAGGCGTGGCGACGGTGTCGCAGCTGCGGGTACTGCAGACGGCGAAGGAGGTGCAGATGTCACTGCGCGAGTCGTACCTGCCGGCGGTGGAAGCAGCAAAGATGCGCCACGGCGCCTCCTCGTCCTCTTCTCCTTTGACGGATGAACGCACTTCAGAGGAAGCTGCTGCGGCTGGCAAGAAGGAAGCATGGGTGCCCAACACTGTGGAGGAGACAGTGGTGCGTCTGCTGAAGCTATCTGACGAGCTTATCGACAACCTGTCGAGGTTGGCCGAGACGAACCGATCTGCCGGCGTCACTCTTCAGTAGAAGATCTTTCTAAGCATGATTTCTTTTTCCCTGGTGGCGTCGGTGAGCCGTTGCTGTAGAAGCGGAACGTACCGCAATCTGAGACAAGTTAAGCGAATGGAAAGCGCAGGGACGCGTTGGGCTGGGGGCGTGACGGTGTTGGGTTCATTTGTTGCCTATGTTTATTCACATATAATAATGATTGCGGAATTTTACATTTGGCGATGCGGATTCCGTTCTTTTTTTTCCCTTTGTGTATGCAGAATGGAGATGTTAGTGAGGGGGATGTGCGCGCATGTGCGTGTGTGTGTGTACAAGCAATGCAACAACAAAGGAAAAGTTCATGGACTTCTCTTATTGCAAAGGAGTTATTCGGCGATCAACGGAACTGGCAGAGGAAGGCCGTTTTCACCACCACTTACAGACTGTTTGACGTGTTGGCTCACAAGTGGCCACGTTACTGCGCGTATTCACAGGAATAATTCTCTCAAAGGAAGAAAAATAACAACGCGGTTTTGCAACAGGGATGAAATAAATCTCACAACGAAAGCAATCAACTCTTTGCCTTCGTCGTTCTCCCTTTTTTTTTTCTTTCGTTCTTCTCGCGAGCACGCGCCAATTACGCCCCGTTGGGGTCCAATGCACGCGTGCTAGAAGAGGGAGGTTTGCCCGTACGTTGATTCCTTTCTGCACTCCTTGTCAAGCGTTCAATTGTACCTTATCACGGGCGTGCCTTCTTTTTTTCTTCTGTTTGGAATGACAACGGTGGCGTGCGTAGCGCTCGAACGTTTTTAACCCCTCCAAACGCAGGTGTGCATCCTGTTCACACCGACTGCTGGGTTTTTTTTTGTTATATATACGTATTTCAAACGTTTACGTCCTCTACGGAATTCTTCTTGTGCGTTTCTTGCCTCTCTCCTGCTTCTTCTCTTCTCTCCCTCTCTCGCAGAGTCTTTTGTTTTTCTGGTTCCCGGCTCCAGAATAGAAAACGAGTGGTTATCCACCTCCTCTCTTTTTATCTTGTTATTTCGCGCGAACTCACGCACACGACGACAGCATTTCCTGTGCTTACTTGCTGATTCTTTCGGCACAGGAGCAGCAGCAACAACAAACATATCCTCGCACACCGTTTTATTTTCCTCTCAAGGAACAAAAGGTTTTCTAACGTATCAAAACATTTGATTGCAGCCGCAATGAACGCCTGGGAGATTGTCTTTCAAACCCTGCTGGTGTTTGCACCACACGTGGGCTACGTGGCGCAGTACTTCGAGATTGTGAAGAGCAACTCCATCGAAGGCTACGCGCCGATGGTCTCCCTCATTCTCCTGACCAGCAACACGCTGCGCCTCTACTACTACATTGGAAAGCACTACATGCTTGCTCTGCTGTTTCAGGCCATTCTCGGCGTCTTGGTGCATTTTTGGGTACTCATCAAAGTGCTCGACGTACACGTGAGCCAAATGGTCAGCGCGCGGCAAGATGAAGTGCTGTTCGATGAGAACGCCACTTCTCCCTCGCCTCTCGTCGTCCCAATCAGTGTGGAGGAGGCGGGCAGCAAACCGGCGCCGGCGGTGACCGATGCGCAGGGTTCCTTCAGCTCCGCTACTCACGTGCAAGGCGACACGGTCCTCGCGGAAGACGTCCACGCCGCCTCCCCGCCGGTCGCCGCGGCCTTTTTTCGCTTCGTTCGGTTTCTCTTTCACCTAGAAGACACAATTGAGAGGAGCCTGCTGCGCCTGACGCCGCGCAGCTTCGCGTTTAGTTACGTGGCGAGCGCCTGCGTGACTCTCGTTGCGGTGCTCTTCTACTACTTCTCTATTGGCCGCGTGTGGGCGTCCGCGCCGGCCGTGGTGGGATACATCTCTCTCGGCATCGAGGCCCTTCTCGTCCTTCCACAGATTCTGCGCAACGCGCGCCGTCGCAGCACGGAGGGGCTGTCCATGATTCTCATCCTCACCTGGGTTGTGGGCGATGTGATCAAGGTCGTCTACTACTGCTACGCGAAGCAGGCGCTGCCGTTTATCATCGGCGGCATCTTCCAGATTTTGTTGGACGTGGTGGTCGTGGCGCAGGTCGTGTACTACGGTTTTTATCTCCGTCGGGGTAGCGTCGCTGGCAGTGGTGAAGAAGCCGCTGACCCCGCCCCGTAGAGGAGAGCGCGCGTGCGCAGCGAGTCAACACAGAGGCGGACCAAAGAAGAAGGGCAAATCAATAAACATTGTTAATTGTGTTCATACCCCGCAACAAGTATTTCCTTTTCTTAATGACAGACTCACAAAACAAATGAATAAAAAAAACGAAGCACTGGTTTCTTCCTCCAGCTCTGGTGCATCCGAGATCTTTAAAGAAAAATGGAAAGCACGCCGAGAGTTTGACGAGGCGAAAGAGGCGCAGAACCGATCGTAAAGGTTTTAGCTTTAGGAGTTTTTGTAGGAGGCATTTACCACCCTCGGTGCTCTTGCTGTAAGGTCTTCTTTGGTGTGTGTGTGTGTGTGTGTGTGTGTCGAGAAAAGTCCTGGTGAGGCTGTGTGTGTATGTGTGTGCGTTTGCGTGTATACGTGGAAGCGCACCCGCGATGTGCTTGTTCGTACTTCTATCCGTGGCGGTCAATTTCGCTGTCCTTCTTTTGTTTTTAAACACTTCTTTTCCTTTGCCTCGCCACTGCGTATGGCATCGATGTCGTCTCAAGTTTTCTCTTGCTTATTTATTTTACTTTTCTCACGCCTCCAACTGCGATATGAAAAGCAAGAGATAACCTATCGTGTGCCGAGCCGGAAGTGCTCTGAAAGCCGTGAAGCGATGCAGCTATTCCGGAAGCGTTTTGCCAGACATGACGACCATGGTATTTGCGCTTTGGTGGTTCAGTAATGCGTGGCTGCATCACGTGAGGCTTCACTCTCTCTGTTCACTTCACGCACTTCTAGTAGCGACATCGCATTGTCGATTCGCATAGTCACGTGCTGCGGAATGCTGTTTAGCTTGCCGACTCTGACTCTTCTGCAATTACCGCACTTCTCTCGCCCCCTTCCCCTCCTCTTTCTATTCTTTTTTTTTTTACACAAATTCACAGGGCCCCGTCGTGGATGGACCGACACGCGCACCGGTCCTGCTTTACTCGAACGCGCTTCAGAGCCCATTGCATCCACGCTCAACAAGACGCGCGCTCGTGTGCGTGTGTGTTCTCGATAGCATACGAGTGAGCGCACCGCAATGGAGGGCGCGTTTGCGAGCGTTGAAGAGGGCGTACTAGCCGCTCTGCATCAAGTCGAAGAGCTACGCTGCGCCATCGCACGGCAGCAGGCGGAGCTGGAGCGCAGCCGAGGTGTGCTGAGAGAACGCCTTGACGCGTTGACAGCCTCAGGAGATGCGGCTCATGCTACTCCTTCTGAACTGCAGCCGACAACTTCTATAGCTTCGGCAACTGTTTTTCAAGCTGCAGCGAGGAAGAACACAAACGCCGCAGATGCAGACCACATCGGCGGTGAGAGCATGGGAGGTTGTGCAGAGTCGAACGTGGATTCACCGCAAGAAGGATTGAGGCCTTCGCAGGTGACTCCAGCGCAGCCGTCGTCTTTGGTGCTCTCAATACCAAATGCGCCATCTCTGTCTCCAACAGACTTCCGTCCACAAGAGCAGGCCATTCGAACCCGTTGCCTTCAACGTCAGCAGCAGCGCCTCCTGCACGCGGCGAAGCTTCAGTTCGCGCAGGAATGGAAGCGACTGGCGCTGCCGTGGTTTGCGCGGGTTGTGCAGCATGAGTTCTTTGTCCCTCTCATGGAGAAACTCAATCTGTTGGAACGGCGTCTGCACCGCCTTTGTGTTCGCATGTCGCCTGACCTCCCTCAGTACACCCTGCGCCGTCAGGGTGCGAAGGAAACAGAGATCGATGATGCGACGTTCACACCTTCGCGGTCTACCTTCTGCGTGCCGGTACTCTGGCGATGGTACCTCGACACAGCAACACAGACATCCCCGCAAGCACGTTCTTCCCTATCTGCGGAATCTCGAAGCTCGGAAGGCGAGGACGTGCCAACGCCAGTGGCTTGTTGCTCGTCTGCCATGAGCGCCGAAGCAGCGGAGGGAGGGAGGACCATTCCATGTGCGAACGTGATGAGGGAGCGGCCCCCCGCTGCAGATGCGGTGATAAATGAGGAGGCCGTCATCGTCCCCTCTGCCGCGCGGGATGCGTCTGTGTGGCGTTCGATGCTGCTGCGAACACGGCGCTCACTCCGCCACGTCTTGTACGTGGTGCGCTACGGGCTCCTGGGAGGCGAAGAGCGCACCGCTGCAACGGTAAGTCCGTGTCCTCCTCAGAAGAAAGACGGGTGCGAATGCCTTTACAAGGAGAGTGTTCACGAGCCGTGCTTGTCTTGCCAAGTGCGTCGGCTTTTGCAGCGTCATGCAATGTGGACTTCCTACCCGCACACGGAGCCGACAGGTCCAGAGAAAGCTACCTGTTTTCCATTTTCAGAGTACGCCGACTGCGGCTCACGAAACAGCGGATGTGTGTCGTCGACTGCCCTGTCGTTGCTCGAATTTCTCCAGCATCTTTGTTCTTTGCATGAAACCTTGCGTTTAGAGCCGGGCACTGACTACTTGCGACACCAGCCGGGTCCAGCGGCGACGCAAGGAACAGATGTGAAAGCTGCAGACGTGCGTGGCGCATGTGACTCACCGGCTTGCACAGCACCAAACGATCTGGCAGCGAGTCTCAGCAAGGGTAGCCTCGTTTCGCTTGAGCAGCATCTTCTCTTGCCTTTTCATGTGTTAGATCCAGTGCTGAACACCCTTCTCGACGGTCGCAACGCGGCTCCGTCGTGTGCGCTGCCAACAAGGAAGCTAATCGGTGCGATTTTGCCACTCGTGCAGTGGTGGCAATCGCCCTCTTCGTGCGACTGCCGATGTGTGTACGCGCGTGCGATACGACTCGCGCGACTCTATCACGCTTTTGCGCGCCGAGCGCACCTCGATGCGACACCGAACACCGTCGCTGACTCGTTTTCTCCTCCTCGGCTCCCATCCCTCACCGCTGATGCGCAGCTGTGTGAGTTGAGGCGTGCTGAGGTGCACGTGCGCGAGCAGTGGCAGGAGTTGCACACGAAGCTGCTCATCGCACGCTCCGCCAATTCTTTGTAGATGCAAAAGAAGAATTCCTTTACAACTGCTCGATTTACAGCTTATGAAAATCTCTGCTACTTTAAAAAAAGTATTCCTGCTAAATCCTGCGGCAGCGCTTCCAAAAAAGAAAAAAAGAAGGCAGTCATAACAATGAAGTTGAGTTTATGTTTGACGTGCCTGCGTTGGGTGTACTGTTCAAAAGGTTGCCTCAAAAACCAAAGCTCTTCTTGGTTGTTTCTTTCACTGCTCCTTTTTGTGTCTGCCATCTCTACCCCTTCTCTTCTCTTCCTTTGCCTCCCCCCTCTCCTTTCCTCTGCTGCTGTCTTCTCTCGCCTTCTTTTGATAACCCGTTATGTGCGTTCTTCGCGACGTCGCGCATCCTTCTCCGCCTCCTCGCTGCTTCATTGTACTGCCGTTCTTCATACGCGTGCAACACCTGAAGTGTGTTTCTTGTTTCCATTACTGTGTGTGTTTCCCTCCCCCTCCTCTTTTCCCCTTCCCCCTTTTTTCCATGTAAGAAACATTATTGCGAGAATAGGAAACACAAACTTTGAAAAAGGAAACGTTATTTCTCTCATCAGATTGTACGCTCTCCCCTTCGCATAATACAGCTGCGGAGCATCTTTCTTTTCCTTTTATCTCCTTTCGCTTCTTGATTTCTCAACACCTTATCTCTTTCTCTTTCTCTCTCACATACACACACACATCTGTTGTCATACGCATTGCGGTGCCGTTGCGCAAAGTATTCCTCCTTCAAAATAGCATTGGTTTTTTCTCGGGAGTGTCTCTTGTCTTATTTTTTCTACTTGTTGCTGCCCGTAGAACTCTCTAAGCCTATCTATCTATCTATCTATCAATCTTTTCTCTTGCTATCTTTTGTCTATCGCGGTCGACGTGCCGCCGTCTCGCTGTCTCTCTGTCTCTCCCTCCCTCTCCATCGCATTTGTTGTCGTTTGCGTAGTCGCACGTTAGTGGTGACTAAGTGAGAGTGTATTTTTCCATTGTTCAATAATTAAAAGGAAGAGAGGAGGAACAACACCAATCTGTTCTTCTTCTACGCATCGTTGTTCTTGTGGTAGTGAGGAAGCTCCCAACACACGGAGGAGCAACACCAACCGAAGGATGGGCGGCACGTGCATCAAAGGCAAAGCTGCCACGCCAAAGCGTGCCGGTGAGGGCGCTGATCGACGGGCGTGGGGCGCCAAGGGAGGCGGCGACAACGCCGACCCGGCTGCACACCCATCCCAACGAGTGGGGAACGAAAAGGTCGTTGAGCGCGCGTTCGGCCACTGCGGTGTGATGGGGAACAACAATAACATCAACAACTACGACAATAATGGGAGGATCGTGATGGGTGGTGGCGGAGGTGGAGGTGGCATTGCGGCCTACAGACCCAGCGACGACGTGTCCAAGACGTACTTTGACCACATCAACGCGGTACGCAGTGTCGCGGTTGCCGTCGGTGTCTTACCCCCCGCGGTGGGGGGCAGTCGCGAAGTGGACTCCGTCAAGAACAACGACGGCACCAGCGTGCCAGAGGCAGGGAGGACCTCCGACTATCCGGTCGCTGCGTGCCCACCGCTCACGTCACTGACGGTGTACCAGTGCCAACCATTAATCGGCGACACTGTGGTGGCAAAAGGGATGTACAGCGCGGTGCATCTCGCTCGCTTGTCGGTCTTCACGGGGACGGCAGAGACGGCGAACGCGACGGCGCCACGCCACCCTGGCGGGCGCCACGCTAGCGGGGGCTCCTCCATCGTTTTCTCCGCCGATCCGGCCTCCACGGAGGTCTCGGGTTCCCTCTCGCTGAGCATGGCGAGCGCCTCGGTGACGTCGCCGCTGAACAACAACGGCAACGCTGGTGGTGGTGGTGCTTCCCACTACATTGTAGCCATGAAAGAGATGCCGGTGTACGCCAGCTACTCCACCGGTGTTTTGTTGGAGCAGATTCGCATGGAGGTGCGGAACTGGACCCGGCTGTCCGCCTACAACCCCCGGGTGCTGCGTTGCTACGTGCTGGAGTACGTGTACCCAGAGAACGTCTCGGCTGCCGTGCCTGAGGCGTGCTGTCACTTCTACCCTGGGCTGCCCAACGACGAAGTGAAGACGCCGAAGGTGAAGGCAACAAGTCCGTACACCTCGCCGATTGGCAGGATTCTGGAGCGCCGGAGGAGTCCGTCAGGCAACACCAGCCCCAAGCCGTTAGCCAGCCTCGGCAAGCGGCACGGGTCGCAGAATATGGAGGGGACACCGACCGAGGCGAGCGGCACCCCGCAGAAACTCCGCCTTTACCTCGAGTACGCCAAGTACGGCACCCTGCGCGGCTATCAGTCAAGGGACATGCCGGAGAAGTTCGGCAAGCGCCGGCTGCACGAGTTGACGGCCCGAGCCTACATGCGCGATGTGCTGCTGGCACTGCTGCACGTGCACGGGTGCGGTGAGCTGCAGTACGACCTCTGCGCCAAGTCCATTTTTCTGAACCGGCCCGTTCAAATGGTGTACGGCACTTACTTCCCTGCGTACATCTCTGATGTGCCGGCTGGCGATTTAGCCGGGGTGACGCCGACGCAGCTGGGCAGGGCCTTGGCACTGCTCGACCCTCCCATGGCACAGTCCACTGCTGGCAATAATAATAATAATAATACCAAAAAGAATAGTAGCCCGAATGGGGCGACTCCCTGGCAAGCCAACAGAGATCCGTACACGACCGGCAACGAGCCCATCAACGCGGTCAACCAAAGCGGTGGGAGCGACGCCTACAATGCGCCGGTCGACATCTCTGTCATCACACACTCTGCGAGCGCGGTGCCGCCGATCTCGACCTCGGACGCCAAGGTGAACGTCAACGCAGATGCCAGTGCGTTGCCCACCACGGCGTATGAACAGCGCGACGTAGTGCGTGGGGGTGGCCATGCCAGCGACGCGTACAAGCCGAGCCCGGATGAGGCAGCGTCGCTCTGCAGCGTCGCCACCCCGCTGCGTGGGGACCGCTCCGTCGGCAGTCCTGTAAAGCGCAACAGTGGCCTGCGCTCCTTCGGCAAACACGCCAGCATGAATAGTTTGCGCACCGCAAGGTACCTCGAAGGCGACGACGCGGGCGATCACCAGCGACTCAACGAGCTCTACTGTCGCTACATGGACGACTTTGATTTCAAGCGCACCGACGGCGACGACGTGCCCTTCCCTTCGCCGCACGACGGCGTTGAGGCGCAGGCGGACGCGGAGCTGATGGCCGCGACGATGCTCCCCGAGGAGCCGCGTGCGACGCCGGCGATGCGGGTGGTGCCGCTGCTGCGCTCGAACCTGGGCGGCGTGGCAGTTGTCTCGCCGGATCACTTCGTCGTGAAACCCGGGGATGCGCTGCACGCGCCGGACCTGCGTGGGCGCCTGCCCATGGTGCTCTCCCCATCCACCAACACGAGCGCGCTGGTGTGCGGCAGCCCCCACACGACGGCCCCGACCTTCTCACCGACGCCGGCGCTGCACAGCAGTGTATTTGCCCCGGCCCCGGCGCCGCCAACACACACAATGAGCTCCGGCACGACGATGGCCGACGCGGCCGGCGCGTTGGGCCGCGCCCGTGGCGGCGTCCCACTGACGAAGCTGAACCACGCCTCGCTCATTCGTCGCGCGTTGGCCTACGGCGACGCCGACAAGGTGGAGGACATTCCGATGTACAAGTACGTGACGGTCACGCATGCGGCGCCGGAGGTGCTGCACCGCCGTACCTTCTCCCCCGCTAGCGACATCTACGCGTTCGCCATGACCTTCGTTGAGCTCGTGACGGATGACGGCGTTATCATGGAGGATTGCCTCCCGCACAACCTGCAGAAGCCCAGGACGCGGCGTGAGAAGGAGGAGTACGACGTGCAACTCACCGCCAATCTGGACAAGTGGTACCAGAAACGTATCGCCGCCCTGCGACAGAACTTCGATGCGGCGGCGAAGGAGCAGGAGCTGCCGGCGGTGCTGTCGCCGCGCGCCGGCCCCGTCGTTGTGCGCATTCCACCGCACCTCTCTGATGAGGCGCGCAATATGCTGAGCTGGTGTCTGCAGAACGACCCCAACAAACGGCCCACCGCGGCGGAGCTGCTGCGCTCACGTTATTTTATGCTGGGCGACTGGATCGCCGCGCCGACGGTATTGGCCGCCGATTGCGGAGCCACGAAACCGCCGGAGACGCCGTGGGATGCGTCCGTCAACTTTGACGCCGCTGCCCGGTCCATTGGGCTGCCTCTGCTGCAGGAGTGAGGCGCGCGAGCTGTGTGTGTGTGTGTGTGTGTGTGAGTGCATGTCCCCATACGGACGTATCTACCTTCATGTGTGTTACAGGAGGAGAAGGGAACAGACCAGCTGAGTGGCAGAGGAGCGTGGGTGGAAGTTTGATCTTACAGTATTCCTGAACACCAAATATCAAGGCACGTGGTTCGTGTGCCGTGGTGGCTTCCCGCAATGCGGAGTTAATGCGCAAAGACACAGACGGGGTCTCTACAGAAAACAGAAGTAATAAAACAGGAAGCCGATTCTTCTCTTTGTTGGGTTTCGCGTCTGTGCTGATTTCGTATCTCCCTTCGTTAACACAGCGCCTGTTGGCTTTCTTTGCCACTTGTCCTTGGTAACGTCTGCGGTAGTGCGGGTGTTCGTTTTTATCGATTGCCCCAAAGACAATGGGAAGCTTTGTTTTTAAGGTTTAGTGTTAATGCATTCCTAAACTCTGCCGGTCATGCTCGCGTAACAACAGAAGAGGTATCGAAAAGGAAAGAGCCCTGTAAACGCTCCGCGTGCGCCGTGGCCTTTGCTCTTTCATCGATTGCGTTGACGTTGCCTGTTTTGAATGTGCGTCAACCTGTGGTAACCTTTCGTAGCTCGTCTCTCCACTCGAGTTGTGCGGACGAAAGTGTTCCACCGTTCGGAAGCCGTGGACGGCACAAGGGATTCGCCTCTCCACTCTTGGCGTTCAGCCGCCTCGCTTGGATTTAACTCTCTGAAGAAGTAGCACGCAACTCCTCCCCTTCCTTGCCCCCTCAGAGCCACTTCTAATGTTGCGTGCACTTTGTAAAGCATTTTCCTTAGAGATTAGCTAGTGTTTTCTTCTTCATGGTGACGCGCACACAGCAGCAACGTGCGCACATGTCCTCGTCTGCGGACTCTGCTTCTTCGTCTTCGTCCTCGGTCCAACATCAAAGGCGGGATGAGGAGCCGGCAAATCCAGCGCCTCCTGTGGCGTCTGCGTCGTCTCCTGCAGGTAGAGCCACGCGGAGTCCTGTGATCCAACTCCCCCCGCATGCTGCCGTGCCCACCACCGCGCTGCTTGATGCTCGTCGGCACAATTTCCGTGCATCGAGGAAGGCGCTCGCACAGGCAGCGGTCACGAACGCGGACGGACACCGCGGACCGACAGGTGACGGTCCACGACCTTCACGCGGCGGGGCATCGCTGACCACGGAGCTGCAAAGGTGTGACGGCAACACCGAAGGCCTCGCCGTGGCCTCGAGCGAGTCGTCTGCGTACACGACAAACTCAGCGCCATCTTCCTCCTCCTCGTCCCCTTCCTCGACGCCGTCGCCCAGTGCAGTCGTACTGGACTCGTTGGTGCGGCGCTACCGCGCAACGGAGAGCCGTCTAGATTGCTGGCGGCATTCCGGCGGTGCCAACGGAGCAGCTGCAGCCACAGCAACCGCGGCAGCGTTGCGACAACACATGCAACGGCAGCAACACCGTCACGTCCAAGAAGTAAGCGGAAGAGGAGGAGAAGGAGGGGGTGCATCGTCGCCGTCGAGCACTCTCCGTCGTACCGCGAAAGCTGTAATGAATGGAGTGCTCGAGCGCAGTGCGGTGGTGCGCGCGGTGCAGTCGTGGTGGAAGCAGACATGGGGAGGGCACGCAGCCGCCGCAGCTGGTAAGCGGCACGGCAGCATTCGCATGCAGCGAACTCGGCCCATGGAGGGGCGGTGGAAAGGCGCCTCGGCGGGGCCTACGTCATGGCTGGGACACGCCGGTCGTCACCTCCTCGGCCGACTCTCGAGTTCTCTGACGCTCTCCAGCGGCGGCGGGCAGACGTCTCGCGTTGAAATCGTCAACACGACATGCCGTCACCATCGCCGCTCCACGTATGGAGTCGAGGAAGACGTGGAGAACGGACGGAGCGGTAGCCGTGACAGCACAGATGGCGACTTGGGGACTTCGTGGAGTGCAGACGGAGTCTCCCGTGGCGCGGGAACGGAAGCGACGCCGCTTCTTTATCGTTCCGCAGCGGCACCGCTGAGCGGCAACACGCGGATCTTTCCACAGTCTTCCTCGTCCTCCTCTTCCTCTAGCGACGACAGCAGCAGTAGTAGCAGCGACGACGACGCAGGACACCGCACCGACGGCGAGGAGAAGACTTCCCACAGCGTCAGCCCTCCGATTCGGAGCGCCGCCCCTCCGGCCGCCTCGTCTGTGGCAGACGATGGCAGCTTCACCCTGTCGTGGATTCGCGGTCTGCGTCGTCGTGACGCGAATAGCTCTTCCACTGCTACCGCCGCGTCTTCATCGTCGGCACGAGCGGTGGAGGCCGCGGAGGAGTCCTTTCGAAGCGCATCGCGGCTGCTGGCGAAGTCACGCGCGCGCTTCGCCCGTTGGTTGGCGCGACAGCGTCGTTTGCAGGCGGCGAGGCGTGCAGTTCTCGGTGAGCGGTGGCGGCACCGCTTTTCTCAGCGAGGAGACGGCGGCACTGATGGAGCGCGCCGTAGCGCTGCGGCAGAGGCGTTGGAGCCGTTTCGCGCGTCGGCGGAAAATGCAAGCGCGGGTGTTCAGAGCGTAGTCGATGTTGCGCGTGTGAGGTCGGAGTTGGAGCGAACGCTGCTGGGGAGGACGCCTTCTTCATGGGAGCTGGCGTTGCCGTGGGTCGCCTCCTCTGCTGCTACTGCTGCTGCTGGTGGGACAGGGACGGACCACGATGACAATACCGACGAGCCTACACAAGCGACGGAGCGTGCGTTGGTACGGGCCGCGCTGCAACGGGCGATTGACACCGCGACAGCTTCACGACGGCTGCCGAACGATCCGGTAGAAGACGGAAACATGAAGAAGAAGGGGGCAGCTACATCGCTGCATGACGACGCCACAGAGACGACGCCTCTGTCTCGCACTGCGCAGCGTGGGCGCGCAAACGCGGATGCGCTGGCGCAGCTTGCGGCAAGTGTGAGAGCCCTCGTAAGCCTTCGTGCTGGTGGGGGCATCGGCGCTTCGGCGTTGTGGGGAGAGGAAAGTAATGCGGCTGCGGGCCACTCCAACGTCTCCACAAGCGACACGCCCTCTATCGTATCCTCTCGCCATCTCACTTATCGGACGGAGACGAGAGCAGAGGGTGGCACCGCAGCCGAGCAGCTCCAGCAGCAGGAGGGAGGCCGCAACACGACCTCAGCGACGATGACGATGACTGCGACGGTGGACGAGTCGAATGCGTTTCGCAGCCTTCTTTTGAACACCACCCACACGCCGCACGACGCCGCAGTGCGCTTGGCATACGAAGAGATCATGCGTGAGGTCTGCAGCGCTCAGGTGCGGCGGGAGGTGGACGCGGTCGTCGGTGTGCGCCAAGGCGCGGCCGATCGTGCGCTGTCGCAGTGGGTGGAGCGGCTGCTCCTGAGCGAGCTCGCCGACCTGCCCAGCCCACCACCGCAAGGTGTCTCCGCAGGAATCCTCCATACAAGCAGCACCGCGACGGCGCTTGCCTTCACGGGAATCTTACAACACATCCGCAGTCGTGTCCCTGTTTCCTTGTCCAGCCTTCGCCTCGACGATGCCGATCGTCGTGCGCTGACCTCCGTTTACGAGCGCCACGACAGCGACGTCACCGCCGCCGCCCTTCAAACCGGAGGTTACACCATCACCTATCGTCAACTCGCTTCCCTCAGCGCGGACACGTGGTTGAATGACCAGGTGATCAACAACTACCTGCAGCTGCTGTGCGAGGATGCCGAGGACCGTCGACGACAGCAGTCGCAGCAGCAGCAGCTGAGACACTTCGATGCGCATTCGAAGTGGATGACGGCGGCTCCGCACAGCATTGCTTCGATGGGCACTCACTTCTACGCCAAGGTGGAGCTGGATCTGACCCTAAATGCTGCCACTGGCGGTGTTGGTGGTGATGGTGCAGATCCGCTGCCACCTCTGGCAGCCAACTGCGCCACCTTACGATGGCTGCGGCGCAGGCAGCACCTTCTCGAACCTTTCAACGCGGCAGATCTGCAGTGCGTGCGGGCAGTGCTGATTCCTGTGAACATTGAGGCGCAGCACTGGGCCCTCGTCGCGTACTACCGCGATCAGCGGCGATGGGTGATGTACGACTCCATGAGCCGCGCCGAACGCGCACGCCAGCGGGGGCGTGTCATTTTGGAACGTCTGTCGCACGTCTGGCGTGAGGGCCAGCGCCACTACGGCCTTCCAGTGGACGACTCCGCGGCCACCAACGCTGATGTGAAGGAGAGCAACAATTTGACTGTCGCGGCAGCGTACACGCCTTCGTCGACAGAGGAGGGGAGGAGTAGCGCCCCCGCATCCGCCCGTCGCTCACCGCTTGATTCTCTGCGACCCTACGGCTCCATCGCGGAGCTGCACCGCGCTGCGAAACGGCTGCGACACCAAGAGGAGCAGCTAAACGAAAGAGCGAGGCAGACGGAAGATGGGGAAGGCGAGTCAATAAAGCTTCCGCGACGCGACCTCTTGTGTCTAGGTAATGCATCGCTGACCTCCGCCACTGTCTTGCCCTCGTCCATGCTCACCGACACCGAGGTGGAGTGGTTCACAGACGGCTTTGCGCACATACCACAACAACGCAACGGCTACGATTGCGGTGTGTTTGTGTGTCAGGTGGCGTGGTGCGTGGCGCACGGCGTGGCCGTGAGTTTTACCCAGAGAGACGTCACGCTGCTGCGGCAGGTGATGATGCTGGAGCTGCTCAGCAAGAAGTTGCTGCGTCGGTATCCAACGGAGCACACGTCATCTTCCGCGGACGTTTGAAGAGCGACGCGCGCGCTGCGTACACGGGAGATCGTGAAGGTTGGGGTTAACAACAAAAAAAACCACGTACACCGAGAGCCTAATGGTCGCACGTTGAAATGCCTGCTTCTGCGTGTATGCAACGCACTCGGACTCGCGGGTGTAGGATGGGGCCAACGGGGCGTGAGCCTTGGTGGGTGATACAGATAAGGTGTTGGTGCGCTCTGCGTTTTTTTAATAACGGAAAAAATAGAAGAATAAGATAATTATGCACACCCACCCCATACATGGTTAGCGAATGGGTAACAATAAAGAATAGTTGTGACGGGTAAGCGAAGCAAAAAGCCGCCATAACTTGAATGCGTTTCCGTTCGGGTCCCAGGCATGTCCAGATCTTCTTTCGGCCAAAACCTACGTCGGTGGTTCCTGGAGCAGTCGACGCGACGAAGACGGCGGACGGAAATGAATTCAAACATTTACGCTCTCAGCTGGCTTACTATTTTCCATCGTTCTTGTCGTCTCTTTTTCCTTCATTGCTATGTCTTCGAACGTCGCCGTCGTTTTCTGAAACTTCACTTCGCCCTTCAACCCGTTTTCGCAGCAGCACCAAGAACAAAACGATTTGCTCCGCTTCTCACAGTTGTGACGCGCTATGAAAGGAGAAAGAGAAGAGAAGAAAAGTACTCCTCCGTTTCTCCTATCTGTTTTCCTCTGCACCCCCCTCCCTTTTGGCTGTCAATCCCAGAAGCGCTTCATCCATCGATAGATTCGTGTTTTTCTTCTCTTTCCCTTGTCAACTCTCTTCTATTTTTGTACTATCGCCGAGGTCGGTTGAGTCTTCCTCGTATCAAGGGCATTCGTTTCTCTTTTAATCGCCTCACCAAAAGCACGTTATACTTCCCCGAAGTTTGTGTAGGAGTGATATTCCACTTTCTTCTCTTTGCCTCGCAGCTTTCTTCTGTTGAGGTTCTGGTTCCCTGCTGTTAGCGCAACTGAATTTCCTCTTAACGAGCCCTTTGCTTTCTTTTGTGACCAGTGAGAGGTGTGACATTGATACTGACCAACAACTACAGCACAGACGGCAAGATTGAGATCGTGGTTGCACACCTTCACCCAATTTTTTCCCTTTTAATCTTCCAAGTCTCGTCTTTTCATCGTATTATCCGTTATAATTTGTTCTTTAGGTTGTGTGGAAATCTTGAATTCAAGAAAGCACGAGTGCGGTGACACATTCATTTGCGCTGCAGCTTACTTTTTCCGTCGGCCTCTAAATTTGTACTTTGTTCAAGCGGTCTGCGACACACTTTTCTGTGTTGTTGGCCGTGCATACAGACAACGGTTACTGCAGATTCCGTGGTCTTTTAGTGGTGCGCACATCCTTAGAAGCAAATGGGCGGCGAATCGAGTAAACACGCCGCTGCTGCAGGGGCGGCGCGCAGCCGTGAGCGGAAGCGCAGCGGTCTGTCCAACGCATTCGCCGGCGGTGACTGCCGCAGCACCTCCAACAACCCTCGGCCCAACACCATGGGCCCGTCCTATGGCAGCGCCCCGGAGCACATTCCCGCAGCGCCGGTGAAATGCACGCCCGTACCAATAGAGTCGATCAGGACGCTCGGTGCGGACCTTACCTGGATTCCAGACACGGAGGCGACGTTGATCACGGAGTGGAACCACGAGCGCCAAAAGCTCACTGCAGCCGGCCTACGAAGGTCGCAGCCGAGGAGAAATGGCGATAGTAACGGTGGCGGTCCGGCAGGGAGTTCCGGTGACTCTTCCGGCCACGCATCCCCTGGCGCAAAACAGAGCAGCAGTGGCAGCCCCACCGCCGCCGCAGGTGATCAAGCCACGCCTGGTGTCGCCTCCAGCGCCGGCAACCTTGTCCCGTTGAACTGCGACTGCGCACCAGCGACGACAGGGCGCAGTACGGGCTTGATTTTCCGTGTTCCGACCACGTGGGCCCAGCCGGGGTTTCCAGGCTCCGGCTCATCGCTGAGTCGTTCGCCATCGTGGCCCTCTAGCCTCCAAGTAGCGACGGACCAGCGCGGTGGGTCGAAGAAGCCGTCTGCTGGAAACTCCCCATGCTCCCCCGTCGTCATCTCTGCGCTGCCAGTGGGCATCGAGTACTACCGCGCCCTGCAGACCCGTTGGACCACGCCGGAGGCGCGCTCCATGCCGCCCGCGACGGAGGAGGAGGACCTGAATGACTCGCTGATCTTGGAGGCGGTGGCGGATCCCGATTGCAGTGTGCTGAGCCCACCGGTCCCGCTGGGGTACATGATCGACTTGTTTGTTCCGCAGTGGCGCGCGGAGGGTTTGTTTGACCAAGCGGAACATGGAAACTCAGTCCGCTGATAATCCTCGGGTGAATTCTTGCGTATGCTCTCTCTTTTGTTGTTGTTGCTGTCTGCAGATTTCGTTGTGCGTGTGCATCGGACAACGTTTTTTTGTTTGTGTTCTTCCCTGTTCTTCCCTGTTCTTCCCTGTTCTTCCCTGTTCTTCCCTTTTCAAATGTGTGGACTTTTTTGGAGTGTGCTGCGATGTTTACTGCCAGTTTTGGTTATTTCTTTTTATTTGTTTTACGGTGCCACAGCTGGGCGGCGAGAGCTTTCTTTTTCATTTCGCTTTCATTCCTTGCTGCTCATAGGCATTTGAACGGTAATGATCGCGTTGGATGTAAATTCATATGTGCGTTTTTTTTGTTTTTCCTTGCTTGCCTCGGTGTGTGTGTGTGTGCTTACCTTTCAAGGTATTTACGGCTCTGCTAAAGCTGCTTCGCCTTGACCATCTTTTGATTATTTTTCTCTTAAAACGGTGCCGATGTCTTGTGGATGTGTTACACGTTGACTTGATTTTATTATTTATTTTAAACACGACTGCACACGTTTTGTTTGTGCGCTCTATTTGCGTCTTCCGCGTGGCTCACCGTTGCGTCGCAGGAGGGAGGAAAACATATATGTGCGAGTGTGTTTGTGTATCCAGCGATTTGGCGTTGGACTGAGAGCTTCGAGTGCTCTTCCTACTCGTACGAGTGTCGACTTCAGACCCTTTCCCTTTTGCTCGATTGTCGCTTCTCTGCATGTGTGTTTACGAATGTGTGGCACGTCTTTGCGAGGCACAAAGCAGCAATTTAAAAAGGACGATGGCCGAGCGGGAAAGCAAGAGCGAGTGGCCCGTTCCAATTTCTCTTCCCACGCCACAAAGAAGGTAACACACAGACGTGCAAGAAGTATGCTGATAAGGAGCGTCGTTGGCCTGCTCAAGGTAGTTGGATCTAACGTGGAATGAATGTGCCTTCGCACCGATGCACATGGAGAAGAGAACTTTTGCTGACGCTTCTCGTGCGGTACTTTTGCGTCTTCATGCGGACGAAACAAACAACCCACCCCAAAGTGATAAGCCCACTCTTCGCGGATCAATTTTTCAAGCCTGTGCGATCCGTGTCTTTGCGGTGTGTTTGGCAAGCGTTGTTGTTTTGCATGCGTCGACGCATCCTCTTCATCCCGCTCCTCCTTTACTTCTCATCTTCTCTACCGAAAGAATATATATGTAATGAAAGCACGTGTAACACCCACACATACACGTGTATCCCGTGGTGGTCGCTCTGCACGTTGCCGACTTGCGGCTGCTTGGTGAGACAAGAGTGACGACGACACGTGGTTGGTGTGTCAGCCTCAAGCCTTTTTTCCCCGATCCGTTTTTCCTTTTTTCCTTTTGGCTCTTAGTTTGAGTTCGTTCCAGGGTCTGCCTTTTCTTTTCTTCCTTCTTTCAAATCGCCATCCTCGCTCCCCGTGTGACACCTATATACTTCCGCACAGGAAAGCCATTGTTATTATTTTCGGTGGTGTTGCTGTGCAGCACGTCGTTTCCGATTGAGGTCTCCTCCGTTCTTTTCTTTTTTGTCTTGACGGCGGAGCGCCTCTTCTCTCTTCGCCTGTGCGGTTCGCGCATCGTCTTTTTAGAAGGAAAGATCGAACCCTTCGGCAACAGAAGTCTACCACTTGTAGAATTCTAGTAGTGCGCATCTCCTCCTGTGGTGTAACTGCGGACGAGGTGCTGCACCCAACGTTTTGCAAGTTGAATCAGACACGTCCCGCACTCTGACGTTTTACGTCACACAACGTGGCGGATAGCGGATCGCCGTTTTTTTCTCATTTTCGTAGATCCCCCCTCCCCCCACCCCCTTCTCCACAACGACGGGTGTGTATTCTTCTGCAGCTCGCGTGCCGGTGGCGCCGGTGGGGTGCACACCGAGCCCCATCAACCTCGGCAACGCACGCGATCTGACAATTTCATGGCTTTCACAAACCGAATCGGTGTTGGTGTTGGACTGGGTTCATGAGCAAGAGAAAAGCAAAGCCGACAAGGCGGCGAAGGCAGAGGAGGCCGCGGCACGGCGACGGGAGCAGCCGCGACGGCGAAAAGCCGGCGACGATCATCCCGGCTCGCAGCTCGTCGCAGAGGCCGGCTTGAACCCGTCACGGCTCTCTTCCTCCGTCTCCTCCACTGCATCCTGGTCGTCCTCCTCCTCCCAAGACGCCGACGACATCCGACGAGCAGAAGGTCTTGTGCCGGTGGACTGCGACTACGCGCCGTTTCCCTTTAACCGCAGCTGCGGGGTTGTGTTCGACCATTTGGCGGTGCCCAGCGCTGGCGGGAACGGCTCCTCAACAACAGCAGCAGCAGCAGCGGCAGTGACCACAGCAACGTTCAATGGCGTCTCGGCGGTGGTGCCCATCGCGGAGGTGCCCGTGGGCATGGATTACTACAACGCGCTGCAGAAGGCGTGGTCGCACCAGCCTGAGAATCCGCCGAAGCTGCCTCCGCTCGCCTCGGAGGCGGATGTGAACATCAGCGACATCGACGACGTCTTGTCCGGTGACTCGGACTACGAGGAGATGAACCCTCCTGTGCCGTTGGGGCTGATGATCAGCTACTTTGCGGAAGACTGGCGGGAGAGTGGACTGTACGACGTTGTGCAGAAGCGTGCAGAGGCGCAGGCATCCCAAACGCAGAGGAGGTAGAGGCGAGATGCGCTTCCCAAGTAATGAGGCGGATCTCTCATGCTGTTAAGGCGGAGCAAGAAACAATTGTAGTAAACGTGTGTTGGCCCCCCTTGAAGGTGGTGGAGCGTGCAGCTTGCGTTGACGTGTTCGTTCGCTTCAGTGTGCTAAAGCGTGAGAGCGCTGGCTTGGTACATTTAGAAGATGAGAGAGAGTGTGTGTGTGTGGATGAGCTCACAGTTGCTGGGAGAAGAAAAGAAAGGCTGGGTGCACATCTTTGTGTATTTGGTCAAATCTGTGGATTTTCTGTATGATGCTTCGCCTTTTTTTTTGTTCTCTGGATGTGTACGGAAAGGTGTTCAGCAACGCGGCACGCATATCTTTCACTTACTCCTGTTTGAAGTGTTCCGGTTTTGGAACCTAATGACACTAATGCTTCTTTTCTCTTTTGACCACAATTGCGTCGCCGTTGGAAAGCTGCGGGGCTACGGAAGGCATGGATGATGCGGCAGTTAATAATGATAAAAAGAAAAGTGTCAGAGAAGGAAAGTACTCGATCAGATGGAGCTGCCGTGTTTTCGTTAACACTAAGTCGATTCTGACACGTAACACACTCGGAAAGAAATCAAAAGTCGAATAGCCGCCTAGGAGCTCATAGAAGAGGCCGTACTTTGAAACGTTCTGTTGGGCACACGGGGAGCTCCGCGTCATATCGGAGAAACGGCGCTACGTCACGCGTGCCCTCTCGCAGAGCGGACGTGAGTGCGGAACTTCTTTACGTTCTTCTACATGCACGTTGACGCCATAGGGAGGACTTTGCGATAGAAAAGTATATATTATTGACTGCTGGTGACGGCAAGGAAGGCTTTTTTTCTTGAACGCGCATCTCTCCTTACTCATCAAAAAGGACAACAGTGACAACAGTGAAGGAGAAACCGAAGATTTAAGATACGCACTTAAAAAGAAGCTCTCTTGCAATTCCATGACGTCCATCAGCTCGAATGGAATGGCGTTACCTTGTTCGTCGTCGTCTCCTCCCTCCCTTTCTTTCTTTCGATATTTTTTCCCTTTCTGCAAACGTCTTGTCTTTCTTGGGACGACCTTCATCGATCGAACATTCACACATTCTCACAACAACAACGACGACCAAACAGCTTGCTTCGCTTTGTACCCGCCACGTCGACACGAACATCTCTCTCTCTCTCTCGCGGTGCGTAGATGCGTGCGTAGAAGTAATATGCGCACTGAATAACTCGATGTAACACAGCGGTGTACTCTTCGCTTCTTTTTTTTTTCTCTTTTTTTTTTCTTCTGCTGTGCAGTTCCCTTCGAGAACAGTACACTGCAAAAGGGAGGTATTGGCGCGTTCCCCCTTGATCATATTCTCCCGCAACACGTTGATTCGAGCAAGTAAGGTGGCTCCAGCGGCGGAAGGACGATACGCCTCCGTTAGAATCGTTCGCTGAGCCAAGACGGCTCGACTCGATCATCGACATTCTGACTTTTCTTTTCTCTTTTCTCTTTCTCAACTCAGCGTGCTTTTGCCACTTCTAAAGCCGTTAAAAAAGAAGAAAAAGTAATTATTGTATTTCGTGTAATTCATTGAATGGTGACGAAAAGTTTCTTGACAGCTTCTTTGCGGTCGTCCTCTTCACCGGCGCTCCGACGCAGCAACGATTTTTATTTACTTGTTTATTGCTCTGCTTGTTTGGTTTGCTTGTTGATCATTTTTTTTTTAAATGCTTTCCGATTAATGCGCTTAACCTCTCTAAATAAACTTACGATTATCCGTTGTTTCTTTTAGCGCACCTATTGTTCTTCTTCATCTGTTGTAACGGGTAGAGTGCTGCTTTTCCCTTCTCTTTGTTTTCGCCTGGAACTTCGTGTTTCGTGTCTCCCGCACTGCACGAGTCCCCCCTCTTCTGTGTGTTTGCGTGTTTCTTCTTCTGTCTTTTGCGAGTGGGGGACGACGCCTGTGAGCAACTCCCCCCCTTCACTTTAAAAAAAAAATATTTTCCCGCTCTATGAGGAGCCGCGCGGTTTCACTAAGGGGATTTCCGTAACGCCTTTTCCTTTTATGCGTCGAAGCACAGTTGAAGGAGGTTTCCTCAGTGTCGCAGCGTTGCGTGCTGTCACGAAGTTCGCCCACTGTTGGGTAAGTGCTAGATTTTTTTATATACATCTCAAGGTGCTTGCTAGCAACCACCATCATTATTTTCCTGTCTTTTTGACTCGTCCCACGAGTAGAGATTAAAACGAAAACTCTTCCTTTGTGACAGTAAACCGATTAAACGATTGTGTGGCGCAGCATTAAGAGGAAGGAAACAGCGAGAGAGCTGCCTCCCTTCTTTTTCTTTTTTTCGTTCAAGCGCTGTAGTCAGCTTTTGGCAGTTCTTCTATGCGTGCAACGGCCACAGCAAAGAGAAAGAAGAAATAGAGGCCATTTTTCTGTGTTCAGTTCACAAAGATCTCTCTCACCCGCAGCACATGCCCTTGAGCATGGTGGGGATCACCGGTGACACGAAGACCAGCACCGCCGCGGCTTCGACTACTGCTGCGATGTCCACGCACACGACGCAGCTTTGCGCTCCGTCCTCGCCGTCCAGTACCCCCGCCAGTCCAGTGGAAACGACGAGTGCTCTGCTGGGCTGTAACCCCTCTACGCACGTGGCGGAGCGTGTGGACGACCGACCTGTCTACCACAACGCCCTCCTTTACGGACCCCACACGAGCACCATCCGCATGAACCCGTACGTGCGCTGCGTGTGCGGCAACGGAGTGCCTGAGATTCGCTCGTTAAAGGAGCTGCTTTCGCTGAAGAACCAGCCCGCCCCCGCAGAACCCGACACACCGTGTTTGCGACCGACGCATGGGCCGGCGACTACGTGGTACGGCCCTGATGGTCGATCCAGCACTACGGCTTCTGCTCCTGCTGCCACTGTTGCCGTTACAGGACTCTCGTCGTTCCATGACGATTTAATGAACCCGGCGTTGATGGGGGCTGTTAGTGCTGGCGCTTCTGTTGATAGCGTGACGAAGGACGACGAGCACGCGCTGTCGCCGACTCTGGCCTTCACCGCGGACAGCGTTGCTACGCCCAACACCTTCGCTACCGTCGTCACCCACGAAAAACGGATCATCTCGCACTTGACCCGACGCCTGCGCAGCTCCGTCAAGCAGCATCAGGACACGCCTCTTGGGAGGCCAACGGAGACGGTGTGCTCAGAGGACGGAGAGGAGGCGGGCGACGATGACGTCTTGGAAGACGTTCCATTTGGTGCAACGAGCGATCCGTCGGCGGACGCGGATGTGGGCGAGGTGCCCATGCTGCCCTGCTCCACCCGCGATAAGGCTGCTGTTGAGGAAGGGGAGGCCCACCACCCAGGCACCATCACCACCGCGCCACCGCTGGAGTGCTCACTGGCCCGGCCGTGCACGCCGTCCCCTATGCAGCAGCGTCAGTGGTGCATGCAGGCAAGCAACGAGCGCATAGTCTCGTCACGCTCCTCGTCGGCGGTGCTGTGCGCGTTATCGGATGCGCAGACGGCAGCTACGCGACATGGCCAGCCGCTGCTGCCGCACGCACACTCCTCCTCCAGCATGTTGTCGCTTTCTTCTGGCCACCACCACCACCATCACGCACTACACAGACACGGTCCACCTCACTCGCCGATACCGGCCGCAGTCCTGCGTAGTTGCCTCGCACCGGTGGCGAAGCTGGAGGAGAGCCCCTACCACTACATCACGCGGAACTACATTGGCGGCACGTTCCTGTACTACAGCACCGCCGAGAGCAAGGAGTACTTTCTGCGCCTGTGCCACCGTGTCGTCGCGCAGGTGCGACCACTGTTGGAGCAGGAGACCCTCTCCCCCCATCACGGCCTCTTCCCTCGCATCAACGCCCCGGCATACGTGTTTGGCGACATCCACGGCAACTTCGAAGACTTGTCCTTCTTTCTCAAGCGACTGCTTCTTTTCCATGACTTCAACCTCACCCCGGCAAATATTCTCTGCCTGGGCGACTACGTCGATCGCGGCCCTTTTTCGCTGGAGTGCGTGATCCTGCTCTTCTCGCTGAAGATCATGAACGCGTCGAAGATTGTGATGCTACGCGGCAACCACGAAGACCGCGTTGTGTGTGGCGACCTGCAGACCTACGGCCGCGGCTGCTTCCTCGGACAGTGCCAGACCGTGTTTGGCTACATGGAAGGCATGAAGCTGTTCAAAGAAGTCACGGCCCTCTTCAAGTACCTACCGCTGGCGGCGGAGCTGGTGATTCCAAGCACGCCGAACATCGCCTTCTTGCGCTCGCAACAAACCGCCACGCACCCGAACTTGTACGTGAGCCAGCCGGCGGTGCTGCTGCACGACGCAACCCCAGCAGCAGAGGCGCCGGCCTCTTCTGCAAAAGCGCAAGACGTGCCCCTCTCTTTCTCTTCCTCCTCCTCGCCGTACACCGCACCTCACCTCCTCCACCCGGGCGGGGATGTGGCCAGCGGCGAAAGCGGAGACAATGTTCTGTCAAAGAGCCCTTCCACCCTTCTACCACCGTCATTCCCCGTCACGACGCCTGCCGCGGCGGCAGCCGACACGACATCGGCAGCCATCCCCGCGACGGCAGGCGACAGAGCCATCGCGGACGCCTCGCTCGCACGTGGGCACCCTTCCCTCCACGAGGCCCACGAGGAGCGCATTCTCTGCGCCCACGGCGGCATCCCCCGCTTCGACCGGCCCCCGCTCGAAGACAACGCGCTGAGTGCCCTCCGCAGTCTCGCCTTCCCCCGCATGCTGACGCTTTTTCCAAACAACCCGATGGCGAAGGACGACCCAGAGTGCGCGCCGGACCACTTCGCTCAGAAGGAGCTGCCGGCGCTCTGGCGGCGATACCCGTCCATGGCACCACCGGAGTTTACCGCGGCATCGCGACGTGAGGCGGTGGAGGCGGCCGCGGCAGTAGGCAGCACCACCGGGCCTCTTGTCGCTGCGCACTCTGCAAAGTCGCGGAAGCTGATCTCGAGCTCCAGCAGCGCGAGCTACCCCAGTGTGAATGGACAGGACGAAGGGCGAGCGTCATCCTCTTCCAGCGCCTCCTCGGCCAGCTCGAATTCGCACACGCAGTCGGACATGACCAGCGCTTTGCAGGCAGGCATGCCATTGTTGCATCGCTGCCGCAGCCGCGACATGCTCCCGCAGCCAACGGATGAGGAGGTGCGGAAAGCGTGGTACACCACCTTTGACCTTCTTTGGTCTGATCCTACCTCGATGGAGTTAGAGGAGGAGTGTGCCGGCGTGCGCGGTAGCGCAGCTGGGGCAGCGCCGGCGTCACGCACGCACATCAACGAATGGGGCTTCGGCATCAACACGCGCGGCAACAACGTCGTGTCGTTTTCGGCGAAGGCGGTGGACACGTTCTTGACGGCGCACAACTACTCCATGCTGTTCCGCGCGCATCAGGAAAAGGCGCATGGCCTGCGCTGGAGTAAGAGCAGCAAGGTGCTGACCATCTTCAGCACCAGCAATTACATGGGCCACGGAAACGGCGCCGGGTGCGTGGTGGTGGCCGCGAACGGAGAAGTGCAGATGGTGGAGAAGGTATGCATGTAACGCCGTTCTTTTGTTGTTCATGATGCTTCGCTGTACTGCATCGTTCGTGCTTTACGAACAGCCGCAACAACGAGAAGAGTTAGCAGCACAAGTTCTTTGTTGCTGTGGTGGTGTGCCTCTCAACCTTCGAAGAGGCGCGACAGCGAGGATGGTTGACAGATACAGGATGACGCGGGATAGAAAAGTTGGCGCCCATCAGTTTCTTTTTCCCCTTTTTCTTTATTATTATTGCAATGCTCGAAGTGTACCCTGTTAATCTCAACTCGTCTTTCTTTTTGTTTTAATAAACTCTTTTCCCGTTTAAATTCTCTTTTTTACTTCGTACTAAGCTAACCGGATTAACACGCTACGTAATTGTTAAGGACAGAAAATAGAATACTTGCCAAAGAAAGAAGAAGAAAAAGCGCAGTAGTGTTCTCACGGAGCACGCGGCGGCTTTTGACGAACTCCTTGTTGAAGTCTGGCTGGAAGTAAGAAGGAAGTTGTCGCCTTCTTTTTTCTCCGCTGTTTGCCAGCGCATTAGCTTTCAACGTACGCGTGAGGTAATGGAAGGCCGCTACGGTTTCCTTTTGTGGGGGGCTTCATCTCGAAGTAGAACGAAACGTAGGTGGTCGCCTTACACTTTTCGCCTTCTGCGTGCGGCATGTTGCATCAGTAAATGCGCTTTCGGTGTGTTTTTTGAAGGTACTTTTATCTCCTTTGTCAGCGCAGCTGCAAACGCTTCTTTCCCTTTTCTCCCCTCGTTGTCTCTTCTTCTCGCACTCGCCCCTCTTCTCGTGCTTCTGCTTCCCTTCTCCCTCTCGCACCGCGCTCGACGTGACCTTTCCATTTGCCAGGGGAAAAAACAAAAACAAAACAAACAGAGAATAACTTTGGAAGTCAGCAGGATTGCACTAGCGCGGTTTGACGTGCCATACATTAGATCGTCCAACACTCACCCACACACAAACACATTGCATTACAACCCCAACCTCCTCTCTTTGCGCTTGACACGGAGCACCCACACACGCGCTACGCTGCTTAAAAAAACAACAACTACAAAACCTTTGTTACCTCGCACACAAGCTCGCCGTTGCAGAGGACGCGCAGAGCTTAATTTTCACATAAAAGAAAAGGAAGCAATCAGTGCTGCGAGTAATTCGCTGAAGAAAGAAGCCACCGTGAACAGGGAGTGCGACTTGCGGGTTCCTGCAGCGTTGTCCTGCGCAATAAGGTCCTGCTATTCCTTTATATATATGTTGCTCTCCTTTTGTTCTAATTTCGAGGCATATACATATCTACTGTTATTACCTGTCGGAAACTTCACGGGGGTATTTTGGGGTCTTGACCCCAACCACTTTGCCGAGTTTTTCTTGTTTTTTTTTTTCTCAGCTTTGGCGCAACGTTCACGTAGAAAAGGGTCACCTGCGGCCTAAAAGAAAATTATAATTGGCTCACATTGGCTTAAACTCTGCCTCCTCCTCTTTTTTTTCTTTCTTCTTTATAAGTCTTTTCTTCCGCTTTCCATACTCGCGTACATCACGTGGTGCTCATCAACTACACAGTCTTTCTATTTTCCATCTTGTCCATCCGTTCGTACGCGTCGCTCTTTACTCCTTTTTTTTTTGTGTTCTCTTTCTTTTCTACTCACACGCCGTAGCATCAAGGCGGCAGTGGTAGTCCACTTCTTATCATTCCAAGTCGTCAGGTGCAGCAAAGAAGCGCACGTTCCCTGATGCTTGAGGTGACAAGGAAAGAGCAAGCACTTCTCCATCAGAGCAAGAAGGAAGAAACGTAAAGGCACCAAAAATACATTCGCGACTCCGAAGTATCACCGTTTCTCTCTCCCCCTTTTCTCCTTTTACGGTTGTGGTAACGCAACAGGAGCGTGTTGAAAGGAGAAGAGAAACTATCTGCTTCCAAGGAGTACACCACAATCAGGTCTCTTCCGCCTCCCCCCCCCCCACCAAAGCAAGAAAAAAGAAGAGAGAAAGACCGCATCGATATCCTCTTCCTTTGCGTGATTGAAGGAGCGGAACACCATTAAGTTGGAACAGAAAATCACCATCCCGGTCGTTCTCCGTTTACTCTTTTTTCCCTTTCCGGGTACCCCTGTGTCTCTTAAGCAAACTCCAAAAAAAAATACGTTGTTGACCGATCCCGTCCCCCTCTCCAAAAAAAAAAAGACAGCAACCGAGGGAAAAAGAAGGAGGAGGAAGGGTTGTCAATCATTTGCTTGCTTTCGCCATTGTTTGCTGTATGTGTGTGTGTTCAACCTTCACCACGGCGTGACGCTGACAGTGGACGGAAGAGAAGTGTATATATTATTCAGCCTTTCTTCTCTCTTTCTTTGCCGTTATATTGGTAGCTTTAGCTCCTCTCATTTTACTAGTGTGTGCGCGTGTGTGTGTGTTTGTAGGTTCTATTATTATTGTGTAACATCTGCTTTTGTTTTTTTTCCTCTGAACGTTTCGTTTTAATATTTTCTAGTGCTGTCAGCCTCTGTGCTGTCACTAACGGCGCTTTTTTTTTTCTGAACTCGCATCCTGAAAGAAGATTTGCTGCTGCGTGGCAGGCGTTGTTTTTGTTTTCAACGAGAGAGGCGGAGCTTACATCCTCTCCTTGATTACTGCTGCTTCTCTCCACCACTGTCTTTTTATTGTCTTTTTTGTTTTTGTTTTACGAGCAGCATTTGTTTATTTACTTGTGCGACTTTCTTTCATTACTATTACTTCTATTGTTTTGTTGCTGGGAGCGAGACTCTTCACATTTTACGTGCTCCTCCTTTTTTTTTTGCAGCTGGCGGGCTGTTCCTCCCTTCCAGAAACCTGCCAAACTCCTGTGGCGGCCTTCTCTTCTTCCTGAGAAAGAGAATTTTCTTCCCCTTCCGGCTCAGTAGCTCCTTCCGACCTGAAAGTAGATACTTTTTTTTCTGGAATTTCAGCTGCGGCTCTCAACTCCCCGCTTGACACATACTGGAAAGCGAAACAGCGAAATCAGAGCTTCTTGAAGAGACGACCACTCAGCACAGTTTTCACGCGGTCTTTCTTGAACGGTGTCCATAACAAAAAAAGAATCAACAGTGCCTTTGATTGTCACTATGGCGGACAATCCTGTCATTTCAGATCGGCGGTTCCACACCTCCGACTCCGGCGAACTTCGCCACAACTCCATACACGACCGCGGCAGCAACCACAGCAGCTCGCCCGACGACAGCGACAACGACGATGACGAGCGCCAGCAGCAGCCGTCGCAGCAGCAGACGCCGACCTTGAGCCTACAGAAGCCGCCACTCGTGCCTGGGAGCGAGGTGCCGATGGTGTCTGTCCAGGTAGTGGATCGTCTGCGCTGGTGGCGCACCCGGCGTGTGCGAGAGCAGCCGCTCCCGGTGCACCACTACGTTTTTCGTGGCAACTACACGAACTACTCCTCCTTTGGCACGCGACCACTCGCACCGGGCTTGTCACGGTTGCTGGAGAAGGCACGCCGTGTGCGGGCGGAGTACCAGCGACAACAGCAGCTCCTGCAACGCCAGCAGCTGCTTCTGCGAGAGGCGAGCATCGCAAACAGCAGCGTCGACGACGCGGATCACAGGCACCAGCAGCACCAGCAGCAGCAGCTTACACGGGAGGAATCGGATCTTTTAGACAACAAACGCGCTTCGAGCACCGCTGTTTCGGCCTCCGCGGCTGCCGCGACGCCGCTCCTCACCCCACCCGACTCCAATACCCACCCCGGTGCAAATCGCGACGCCCAACATGCGGGGACCTCTCCAAACGATGCCGCGCCTCCTGCCGTCGCGGTGCCTCCTCTCAACATGGCTGCCATCGGCTCGAGCTCCGGTTCTGCGTCCGTCACCTCAACGAACTGCCCCACCGCACAGGAGGTGCACGAGGCAGAGCGCCTTCTGCGCCTTTATCAGCCACGCGCCGCCTCCCTGCCGGTGCGCTTGCGACATCAACGCCGTGTGAGGGGCTACGGTGGCGTCTCCGCCGGCGCGCAGCTGGGCAGCGGACACGGCGGTGCGGAGGAGCACACGTCACAGTCCATTCACCTTAAAGGGGAGCCGACCTCTGACGATATGACGGAGGTGTGCGGTGCGGCGGTGGCAGCGGACAGCGTGGTGGTGCTGCACCATGAGCCGCGTCTCGTCATCTATGGAAGGGATTTGAATCCCCGTGCAGCGCTGCGTGCGGCACGCGTGTCTAGCGATGCCCTCGAGGGCTTGCGCGACGTCGCCGCGGAGAACTCGGCGGAGGTTTTCGCACTGACCAACCTGCCCTTGAGAGGGTTTGAGCGCTTTTTCTATCAACAGCAGCTGCGTGATGGTCGACAGGGTGAGGCGTGTGCGCTATCTGCCGTGACGGACGCGATGCAAGACAGCAGCAACAATGCGAACAACAGCAGGGTAGAGCTCCCTGGTGCCACCGTGCCCTCTGCGCCGCCTGCAAATGAGGATGGCGACGATGCCGCCTATCCACCTGGCTACGGCGTGGTGAACCGCGAAGACGCTCTTTACTTCGGTGCGCCAATGACGATCTCCAGTCTAGTGTTTTCGACGCGCCCGCAGAAGCCGGCGCTGCCGCCCGCCACCGGACTGCGGCAACCCGCCCACCAACCACCAGACACCTCCAACAGAAGCGCGGAGCCACCTCATGGGGTGGCCAGTCGGACGGACAACAAAGGCGACAGTACACGGCGTCCTCGGCGGTGGACCTCGTTGCGCGCCGTCTCGGTGCCGTGCCTGCCACGGGTGTACAAGAGTGGCTGCCCGCAACTTCTCTTCCCACACGCCGTCGCCGCTGCTGCTGCCTCCTGCGCCGAGGCTACCTCGGTCTCCGCGACGGCAGCAGAGGCCCCAGCAACAACAGAGCGTGGGCGCAGTCGTGCGGGACAACGCGGCGGCGACCGCCACCTCCTTCCCTCGGCGCTGCGCTCCGGTGACAGGCTACAGGAGGGGGTCCATTTATGCCACCGCGTCGATGACTTGCAGGATGTTTACGCGTTTAACCCAATCTTTGACGCCCTCGGCAAAGGCGCCTTCTCCAAGGTGTACGCCGCAGTGCCCATTCTGCGTGGCCGTGACGGCATGCAGCGCTTTCGCACCCTGGATGACACGAATTGCATGTCCACTGCTGTCACCCCTACCAGCAGTCCAGCCGCCCTGAACAGCCTTTCCCCTGACGCCGCTGCTGCGACGGCTCCACGGCGCACGCCGCTGCGCGTGGTGCCCGTTGTCGCGCTGAAGGTGATTCCCCGAAAGGCCCGCCAGAAGGCGCGAGGGGACTTTGTCGACTCCCCCGCCTCCGCCGCACGCGCGCAGCATCCACCGCCGCCGCAGGAATCCACGAACGCCAACAACAGCGTGCGTCGGGAGCTCGTCGAAATTGAGCGTGAAGTGTCCATTTTGCGACGGCTGCACCACACAGGCTGCTCCCACTTCTATGAGGCCCTCCGTTCGCCAGATGCCTTTGCCATTGCCATGCGCGTCCACCCCGGCAGCATGGACGCCCGTCATTACCTCTCTCGCTACGGGCCGCCGTCTGAGGCGCGTACGGCGGTGGTGCTCTTCCAGCTCGTCTCCACCGTTCACTATCTGCACACCAACTTCGGCCTGATTCACCGCGACATCAAGTTGGAGAATTTACTCTTTTCAGAAGTGGACACCGCGGTGTCGACGGCTCGGATGTGCGAGGTGCTCGGCAACGCGGTGCACAAGGCAGATCCAGCGGCTGCTGCTACAGGGGAGGACTCCTTCGCCGAGCGATGGAGCTTGCCATGCGCGATGCCACTGCAGGACAGCAAGGCAGCGGCTTCCATTGCGTCCAAGGCGCACGAAGTCTCACGTCTGCTGCGTGTGACGTTGATTGACTTCGGACTGGCGCGTCGCACCCGGACAGCGGGGGTGTCGGCTAGCGTGTCCCGCCCGTGCGGCGATGGCACACGCAACCAGAGCTTCAGCGCGTCGATCAACTCCTCTTCGAATGTAGCCTCTGGCGCCGTGGCGGCAAATCCTGTCGGGCCGGCCGGCGTGGGTACAAGTGGCTGCAACAATACCGCTAACCTCCCAAGTCCGAACGTGCTATCAGGAGCTTCCGTGGGTGCAGTGAGCCCCAGCGCTTCTTTGGCGCCCCCAGCATCGACAGCTGCGACATCAGCAGCAGCCTTCACCGCCACCCGCAGTGCCAACAACAGCTCCAGCGCGGTGCCGGCCACGCAGCCGCCTCTCTGGCCGCCACGCCTCTGCCGCATCTCGAGCACCGCGGCGCACAACACGATCGTTGGCGCTGGCTCCTCTCGTGCGGGCATGCCGTCTCCTATGCCGTCCACCGCCAACATGTTCGCCCGCTTCCTGGACCTGGACGAGGAGTTGGATGACGTGGAATCTGTTGCGAACGGCGCGCCGACGGCCGACTCGGCCGGCGCAGCGAGGGCGAACACGGAGATGGTGGTGGAGCGCTACGAGGCCTCCATCACCTCCCCGCACACCGTCAACTCCTTCCGGCGACCGGGCAGCCGCACCGACTTCCCCGAGGAGGAGGAGAGCGCCGCCTCCAGCACCGACGTCAGCGCCTCGGAGACTGACTCTGAGTCGGACCACGGCGACGACGGGGAGGAGGAGGCGGCGAGCGCGCGCGGCGAGGCGGCTTCGACGGACGAGCCTGCGACGATCACCCTTTTTGCACAGATGGTCAGCGACCAGAGCGGTCCGACGTCGATACTCGTGGCGGCAGCACAGCCATCGCCGGCACTGGTGCCGAATGCCGTCTGTGAGGAGCCGTTGGAGGAGCGACGCAGTGGCACGTGTGGTGGCGTCGGTCGCAGCAGCGCGAATGCCTCGAACACCCCATCTGCGCTGCACCCCCGCCTTCCGCCCCCGCAGCACATTGCGCCACGCGACGACACAGAGGCGACGCTGCTGCTGACGCCGTGTGGCACGGAGAAGTACCTCCCGCCGGAGGTGCTGTCGTGGGTGCTGGAGCGTGGCTGGACCCGTCGCTCCACCACGGTGGGTCTCGCTCGTGCCATGGACATGTACGCGATCGGCATCGTCGCATATGTCTTGCTGAGCGGCTGCTTCCCGTTTAACGCGTCGTCGCGGGCGACCCTCCTGCAACAGCAGCAGCGGGTGCCGCGATGCAACAGCGCGCGGTGGTCCGGCGTGAGCGGCGAGGCGATTGCGTTTGTGCGGCGGCTGCTCGAGCCGAACCCGCTGAAACGGATGTCGGCGAAGGAGGCCCTGGAGCACCCGTTTTTGCTGGATGCGCGGCATCTGGCGGAGAAGCTGTCACTGGTGCCACACGGCGAAGGGGCGGAGGTCTCGCGCAGCGGCGACGACGGCGGCTCTGGTGGCGGGGACGCTCCGTTTGCCGCTCGCACGAACGTTGTGAACAGCAGCAGCAGCCGTAATCTGAGTACGCATGGCTTGTTCAGTCCCAATAGCAGCATGCGCGCTATCTGGTCGGCGACAGCGGCGCGTGGCCTGTCGCAGCCACCGCTCGCCACCTTCACCGATCGCGCTCACAGCGGCGCCAACGGAGGCTACCACCGCACCTCCAGCCTCGCTTCCCCGGTAAAGAGCGGCAATCAAACCACTTTTAATATGCCGTGCCGGTCCGCATTTTCAAAATCGTCCACGCCAGACGCGTCGTTCATGACCGTGTACCCTGCCGGGACAGCCGCGTCAGGGGGTGGTGAGGCAGAGGCCACGGGATCCGCAGCGGCCGCCCCTGCGACGGGCTCTGCTGTTCTGCCCCAACGAAAAACCGCCGCGACGACTCCCCTGCGCAGCAACACTAGCCGCGACGGCGGGGAGGCCGTTTTATTACACAGCGCGGACAGTGCGCAGCCCGATGTGTTTACTGTGATGCCGCGGGTGGTGCGGGGGAGTAGCAAACCTCCTATGAGGGAAGCGTATTACGAAAGGTCGTCTCCAACGCCACCACACTCACCTTCTCCGGTGCCGCCTGTCGTGCATGTCGCACCGCCCGCTGTCGCTACTGGTGCTGCTGTTGGGGCCAATGCAGAAGCTACGGAGCACGCCGCTGCTGAAATACCTGTCACGTCACCAGTGGCCAAGCCGTCGCCGTCAAGCGTTACTTCGGCCACCACATCTGACATGAAGACATCGGTGACTGCGGCGAAAGTGGAGTCTCCAGCATCACCGAAGCCTTCGTCTGCGCTTGTAAATCCCTCAAACGCGAAGAGCGGCGGTGACGACTTGTTCGAATCGCTGTACCACAATATCATGTTGAGTGACTCATGATGCTTCCACCTATGCGCTCTTGTTGTTGTTGTTGAAGTTTCTCTTGGCCGCATTTGTTTTTTTCTCTTTTGTGGTCGTGCGTGTTGGCGAGACACCTTTTGTTTCTCGCCTCGAAGCTTCCTTTTTTTTTTGGCCGGGCCTATAAGTCGGTATTCTCTCTTCTTGTTTCTCTCCTGCTTTGCTGCCGGTGGTGAATTCTTATTCTTCCTTCTTGCTATGATCTCTCTTACTGTATTCCCCCCCCCTCCTCCCCACCCGACCCTCCCTCCGGCCTCGGCGTGGGTGGTGGTCGTGTGTTGGTGGCACTTCTCGATGTCAGGTTTTCTGCTTTTGTGTCCTCTTCCTCCGTTCGCATGCGTAACTGTATTTTTCCGCGGTGTACGTACTATTATTGTTGTGGGCTTTTCTTTCATTGTATGAAGCGATTATTTTTGTTGATAGCGATTATTATTCTGAATAGCTTTCACGGACCTCGCGGCTTCTCGTATTGCGTTGTCAACCTGAAAAGGAAAGAAAAAAAAAGGAAGGCCACCTCCTCTGGGGCAGTAGTATCATTGTGAATCCCCAGCGACTCATCTTTGACTGCTTGAGAAAAGTGGAGAGGAGAGGGGGGGGGCTGCTGTACAACTAGTGCGATGACTCGGAGAATGGTGTGTAGCTCGTATATACGGAGTTTCACATTTGAAAAGGAGCAATACGCAGCGTGGAGCTCGCATTCGAAACTTTTTTGGGGGTTTGGATTTCTCCGTCGACGTTCTCACTTATGCGTAGAGCATTTTTTTTAGGTAACCCCCCCCCCCCATGAATGCACCCTTGCGGTGACACGTTCATTTGCGGTGTTCTGCTTTTTGACCTGCAAACAGTAACACAATCAGAACAACAGCGACAACTGCAATTACAAAGAGCGAGTGACGCTAACACTCAACTGAATGCACCCGTTTCTCTTCGGTGAAGTGGACAGATCTCGTTGCAAGACGCATGTGTACTTACGTCCGCCACACGTTGCATTTCTGCCGCGCAACTTCAGCAAGGCGCCTTTTTCTGAATTCACGGATGGCCGTGTTGCTGACGACAAACAAAGTAAGCTCGTTTCTCAATTCTTTCTCAATTCTTTTTCCTTCATCTTTGCTGCTTTGCTCATCATAGCAGTCGATACCGACAACGCATTTGCCGCCATCCCAGGCGTCGAAAGCGCAGCTTATTATCCAGACCCTGTATTCACAGGCAGAAACGCACAGTACAAGCCAGTCTCCCGCTTCTGTGCTATTTTCAGTGTCTCTGTTTGTGTGTGTGCTATCTCTTCCTCTCTTTTGAGAGCTTTTCAACTAGCTGTGCTTCTCAGTTGTGCTTTTCCGTTTCTATTTGCAACGGTTTTCGCAGCGAGGCGCAGCGTCCGCGTCTCCCTTAGCGGCTGTTCTTCTTGGATAGTGGTGTGAGCGACGCCGATGATGCAGACCTTATCTCTTCTCCTTTTATGAGAACAGTTCCTCTTTTTAGTAGCATTTTTTTCCCCTTGAATCCGCTCACGTTGACACTCGTCAGATCGTCGCTCCTTCTCCGGAAACTGTATTATTATTTTTATTGCTAGATGATGGACTGGAGAAGACCAATGCACAAAAGAATCACCTCCGAGATTTCTGAATGCTCAGGGAGCGTTGTCGTGCACTCTGAAGACTCCGGCAGCGTCATGCTGCACGACCTTCCCCACGACCGAGGGCCGTCTCTCCCTTTCGCATTCGGCGGCGGTGGTGGTGGTGGTGGTCGCCGCGCTGTCACCGGCATCGGCGGCACTTACAGTAGTAACGGCGTTGGTGTCTCCAATGGCGTCGCTCGAACGGCAGCTGATGGCCCTGCACGTGGCGACACCCTCTGCGGCGACCCTTCTCCCTCCTCAGCGAACGCGGTGGATGAGTTGGGCGGCAGCACTGTTGTGGGAGAGGCGGGTGTGAATGGACGTCGTTTACCGCGGCCGACGCCGGTACCACGGTGGTCGCAGGTGCCGCCGGAAGCACGGCCCAGTACGGCACCGTATCTTCTCCATCGTTACGGCCGCGGTGGTGGTGGTGGCGGTGGTCTGGGTGAGAGCCTCAACGCCTTCAAGCTGTACGTCGCCGACGACGGTGAGATGAAAATGGGCGACCACCACAACGACTTCTACGGCTTCAACTACGACCCGACGGACGAGACGGACGAGATGGCAAACTTGCGGCGGCAGCTGCTGGGCGCCAGCGGCGGTGGCGGCGACTTCTACGAGGATACGGAGGACTCCGTGTACGGCTCATCAGACGACGCGTTTGAGCAGCGAAACTCCTACGCTGCTGGGGGAGAGGCCGCTTACGAGAAGGGCGACGCAGAGAACACCGTGGCCGACCTCCGCAGCTGGGCGGTGGAGCCGGCGCTGCAGCTCAAGGGCGTCTCTCGACGTCGACGACTCCCACCGAAGCGGCCGGGCGGCGCAGGACACCGTGGCAAGAAAAAGGGCCGACGACTGCGCCGGCACCTGCGTGACGCGCTGACGGGCGCTCCGTTCAGTCGTCAGGCCAGCAAGGAGAACGGGGGAGGTGGCGGCGCTGGCACGACCCAGATGCTGGCACGATCGAACCGGTCACTTTCCTACACCACTTCAACGATGCAGAGGAACGGACGAACGAGCAGCGGCACTGCTCCACCCGCGCTGCCGGCGGCGTGTGTGCGTCCAGGTGCGTACGTGGCTGCCGCCGCGGCCGCCTACCCCGACCTACCCGCCAGTCTCGGTGCATTAGTGCTGCTGTCCCCCGGCAACCCTTCCACGAACCCGTTGGATAAAGTCAATCGCGTGCGACGGCGTCTGTTGCAGCGACAACGGGATGAGCGGCGCGAGTGCGAGTGGAAGCAGCGCGCACGTCGTTCGCTGGAAGCGCAGAAGCAGCAGGCGGCAGGTGCAGCCGCAGCAGGAGCTGACGCACCGAAAGGAATTACGATGACGTCGCAGTCGCCACGGACGCCGCACCACACCGCAAACGGCGCCAGCGACCGCAATGATGGCGCGAACACACGCCTCCCCCACCCCCTCACAGAGCTACGCTTTTCCTTTGAGGACCTGAACCGCAGTACCGGACCGGGCACGGCCCGCATGGGTGCCGGCGCCTCCCTCGACATCCTGCGATCGGCACGGCAACGCGTGCGGGAGTCTCCGCGGCTGCAGGACGTGCCATTGAAGAACCAAGCCGTCTACGTGCGCGCTGCTCCAAACGACCTGGCTTCTGCGGCTGGTCAAAACGCCGATGCGAGGGCACAAAGCGGCGGGAAGACTCTGGGGGTGATGAACAGTGGAGCAGCGGCTTCTGCGTCTCGGCAGCCGCGGGAGCTATGCGATCCTTACACCGGTGTTGTCATTCCTGCCTCCTTTGACTTTGCTGCGGGGCAGAGCCGCCCCGCCGTGGTCTTCTCCTGTGCGACCGGCATCCCTTTCTTCCACGACCCCACCGCGCCGCGACCCATCGCCGTCGTCGACGTTGCGCAACCGCTGCCGCTGTCGCCGCCGCCTCTGCTCTCGCCCACCGCGACGTACATCCTGCCGAGCTCTTTGCAGCAGCCGCTTGCAAACGTCGCGCGGCAGCCCTCGCAGGCACGGCGCAGCTCCGTCCAGACCAACTCGTCGCTGGGCAGTTCCCACACAGTTTCCATGGTGCCTACGATACGCTTCCCACCATCACCGCCCCCGCTTTTTTCTCTCCTTTCGACGACCTCCGTTGACACTGCGACCGTCGCGGCAACTAAATCTGCAGCGGGACGAGGCAGCAATCCAACACCCGATCGTTCAGTCAACCCCTCAGGGTACGGCGCAAGCACGCCAGACGACGTCACGGGTAGACATGCTCGCACCGAAACTGCGAGCTACCACGACGCGCGCCTCGCCTATCCGAATGCCGGCAACGACAGCGAACGCTGCGGCAAACACGATGCCACCCTTAACAGAGCGTTTCCGCACTCGCCGGCCGATCCACGACAGGAGTTGGTAACGCCTTTGGGGAGCAGCAGTGGCACCAGCGCCGTTAATGCACTGACAGCCGGCGAGTATCGGATGCCGTCTGCTATAACCGGAGGGAATGGACCGCGCCAGCGGTGGCGGCCGCACGGAAGTGTAGTGAGTGGCGGTGGCGGTGTCAGTGGCTTCGATGGAGCCACCACAGCTCTCAACGGCAATGGCGCGGGCCTGCCGCCTCCGTGGCGGTGGCTGCACGGACCGTTGTCGCCCAGTGCTGTTTTTTCCGCTCGGAGCAGCGCCTCGGGTGGCAGCCGCGGTGGCCAGCGAGAACTGTCCATCAGCGACGCAGTTGACGGGAGTGCTATCAACAGCAAACCCGACCATCCCGGCGGCGGCGGTGCTGCTGCGTATCCGAGCCTCAGTGAGGGCAACGCCGTTAGCGGGTCCACCGCGGCGATGGCAGCGCCGGTGTTCAACCTTCGCGGGCTCTCCAATGCATGTGAGGCGAATTGGGCTGCCCTGCGCAACGCGACTCCGTGGCCACGCCCACGCGAGCCTGGCACCTCGCCTCTGCTAACGCTGACGGGCACCAACAACGCCGGTGCCACCACTGCTGCGCAGATCCCGCGCTATCCGAGCCTGGTGGCACCGTACGCTGCCCCGCGTAATCCGCTGCAGCAGAACATTCGCTACAACGCGTGGACCGCAGACGGCGTGGCGGCCTCCTCCGGCGCGGCCTGCGTCGTCCACGTCTTCACCATCACACGCGAAATGCTGCGCAGCGTGCACGAGTACGTCGCCCACCGGTGTGCGCAGCGGCACGAGATGGCGGTGCGGGAACGGGAACGGGCACGGCAGCGACGCATGAAGGACGCCATGGCCGCGGGTGTGCTGACGCGCGACCTGCAGCGGTGCTTGCGCTGCCCGCACTGCGGAGTTGTCGGACAAATTTTGAAGTCGGTGCCGTCACGCAGCGCAGGGGGGCCGTCGCTGCCGCAGCGGTCGCAGCCGCACGCGCAGACGCCTCACCAGCTGTCGCAGTCCGTGAATCAGGTGCGTGGGATGAGCAGTTCCCCGCACAGCTTCCGGGCTTTGCGTGTCAGCGCCTCCGCATCCAGCTTTGATATGGAGACGCAGAAACAGCTAACCCAGCAGCCACAAACGGAGCGTGGAAGGCACGCACTGGCGTATTCGGAACGGGCGTCACCGCAGCACGTGAACATGGCCCCGCCGCCGCACGCACCGTCGACGGCGTCAACCGGTAGCAGCACCGCACACCCGTCTGTTGCCCACCCCCTTAACACGAACTGTGACGTCAATGCGCCGGACAAGATAACGATGGAGCTGCCGGGACACGACGCCTTTCGGGAGGGAGCCGCAGGGACAGTGGAGGAAGAGGAAGTCCACGTTGCTCGTTCCGTCACGCACGCTATTGGCAACAAGGAGGTAACGCACGAAGCGGAGAGCGCTACAACGATAACACCTATTTCGACATCGCCACCTACGTTGGGTGGGCCGTCGGGGCACAACAGTTCGCTGCCGCCGCTGCCGCCCACCTACGCGACACAGCACGCACGGCTAGTTTCGCGGACGCAGAGCATGACATCACCAAACGATAACACCGGTTTTCCATCCACCGCATTTTCGTCGCAGAAGTCGCCCCCACAAAGCGCTGCCGCGTTGGCTTCACGCGCTGCCCCGCTTCCGGAGGTGACGACAGCTGTACCATCGGTGGCGATCGGAACCCCGAACAAGCGCCGACCCTCGCCCACTTTCACAGCGAACACGGCCACCGGGCCGACCGCTGACAACGCCGAGGCCAACGTGGAGGTCCCATTGGAGAAGTCCGGCGGCAGTCGCGAGCTGTCGCGGTCGTTTGCAGGCCTCCAACCGCAGCGCACCTCCAGCTCGCAGCCGGATTTTCAGCGGTACTCCGCGTCATCGTTCCACAACGGCGTATTCTCGAGCGACTCCCACTACAGTCTATCACATGTAATTTGGCCGCGAGCGAGCCAGGAGCGAGAGGAGAGCAGCCTACGTGACTCGATCCGCACATCCGATGGCTCGCCTGGCGTACCGGTCCGAGGCAACGTCAGAATCGTCAGCATCAACGGCGAGGAGGAGGAGGAGGAATTCCGCCAACACGTCCCTCCTCTGCATTCTTCCTTTGGGCTGGTGCGCCGCTATGCGCCGACGCCGCCGCCGCCCTCGTACTCGTCTCTTCCAGAAGGCTTCCTGACCCCGTTAACAGTATCAATAGGTCGCCAGGATTCTACGTCTCCAACCCTGGCAGAGTTCACCGTGGGCGGTCATGCCGCGACGAACCCTGCTGCTGCCGTTGTTGCGTCGGCGTACACCAAACGTCTCCTCTCTCCCTCGTCGCCGTCTCTGTTGCCGGCCGGTGCCAACGTGCTGCCGCCGCTCGCTACCTACGGAAGCAACAGCTCTTTCTCCATGCCTCCCACCGCGAATACGTCACGGCAAGCGACGCGACCACCACCACCACCACCACCACCACCACCAGCGGGCTTCCGCACCAGCGGCAACGGCTCCTTTGCCGCTTCCACGCAGGTTTCTGCCTTTACGCCCGCCGTGCCGCCCCTGGCACCGTTGGGCACACCGCTGATAGGGGACACCGGTGCGCACAGTAACGCGAATAGCGGCAGTAACGCCATGCAGTCTCGCGATTTCTTTGGGGAGTCTGTGAGCGCGACGATGAACCGCGAGTCCTGTGTGTTGCCGCGGCGCTACGTGTGTCAGAGCTGTCACCGCGACGTGGTCCCGAAAACCTCCATGGTGAGCCTGGCGTTGCTCGAGGATCGCGCGCTGTCGAAGTCCGTCAACGAGGCCGCCTTATCGGCGCTGATGAGCGACAAGACGGACCACACGCACTTCGACGAGTCCTTCGGCGTGCTGGCCTTTGATGACCTTCTTCAGGACGATGCCCTGATCTACGCGTTGCAGGCGTACCTGCAGGAGTCACTCATGCTGCCGGCAACGCGTCCGCCGCGACCGCCACGGACTGCCGCAACGCCCTTAATGCCGGACGCAGCCTCTGCGGCTCCAACTTCCGTGGTGTCCCCAAATCCACATTTTGTGCCGAGTGGCTCTCTGCTCTCCGATTTGGCGGGGCCGAAAAAGACGGAGATGCGGTCCCCCACGCTACCTCCCTCTGCGTCCGCTTCTTCTGCCTTTGGTGGTGTTGGTGCTGAAGGAAAGGCGAAGGCGACTGACATGAACTCGATCGATGCGTCCCGCGTACAGCTCCTCGGTGCGCTGTGCCCCACCGGAGAGGGTGCTCCGCAGATCATCATAGAGGGGACGTCACACAATGCGGACCTACCGACGAAGGATATCAAGCTGCAGGGGTCACTGGCAGCGCGCGCCAACACCAGCGCCGCCGCCGCCACCACCACTGCGTTATCGTTGCAGGGGCCCTTGCCGTCGTTTGCGCGGCTGTCGTTGCAGTCGTTGTCCTCCTCGCCGTCATCTTCGTCGGTGCCGTGCTCCGCCCGTCCGAAGACAACTGCACCGGAGGAGGACGACAATAATGAAGACCACGCCGCTGTCGCTGCGGAGGATCGTCTTGTGCGTAAGTCCACAAAGGCGATGATGGCGACCGCGGCGGCGGCGCCGGTGCTGCTGCGCTTGTGTGTGCCGTGCTGTGGCTTGAAGGTGAGCGTGTGGGACTCTGCGAGGCCGCGGACGCCTGCCGCGCCGCCGCAGTTAGACGGAAGCGTGAGCGCGGGGCAGGTGCCGGACACGACGATAACTCCCGCAGAAAACGCAACACCCAAGACGCCGTTGCAGCGAAGAAAGTCCGTCGGCAAAGAAGGCGGACGACGACAGTCAAGAAAGACCGCCTGCCCTCCACCGACGATACCCCGCATGCGCGAGGATGCCGCCACGCGAGGCCTGACGCAGTCTGCGCTGCTTATCAAGAAGGAAGTCCCCGCCACGAAACACGTAGGAAAGGAGGCCGCCGCGGCATCTGCAGAGGCGCAGCGTGGACGGGGCAGCAGGGCGACTGCGGCAGGTGCGTCACGTCGACCGTCGACTCGCCGAGATGGACGACAGACGGAGACTCCGGTGGCTGCCCGAGGAGAGGAAGGAGGGGGAGTCGCCGCCGCGTCTTTTGGCGCTGCGCAGGAGCTCATTAAATCGAGTAAAACGGTGATGCAGGACACCGACGCGTCGAAGCGACACCGCGTACAAATCAACTCCCGCATGCGGCTGGACGCGACGAGCATCAATCGCATCTGGGAACGTGTGTTCACGCAAGACAAGAGCAGCGCCGTGGCGGCGGTCGCTGCAGGTCGTGACAAGGCGCGCGCCAAACGACTGAAGACGCTTGGAGAGGAAGCCGCACACACTCCTCCTGCGAAGGCGAAGGCTTTGGAGGCGGGTGCGGCGAAATCCACTTCGGAGTCGCCGCGGGCTGCCCCGGCAGCGCCTTCCTCTGCAGCGTCCCTTGCACCCGCTGTCAATGCGCCCGCCCGCATCCACCAACACATTGGCATCGATCTCAGCACGTACGACGACTCCAGTCTTGTCTTGAAGGTGGAATTGGCCTATCCTCGCTTACCGGGCGGCAACGTGCGCCAGCTCCTGCACGAATGGGGGACAACCTACCAGCCACACCCGGTGCTGCTCGAGGCGGTGATCCGCAACATTGTGTACGGCGTGCTGACGCAGCTGCACACTCTACACGCGGCAGGCTACACCAGCGGCAACGTGAAGGCCACCAATGTGTTTCCGATGTGGCATCTGATGAAGGCGACGAGGGAGTCGGGGATGAAGATGCCGCCATGTGCTGCTGCCACTGCTGGTGATGCGGCCGCGGAGGCACATGCACGGGACATGGGCGAAGGCAAAGGAGACCAAGACAATCGACCTGGTCACGTGCAGGACGGTGCCAACGCCGCGCGGGGCAACGATTCATTGTTGCGAGCGACAGAGCAAGTGGGCCGGTCTCCGCCAACTGACACCGCTGCGCTTTTACGGCTACGACGCCCTTCACAGTTGTGGTCCACGTCGGTACTGCAGCATCAAGCGGCGAAGGAGTCGCCCCCATCGCTGGGCAACACAGCCGCACAGTCCGCTGGCCGTGCGAGGAAGCGGGGGACTCACAAAAAGGACTCGTTGACCTCACCAATGCCGCATGGAATCGCCCAGCCGGAACCGCGACAACCGCAGGAGACACAAGGCGGAGTGGCGCACCGGAGCACGGGCACCAAGGCGCCAGAGACGACTACATCAGTGGAGGGGACCCACAAGCAGACAAACAGCCTCAGCGAGTCTAATGCCTCCAGCTATGAGGAAGGTGCCAGTCGAAGCGCTGAAGAAGAGCGCCAACATCGGTCGATCGCTACAGCCTCCACCGTGTACTCGCCCGCCGTCGCACCCCAACAGCTCGCTTCCCCTGCGACAGAGCAGAAGGGTGGCGACACACCACCGACGGCGGAAGCGCTGTCGATGCCGGATGCGATGACGGCTCACTTCGTGAGTAGCGACATCCGAAGCGGCAGCGGTATCTTTCCCTTTTCTCCTGCACAGGGAATGACCTCCTCCTCCTCGGTATCAAGCCGTCGAGGGCGTGGGTTCAGCATCGACGACAGCGTTATCCCCATCGTTCCGCGCCGGAAGAGCACCGGTGCGGAGGCGGGCGGCGGACGTCGCACGCAAAGTGCCGGCCCCGCAGACCCGTCTCGTCGCGGCAGCGAGAGCACGCACAGCCGCAGCTGGGAGGAGCAGGAGGAATTGGTGCCGCTTCTTGTGGAGGTGGTGACTCCATCTTCGATATCTATCGCAGGAACAGCCGACCACGGTGGTGGTGGTGGTGGTAGCCTTTCTGTGTCTTCACCGCTGCCCAAGATGGCTGCTGCGTCACCTCGACCGCCCGTTCCAACGGCCGAGTCCGCCTCGTCCGCGATGCCGCGCCACGGCCTGCCAAAACGACGTGGAGATGTTTCCAGCCCGACCAGCGACTCTAAATTCACTTTCAATTACTCGCCTGCGTGGATGGAGGAGACGCACCGGCAGCGGTACGTGCGAGGGGCGCGGCTCATCCCACCTGCCCGCGTGCTGCTGCCTTCTCTTAGCGCCGGTGCTCAGGAGGCCGGGGGACAGAAACGCAAATACGAGGATCGGCAGAGCAGCTCGGCGAAGGCCCCCCTGTTATTGCCGTCCAAGGACGCGTTCGGTGAGAGCACCAATGAGGAAGATAACTGGCCAACGGGTGGGGCGCACCCGCTGCTGGCAAGCGGACCTACTGGTGCGGTGCCACGGCCCAAGTCACGCCACTACAGCCACACTGGGAGTCTGTCCAGCAAATCCAAGGCGGCCGGTCGGTCCTCCGAGAACGAGACGGACGGCGATGGCGGCGATGGCGACGGCAGCACGCTCGACCCGCTGCAGTGGTCGCAGCAGGTGATGCTGATCGATAACCTCGGCACACGTGTGGAGACGGCGCTGTGCCTGGCCATGACAAAGGTGCTCATCCTCCACCCTCCGTGTCCGGCACACCGCCCCACACCGCCCGCCGCATCGAAGGAGGACAAGGGCGACGCTCAGGAGGGGAAGAAGGCCGCAAGCAGAACAAACGGCAATCCTCCGCCTGGAGGTGCTGGTAGCGGCAAGTCACTCAATTTGTATGTACCGGATCTTAAAGTCGCACCGCCTGCTCAGCCGGTGCTGTTTGGCATTCAAGAGGCGGAATACGTGCCCCCGCCAGAGACCATGCGATGTGCGCGCGACGAGGCAAAGGCGCTGTGGCGTCTGTGGCGGCAACAACAGCAAGTTCCGCAGCGCCAAGCACCGTCTCCTCTGTTTTCTACCCCACATGGCGATCGCAGCGCCGGCATTACAGTGGATGACTCCGAAGCGGCGCAGATGGAGTACGTTGTCGCGCAACTGGCGGAGCAGGCGTGCCCTGCAACGATGCTGCGCAACACACTGGACCCCTACCCCTTCCAGATGCCCGCTGTGGACATCTGGCAGCTGGGCATGATGGCACTGGACCTCGCTGACGGCCCGGTGCCGACGACGTGGCTGAAGCAGCGAGAGCCAACTCCGCGGCTCAGTCCGTATCCGTGGTCCTCCTACTTTCAGTCCTTCGTGTCGCGCTGCCTGCAGCTTCAGCCGGAGAAGCGAGCGACGACGGAAGAATTGCTGCATCACCCATGGTTCCGCGTCGCGCTCGTCCCGCAAGTAACCGGCGGTGGCGGTGCGCCCGATCGGCGGGGCAACCGCCTCCCATCCGCCGCCTTCTCGCGAACCCCACCTTCGCTGTTGCCGCACCCGGTGTCGCTACCACGTGTTCCCTGTGTGATGGGCGTTGACTGTCTCACGGCAGAGGAGCAGAAAGAGTGGGAGGGGTTTGACTACACGTTGCTCTACGCCAACAGCGAGGAGGTGCCTCCGCTAACGGCAGCGGCGGGTTCGCCGGTCAGCAACTTGGTCAACGGAGTAAGTCGCCTGCGCCGCGCCTCGGCCGACTCCCCGGCAGTCTCAGCCACCGATGCTGCTGCTGCTGCTGCTGCTGCTGCTGTGGCGGGGCACGACAGAATCGGAGGTGCTCACGCAGGTGGCAGCAGCAATGTGGGAGGACTCGCCGCGGTGTCCACCGGCGGGGACAGCACGGAGGCTTCGCAGTCCTTCGGCCTTGGTACGGGAAACAACACGGGCGGTGCTTCTCATGTCCGCGTAAGGACTACGACGACGGCGGCGGCGATCCACACCAACAATAAAATGCACAAAGGCGGCAGCATCAACACTGCCGTGGCCGGCGCGTCAGATGCGGAGTTCACGGCGTTGTCGTCGGTCGATTTGACGCAGTACTTCACTCGCTTTGCGGCGCTGCAGTGGCGACGGCAGCAACAACAGTCTATTGCCGCCTCGCTCGCTGTCTCATTTCCAGGAATCGGTGCAAACCGAGGCGGTGGAGGGGCAGCTCCTTTGGCGGAGACGGCGGGACCTACAGCACTGGACACGCGAGGGTTCGGCAGCAGCGTGTTCATCACCTCTTTCTTTGAGCACTCCCTCCCCATCTCCGCCGAAGATGTGCTGACGATGCTGCGGCAGTCGTCGTCGAACTCGCGCTACCTGCAACTTGGCTCGCCGCGGCAAAGCCTGTACAACATGCTGTCTCCTCGACCGCCTCAGCCAGCCACGGCGCTGATGGCTTCACAGACTCAGCAGACAGACAGCGCGGTTCCCCCGCTGCCGCTGCTGGGGAGCAGCAGCTCTTTTGGCGCGGCCCTCAAGGGACTTCCGTACGGCCTCCCCAGTGCGTTGAGGGCGACCGGCATGAACGCGCCTTCGCCGGCCGCACTGCCCGCCGCGAGTGGTGGTGGCGGCAGCGTTGCCATGGTTGGGCTGCCGTCCGCCTATGTGCCGCTGCGAGACCCGCGCTTCGGTAGCCCGATGAACAGTTTGAACACCGCCACAACACCTACCTTTGCCGCTGGAGGAGGTAATGACTTTGTCTCATCACGGTGGGTGAGCGTGACCGGCGATCCTTCATTCGGTTCCACCGCACTGGCTGGTCAGCAAAGCTCGCAGCGGGCCGACTCCTCATCACCATTGTTTCAAGCGAGTGCGCGAGACACGCCAACACTGTTTAGCACAGCTGTGACGGCACCTTTAACCCCGGCTGGCGTCGACGCACGTCGCTCGTACTCGGACCGGTTCGATCCCCGCTCGGCCAACCTCTCCGACGCGGACCGTCGCACCGACGGCGAGGACGTGGAGGTCGGCAGTGACAGCAGCTACATCGACAGCGACAGCAGCGACAGCGAGGAGGACGACAGCGACGACATCAGCTACGGGGAGCAATCCACTCGCAGCAGCAGCAGCGGTCTTGCTTACGGAAAGGCAGATTACACCCGTCAAGGGAGCTCTGGCGTGCGCAGCAACCACAGTCACATTCGAAGTTTGGTTAACATCGTCGACGAATCGCGCTCGGCAAATCGAGGGGGCGGTGAGGTGCCGTACCGAAGAAACGATGTCGTATCACACGGCGACGCCCAGGGCAGAGCATCACGGACTCCCGGCGTGCAGCTGGCGCAGAATCCCGAATGGGTCACGGGTGGCGTTGGAGGCGCGGCGATGGATCGGGCACCGTCGAACATCGCAGGACTTACCCAGCTCTTCTCTTCCGCGTCTGTTGCGGTGAGTGACCGCACGAGTAAGCGGCCGCAGCGGCTAGGTTCGGCAACGCCTGGGCTTCAAGGTGTTGCGGCCGATGAGCGCCACTGTCGCTCCCCCGGCGCCGTCCCACGACGCCGTCCGCGCCACCTGCTCTTTGGCGTCATCGCCACGAGTCTAGCACGGCTGTCGACCGTCATGGGGTCAGCGAGTGACACCGACAGCGACGACAGCAGCGATTCCAGCGACGCCGACTCCGCTGCGTACGGTGAAGGCCGCCTGAACGAGTGCAGCAACAGCTTCCCGGACAGTGCACGCAGTGGACGCCGGCGGACGGAGAACTTCCGCGACGCCGCCTGGGAGGACTTGGCGTTGCGCACGAGTTGCACCATCTCCGCCGCTGCAGAGCACCGCAGCCACACCATCGCCAATAGCCGATTTACTCCTCTCTCCACCCTCAACCCGTACGCTCGCGTGTACGGCGAGGAGGAGCCTTCTAGCGCGGACGAGAACGACGACGATTCGCGGTACGATGTCGAGGTGCAGAGTGATGAAATTCTGCGCTGCTTCTCGGCACTGCAGCGTGGGTGCCCGATGGCAGTGAGCTTGTGGTGCGTGCGCGTGCTCCAGCAGGCTACCCTCCACCCCCGCACCTCAGCTGCCGCGGGCCGCTTGTTAGAACGGGTGGAGCGCGACGTGGTGGGTGGAGCGGGGGCGAAGAACTTAGCGTGGCTGTCTACCAAGAACTCGCTGGCGATCGCTGGTACGACAGCAGGGCGGCGGAACGGCGATGAAAGGGTCCCTGCCACCTCCGTGCCGAGCACCGTCGCTGTGGCAGCGGAAGCCGCGACCTCGGTGACGGCCCCGTCGCCCTCGCAGACGCCGCCGCCGGTGCAGGACACCTGTCCGAGCACGTTCCACAACTACGAGTTGGCCAAGTGGCTTTACGCCTCCCACCAGACAATACCGCGGTGTGTCTGAGAACCAAGAAGAGAAGGTGATCTGTGCCTTCCCACCTCTGCCTTTTTTTTTTTCACGGAGGGAAAGCCAATTGAACGAGTCGTTTGTCATCGACGTAACCAAAAATTGCAAAAGAAAGACATCACAAACAGCAACAAACAACACCCAAAAAAAATGCACATGTGTCGCCTCGTTCCCATTGCACGCAGACACACAGACGCATGTTTCCATGAGCTTTTCGTTTGCTCTGTCGATAAGGAGTTTTTTCCAAAGCAGCACATTTGTGTTCTTCTCTCGCTGCCGCGCTCCCCTTTCTCGCCTTCCTATCTTCCTCACTTGCTACGCAGACTTTCCAGGGTCTCCTGCTCTCTCGCATCGTTTCAGCGTCACGGCGTTCGAATCGACTACTCTCCAATAGTAACGAGTATCCAAGAAGGAATAAAGGAAATCATTTATCTGCCTTCCCATGTCCTTTGCAAAGAAGCAGTCGGCAAAGAGCGCCGCCCCGACGAAGGAGTCTGTCAAGAACCCCGTCATCTATCACGGCTCCGTGCTGCTGCACAACCTGCCTACCAACTTCAACAAGGTGTACAACCACACCGTGCGTCGCCTGCTCCCACCCGCGCAGCACAAGAACATTGCAAAGAACGTAAATCTTGTGGAGGAGATTGGAAACGCCACGATGTGCGTCGAGGTGGCGAACAAAGCCACGGCGCACCTGCTGTACCGCCAGCTGCAGAACCGCAAGGTCTACGGCCGGCGGTGGAAGGTGCAGTACGTCCCGGTGAGCGCGTTAGAGTGCAGCCCGGAGGCGTGCCTGGTAGACTGCTTTCTCGTCCCGGCGGCGTCGCAGATGTTGGCGGAGCGCGCGCTGAGTGGGATCCCTGGGTTTCTGTCCTTTATCGACACACCAGATGAGCTCCTGCCTGCTGGTGGCGGTGCCGCGCCGTCGCCGATTCGCGACGCGGACAACGACAGTGAAGCAGAGGAGGGCGACGCGAAGAACTTTTATGAAGGCCAAACACGGCACAAGCTTTTGGTGTCCTTTGCGGATGAGGGGAGTGCGCTGCACGCGCGTGCGGTGTTGTCGGGTCGTTTGGTGGGGACGACTGGGGTGCGCATGTTCCTTGAGCGTCGCAGCACGGCAGGCTCTCACTGAGGACGTCGGCCCCTTCTTCTTCTTTTTTGGCTCACCGTTGTTTTTCAAGCATCACTTAATGACCTGGGTGGAGATGTGCGCCGTCCTCCCTCCTCTGTTTCATGGCGGGCGGGCACGTCACCTCCTCGCAGTTTAATAGTGAACATTTTCTTCTGTTTTTGCGGTTAATCTAACGCTGTGCATCGTACTCGAGTACGCTTGTTGGAACTCTCTAAGTGGTGATAAAAGTGCGGCCGCGCACATACTTCCCGATCAAGGTTGTGTACTGGCAATGAAAAAGAAAAGAGTATCGAACGATGTCGCCGCCTACGTGCTTTTCTTCGACGAGGGTCGTATGCATCGATGTGGTATTGAGCCAACGCCTTGCCCTTTGCTTGTTTTGTTTTTTCATAATGCCAAAATCACTCACCTGCTTATGGTAGTTGTGTCTCTCCTCGGTTCCGCAGGCTTCGGAATCACCGTTTGGATCCGTTGGATCGTGTGTGCTATGTGGCATCGCAATGGAATGAAACGGAACAAGGTCTTTGCAGTAGAGCTCGAATTCGGTGATGCATGTGGCTCCTCCTCATCCCTTGTGCCTCCATCTTCTTCTGTTTTCTTACTTTCCTTCTTCTGCTAAAACAATCTAATGCGCCACTTCCCCAGAAACACGGAGGAACTTACGGCGAGCCACATCCACCGCGACGAAAGCAGCCATGTCTCGTAACAGCAAGGAGTTCAACAGACTTGCCGATCGTTTTGCGGTCGAATACGATGAACAGCGCCTCGCCCTGGAGCAGTGTCTGCAGTCACGCATCAACGACGACATTAACTTCGTCTGCCAACGGCAGAAATCTGCGTATTTGGAAGGCATCGCTCAGCTGTTCTGCAAGAAGGAGTACGACGCCGGCGTCAAGTGCCAGAAAAGCGCAGGAGAGAGGTGGGCCTCGGACTGCTTCAAGGAGAACGTCGCTTTCGGTCAGTGCACCGACCGCGTGCTGAAGCAGATGTATGTGTACAACTTAGAGCACGACAAGAAGAACCCCGCCGCCAACTGAGAGGTCTTTAAAAGGCTGACAAAGCTGCTTCGGCATCCGCCCGCGGCCGTCGATGGCGAGGGAGGGATTTGCTCGTTGCGTGTTGACTCTAGTGTTTTTCTCCCTCTTCTTCACATGTACGGACTTGTATCGTTGATCTCGTGTGCCTTAGTGCGAGTTTCAGGGTCTTGTGCCTCTGTCTGTGCACTTCAAAAGAGCAAAATAAAATGGAAAATAGACCGTTTTTCCCCTCCCGCATTTTATTTTGGGCGTGGTGGCGATTTGTGTTTGTGTATTGTGTGGTAGGGGGTGATGCAGCGTAAATCCTTCACATGGTATTGTTCCTCCCGCGAATGCCTCTCTCCCTCCCCCCTGTCCAGGACGCAGTAGCCTATGCAAGGCGACGTTAGCATCTTCGCCTTTTTCTGCTCTCTCTGCTTCTTCATCGTACCCCTCAAACACCAGAAATGGAAGCAAAAGAAAATGTAATATTGACAGAGACGACGACGACGGACACACCACGCACAGCAGCCAATGTTGACCCTGCAGAGGGCGTTGAAGCTTCTCTGTGGAGCAGCGCCGCACGCTGGCGCTCCTATCTTTGCGAGCGCTCCGTCGTCTTTCGAGCTTTGCAAGAGGAACGGGAGCGGGGGTGGAGGTCGAGTGCGCTGGATGCCTGGTATGCGCGCCGGCAGGCACCCGCTGCGCAGTCTTCGTCGACCCATGGGACCATGAAAAGCACCGACGCTTCGACGACAGAGAGGAGGACTGCTACGGGCCCAGCTGGTGTTGAAGCCGTCACATCCGCTTCCGCTGCCTCGACTTGCGCTGTCACATCTCCCACAGCAGCCGCGGGTGGCACCACGTCCTTTGTTGACGCGGACGTTGTCGTCCTCGCGGAGCGTTACCGGCAGCACGCCCGTAGCGTCACCCAGCTCGCCGCGAGCTGCTTCTTTAGGCGGTCTCCGCGTTCAGCCGAACCTCCGCTTTTCCTTGACTTGGGGTGCGCGCCTGGCGGGGTATCGAAGTACCTGCTGGAGGATTTAAAGTGGCGTGGCGTGGGTGTCACCCTCGCAAGCGCCAGCGGCGGCATTGAAGTCGATCCTGCGCTGCTTGGAGAGGACCACCGCCGGCATGACTACTTGTTATTGGATGGCGACGTCACACAGCCGCCCGCGAGCTGGCATCGATCTGCCGCCTACGCCCAACTGGCTTCTCACAACGCAACGGTGCATGACCGCACACCTCAAGCGCCAGACACGGTCACCGCTGCGGCTGTGCTGTCAGTGGATATCTTCCAGACAGCGTCGCCAGCCTTGCCAATGTTTCATTTTGTGAACGGCGGCGCGGTGCTGGATCACGGGCAGCGGCAACGATGGGCCAAGGAGGTGGAAGAGTGTGTCTCGAGCCCCGCACCCAGCATCGATGCGGTAAACCCACCCAATGTTTCTGCGTCTCTCCCGACCACCACTGTAGCAGCTCTGCCGGCGGCTGGCGTCTCTCCCCGCAACTTCTCTGTACCGGTGCTGCCGTGGTTTACTCTGCTTGTCCCGCAGCTCAAAGCAGCGCTCACGTACGTGGCGGATGGCGGCGCGATCATGCTGGTGCACGGCGCCCCCCACTGCGCCAGCCTCTTCATTTTATTACGCTGCATGGAGGAGATCGTTGGCGCGGCCAACTCTGCCGCGTGCCATCGCGGCTGTCAAACGAGGCTGCTGGAGACGATGTACTTGGCGAAGCCACCCCTCTACGTTTTGTGGACGGATGTATGGTCACCGACCGCCGCCTCGACAGGAACACCTTTCGGGCCGACGAAAGAGTCGTCGAGAGAGGCGCAACGACGTCTGTTGGAGTCGTTGGACTCTGCGTCACCGCGCGTTTCGCCGTTTGAGCAGAACAACGCGCCGTCCGACGCTCATACGGGGGCTCCACGAAGCACATCGTGCACTCGCAATACGCTCGAGGAGAAACAGCGCTTTTGGCTGGGTGAGTCCGACGAGGGGTTTCGGCTGGCGGTGGAGGGCTTCGCGCGGTACGGGGCGCTGGCGGAGGCGATTTGGAGTCGCGTTGAGGCTTTTCTGCGCCGTCGCCGCGAGCGGGCAGAGCGAGAGATGACGACCCGCACGACACAGCACTCGGGTCGCGAAGTGAATGGGCGGCGCGGCCGAAGCACACTTGGCGCAGGGAAGCGCATGCGGGGCGATGCGTGAGACACCGTAAATGACAATCAGAGAAGGGGGTGGAGGCATCCTTTCGTAATGAGGCCATCTCGCCGTGGTTGGAGTACGAGCCGACAATGGCAGCCACTTTTTTTTCTAATGAAAATAAACCAACAGAAAGTAATCTGTTTGAAAAGCGGTGCACATAGGAAGAAGCAGTCTGGCCGCTCAAAGTTATCGGCCTCTTCTGTTTGCTGCTGAGTTACGCACCCTTACTGTTCCTCTTCGTGTTGAGGAGCATCCACATCAGCGAAGACTCTTTCGGGTACTTTGAACACAAGAAGTTGTGTCGCCAATCCACTACGATTCTTTTTCCTCACTTCCCCTCTACGCAACTTCTATTTTTTTCTCTTTTTGGTTTTACCATTTCGTAGTTTGATTGTTGAGTGCGTTCCTCAACAGGAGAAGTTAAAGCATTGTGTTTGCTTGATTTCAGTGCACACACGGCTCTTTCCCACACACGCTCACATACAAAGTGTTTCCGTTGTGCTTGTCAGTGAGTCCGTCTTCACGGATCTCCATCCGCCGTTTTTTTTCTCACAAGAAAACGACGTTCATCTGTTGAGAAAGAAGAGAGGTGTGCGCTACTGAAACTGCCGTGGAGTTGCAGTGCCTGTCTCCCCCTTCCACTTCTTACGCTCCCTCTTTGCACCTCGTGACGTTTAAGCTGGCGGCGAGTGCGTACGGACCTTTCGGAGCCGAACTTGCAATCGTGCTTTTGTAGAGAGCTTTCCACAGTGGTTGCCTGGTCCTGCTCATACTATTATTGTTGTTTGAGAACGAAAATAGAACATCGTTTTTTTCTTGTTTTGCTTTAAAAAGATTTCTTATTGTATTTAGTACTTTTCTATTTCTTTCGTTCCCAATAGTTTCACAGCAGTGACAACAACCGTACGCAACGGTGGACAACTGACTCTACATTTAAGTCTCTACAGGAGAAACACGAGATCGCAGTACACTATCACCGGTTTTTCCCTTTTTTTGAAACCCGAAGAAGAAGAGTAAAACATCAACCTTAGGGTTCGGAGCGTTCGTTCAGTAAAACATATTTATATTTATTTGTGGTATGCTTTGTGGCTTTGGCTTTGTAGTTTTCTCCTCTTTTTCCTTTTCCTTCTATCCTTTCTCGTGTTCGTTCTCCTCGTTTTCTTGCGTTGGACGTCTCTATCTTTGATCCCAGCATCAAATCGATTGCTGCGAGGTGATCGCCAGACGTACATCCACCAAGACAGGAAGACGTTTTCTCTATTTTTTTTTTGTTTCAAGTTTTCATCGCCTTTCTTTTTCTTCTCTGTTGTTCTTGTCAGCAATCTTAACCTGTACTGCCCTGTGCGACCTAGTGCTATTATTATTATTATTATTCTCTCTCTGAGATTATTATTGCACGGCGCACGTCCGCTTATTCACGCCATTCTCCGCACGTTTTATCTCTATGTTTGGATCAACGGTTTTTAAAAATTATCTTTCTTTGCTACACCTATCAACAGAGTCAACAGCACCCGTTATAGCTATATGTATGTACCGGGACACACTGTATAAACAATCCCACACGGTGACACAAGTGAATTCTGTCTGCTTTTTTTTTCCGTATTGTACAGGTAACTCGCACGTGCAGTATCTGTTCTGGGAGGGTATCCAACGCAGGTCGAACTGCCGTAAGGCAAACAAAAAAGGAAGGAACGGATCGGTGACACTGTTCTACCCACAGCAAATTAGACGGAAGGTATTGAAATAAGGGAAAAAATAAACACTTGTTTTTACTCGTTTATTGATTTTTGTTGGTATTGCAAAAGATCGTCGTTCCCGTTCGGGAAAAGGAAAAGAGAAAAACACCTCCACGATGTTCTTCAACACGGACGCCGCCAACGCGTACTTTCTGCGTTCCCACAGCACGCCGGTTTACGACGACAGCGAGGATTTTTACGTTGCTTCTGCGACCAGCGGTGGCGTAGCGCGAGGGGGAAATACGAGCAGCAACGGCGACGACTTCACCATGGATTTCTACGAACGCAGCGGCCGCGCGGGCCTCCCGTCACGGCAGCAAATCAACGCACCGCAGCGTACTGCCTATCGAGCGGCAGCTGAGCAGGGAGTCGAAGGCGACGACTACGCTGGAGGCTATGGGCGGTGTTTTCAGCCCTCTCCGCCGGCGCGACCGCCGATGGGTGCTGCTGCGGCGCCGCGTCGCTCTCCTTCTTCTGTTTCCGCCGCGGCGCAGTACGGCGCCACGGGCCGCAGCGGCGCTGATCTCCTCTACGAGGCACGAAGTCGTGGGTACGCGCCGGGCACAACGGAAGGCGATATTTGGTCTCGCGCGGCGTACCTGCCTCGCGCCTCCCGCCCTTCATCCGCCACCGTCCCTCGACCTTCTCAAAACGTTGGCGGTGGGGTTCCAGCGCCTTCCCCGGTCGCCTCCGGCCCTGTCCGTCTTTCTACCACAGTGGAACCAGTAACGACATCCGTTGCAGGTTTGCAGGACACTGGGCACGGCCGCAGCACCGGCAGCGGTGGTAGAAACTACCGGGAACGCCCCAGCAGCGCACCCGCCCACCGTGCATCTGCACCTGCTGTGCTGGATGGCGGCAGCGCCTCCGCCGGGGTCCTCCCCGCGGCGACCCGACTCACTTTGGGCAACGTATGCAGCGACGGCGCTCGCACCTTCGCGCAGGGTTCGTTCACTCCGCAGCAAAGGCAGCCACAACGGCAACCCCGCCGCGCCCCCGTAGCGCCAACACCACCGCAGTCGCAGCCACCGTTAAATTGCACGCCCGCTCGTCGCTCGCCGGAGGGTTGGGCCGGTGGGCGCTGCGGGGAGACGGCCGTGTCGTTGCGACCGTTTCCATCGCCGGCTACAGCGACGCCACGTACGTGCGGCGCACAGGAGCTGAGGAATCGCTATGCTGGGCTAACACAGGACCGCATTATGACGGACGCGGAGGAGGGTTCTGGTGGCAACGTCTCTGCTGGGTCGACCCACGATCTCGCAAAACACGGCGGCGCCTCACAAAACATACCATCCTCTCGTCATGCGCGCCAAGGCGGTGTATCTGCGAGCCAGGAAGGACGCATCCCACCACCTATCTGCGCAAATGCGGTGCCGAGGTGTTGGGGGAAGACGGCGGACGCAGTGGTCGAGCCGAATGTAGCTACCGCTGCGTCTGCGTCTGCACCGCAGCGGAACGCGCATTCCGACGAGGAGGATGGGCAAGAAGTGGTGGACAGCAACGACTTCGAGGGCCCGCCGCGTGCGCCGTGGTGGACCGTGGACGTTACACTCGCGTTTCTCGCTGGCCACTATACCTCGCCTGCGGAGGAGGCGGAGGCGATGCTCGCGGCTGCCACGGCACCGTCTCCTGCAAACACGCGCGTTGTCCGTTCTGTTCGGTGCCGCACGCCTGTGCTGCCGGCGGACGCGTCCTTGGAGGAGGCGTGGGAGATGACGCGGTCGTTCTTGCGCTGCGTCGCTCTTTCTTCCGTGGAGGACACCGCAGTGGCGGAGTTGCAGTGTGTACCGCAGGTGTACTCCTACTTCGATAAAGACTTCAACCAGTACGTGCTGCTGGACGCCGATACGCTGGCCATTGCGAGTGCACTTATTCGTGTCGTGATGGTGGTGTCCAGCACGGACGTCACGGTGTCACAGGAGCCATCGCTTCACCAGTTCTACCCACAGCAGCTAGACCCTACCAGCCTTTCACCACCGGCCATGACGTCCACGACTCCTGCAAGTCAACCGCCGCAGCATTGGGTGACGCCGGGCGAGCACAGTGGTCCTCCCTCGCGCGACCCCAGTGGGCCACCGCGTTGCCGGCGGCTGCCGTTCGACAACGACGTCGACGAGAGCTCCCCCGTTTCCCTCTCCATGATAAGGCAGAAGGAACTGGTGCAACGGCAGCGACGACGACAACCGCATCAGCACGACGTTGCGGCAGCGGACGACTACGCTCTCCCCTGGGATGGTGCCCGGCTGCACAGCCACGACATCTACAGTGAAGAAGATGCGTTTGTGAGGGAGAGGTACTACTACCGTTACGACCCACCTCATCAGGAAGAAGTCAACGAGCAGCAACAGCAACAGCAGCAGATAACACAGAAACCTGCCGAAGTGTGGGACATCGTACTTGTTCCTCACGAGGAAGATCAGCGGGAAGAGGAAGAGGACGACGGCGACAACAGCATGGGTGGCGGCGCTGCCGCTGCCGTCGTCGATCCACAATTGTATGCACGTTGCCCGGTCAGCGGCAGGCTGCATCGCCTCTGTAACGCTCCTGCTGTCCTGCGCGGGCGGTTGAGTTCCGCACCGCACCACGCTGCCGTTTTGCAGCGCACCCCCGCGCCGCGTCCACCTACGGCACCGACGGCCTCTTTCAACCGATACGGCGACGCCTGGGACGTGTCGGGAGGACGTGTGGAGGGTGCCGTCGCCGCCGCCGCGGCATCGCGTGTCCTGCGCCCGTCACCGCCGATGGTGCAGCCGCAAGCGCCCCCGCCAACGCGTCAGGCCCCATCGCTACAGCAGAAGCGGCCCGACCCACAGTACTTCGACGGTCTGCTCCTCATGCGCAGCACCGTGAGCTCTCTGCAACCCGCTCCACCTTCCACCTCCTGGCTGCACACCGGTTTGACGGACAGCTGTGCCAGCCGCGGGGCCTCGCAGACCAGCCTACTCGCCCCGAGCCCGCCGCGCTCCTCGCCCCCGCCGCACCAGGCCTACCGCCTCGCCTCGCACCCGTATTTCGACGCGTCGTTCTTTTCCCCGCAGCGGGTGCCGCCCGCCGCGGGCAGCATCACCGCCTTCGCGAGCACGTCGCAGCTGCAGCGCCACACCGGGGCGTCGTCATCGTCGTCCTCGCCACACGCGGACGCGCTCGGGGCTTTGCTGCGCCGCTCCGCGGAGGCCATGTGCGGCAAGTCGCAGAGCGCTTGCCTCTCTAGCGAGCACGGTGCGCAGGTGAAGAAGGAGAAACAGGCCCCAAATGAAGGGGAGACGGTGGTTACAAGCACCACTGGTGCGACGACGACGATGACTGCGCAAGTGGCGGCGGCGGTGGGGCAAGAGAACGCCTCCTCTTCTTCCTCCTCACCCCCGGCGAAGTCCACACTTTGTCCGCCGTCACCGCCGGATTTACCGGCACAGGACGGTGTGGGAGGACACGTAGCCTCCACCGCCGCTGAAGAAGTGGAGCGGCTGGTGTCGCCCGCCGAGGACACGGCAACGATGGAGGCGGTGATGGCCATCGCCATCACTGACGCTCAGCCCGAAGTTGCCGCGAGGAAAGAAGACAGCGTGTCTGAAGGAAAACCCGCGGTGGAAGAGCACGTCCCGATGCCCATCGTGCCACCTCCCATGCATATTCATCATGAAGGCGATGACAACGCTGTGGATGCTGCGCCGCCGTATCCGACGCCGCCTGCCGCTTCCGTTGACGCTTCATTTGATGACGCGAAGCTTGGCCGAGCCGAAACGGATGCTCTGCACTCAGCAGCTCACGTGATCACCACTGACGCAATGCCGATCATCGACGACGAGGCAGAGCTTCAACTGATGGAAGAGGAAGAGAAGAGGGAAGACGCCGCGCCGCTGGAAGGCAACGACGTCGAGGACAAGCTGCTGCACGTGGAGGAGGAGAAAGAGGAAGAGCCGACATACAATGGCGACGAGCAAACGGACACCTACCAGGACGTAGTGCTCGAAGAGCATGTGAGCCCTCGACACACTCCGGCCGTTGGCGCTGCGGCTGTTGCATGGAATGCGCACAAACAAGGCAGCCGTGCTGACACACCCGCGGACGCGAGCGAAGGTGATGTTGCAGCTGTCGGGAAGGAGAGTATGACAGAGGCGAAGAACGAAAGTCTTGCAGAGGCTCCAGCTGTGAAGGATAACGTGAATGCTGCCGTTGCCGAGACCACAGCTCCAGCGCAAGAAGCTGGCACCGCTAAGCCAGCGGAGGAAGTCAACGACGATGCACCCGCTACTGCTCCTGAGGAGGCGCAGATTCAGGAGAAAGAGGCCGTGACCGCCAAAGTGGAAGAAGGTGTGGAAAAGGAGAAAAGGGATGATCAGGACGACGCGGCAGGAGGAGGTCAGCGGCACCTGCTGGACATCACGGTGGAGGACTCTACTGTGCATCACAGCGAAGATGCGGATGATGGTGCTGTGCCAGAAAACGCTGCAGGAGGCTCTGTCGAGGCAACTGATGCTACACCTGTAGGTACGGAGGATGCCAGTGAGGAAGAAAGTGAACAAGTCGGTGCCTTACCTCTAGACGATGCTGCCGTCCAGCCGGGGGACGTCCTCGCTGATGCTATCGTCGCGGCCGCCACCACTATTGACACCACGGCTGGCTCCCACCCCGAGGATGCGTCTGCTGAGGCCGATCACAGGGAGGCCGTTGCGGCCTCTGAGGAGCCGTCGTATCAGGAGGAAGACGTTGCCGATCAACCTGTCTTGGCAGCGGTGGCTGGCGCAAATCGGAAGCACCAAGTGGCGCCCAGCGCAAAAGACGAAGTGATGGGTGAAGAGCTAGATCTTCTCGGTGCAGTGGATGTAAACGACGAGGCGTGGGCAGAGTTGGAGCCGGGCAGCAATCGCGAGAACAGTAATCACTGCGAAATTGGCGAAGCCGCTAGGTCCCCGACACCTGAGGGGGCCGCACACACGGGGGAAGTGGAGATGACTGCTACGCACCACACAACCGCGACTTTTGTGCAAGAGCCACAAGACGCGAAAATGGAAGGCGTCGCTGCACTGGGCGTGGAGCCAAAGGAAGAAACAGAGGTTCATTCATCAGCTGCTGCTCCTGAGGGGGAAGAGCCCGCGCCGGCACACGCGACGTGCAACGAAGCGCACTTCGTCACGGTGCATCACAGCACCGCTAAGCCGACGCTGACACTCGCCGCGGTCACCGTCGCGGACAGCAGCATCAGCAGCTCAGGTAAGGAGCAGCGACTCGCCCCCCCGAAGCTGAGCAACCTGGATCGCTACTCCGGCATGACCGAGCTCAGCACCGAGTCAGCCGAGCAGCTGTCACAGTTGCAAGATGACCTCGATGCGCCGCCCATGTTCCAGCGCAAAGGTGCGAACATAACCGCCGTCGCCGCCGCCTCTTTGTCTACGCCCACGGCCCCTGCCATCACCACTACCACAGCCGCCGCAGCGGGCAGCAGCGGTGCTGGCGTATCGAAATGGACGAGTGTTGACGCCCCGCGGCACAAGCCGGACAACGCCGTGGCTGCGTGCACCAGCGGCGAGGCGGTGGTCGGGGAGGCCCGCCACCCCCCCACGACCACCACGACGCACGACATTGACAACGAGGACGCGATGACAGACGCACCAATGAACGCCTTCCATGACTCGATGTCAACCCCCACGCCCACGTTTACGCGGCCAGAGGAGGATGAGGATGGACCGGGGGAGAACACGTCCGTGATGGGGACGACCAACACGGGCGATGCGGCGGATCCGCAGATGCACATTGCGTGCTCCTACACCAGCGTGCCGTCGGAGAGGGCGAGTGCGGGGGTGAACGTGCTGGTGAAGGAGGAGACGCAAGACACGAGACGGCGTAGCGTGGGGAAGAGCGTGGAGGAAAGGGACGCAGACGCGAACAACGCTGTTCCTCCGTCGGCCTCGGCCAGGCTGCCGTCGCCGCTGCCTGCAGTCGCGGCCGAAGAAGCAGAAGAACACGAAGAGGTGAGCTTTACGCATGCGATGAACGAGACGATCGAGAGCAGCCCGTTAAAACCCGTCTCTACCAGCGTCGCCGCGCAGGTGGATGTGTCAACCGAAGCGGTGCCTCTCACGCAAACACCCCGGACTACTATCACGGGGTCCGGCAAGATCTTTCCACCAGATCCGAGCCCTGAGGTCCACATGCCGGCCGCCGTCAATTCGAAACCGTTGGTGGAATTAAACGACGAGGCGGGGTACACGCAGCAGCAGCCACCATATCAGCCTGGCGCCGCTTCTCACACAAACTTGTCGCTGCCGCTCGGCTCGTCGACTCAGCAGCAGACGACTGCTGCGCCGCGCGAGGAAAGCGCGATGCGGAAGACGATGGTGCTACTGGGCTTCCCCGGCTCTGCGTGGGAGTACATCATGACACATCACTACGAGCCGATGCATGACGCTTTTGTCACCGACGCCTCTGCCGCAGTGGACGTGCCGCACTCTGCTATTCAGGACGTGCGATACAGCAAAGGCAGTTTGATGGTGGACCTCTATGTGTTGCACCCTGCCGGCATCGGCGAGCAGGAAGTACGTGATCTGATGTGCAACTACGAGTATCCGCATCTGTGGACTCTCTACGAGGCGAAGAAGCGGGAGCGGAAGAGGCTCCTGCATGGCGAGGGCGGCGGCATCCGGTGCTGCGACTCACAACAAACAAAGCTCTCCGCTCTGGAGGAGGTGAAGTGGTCGCCATACGCTTAATGGATTCGTAGTCCGTCAAAACCATGCATTGCTGTTGTTGTGGTTCCGTGGCTATCTCTCTTTGAGGCTTCATTGAACGGTTGTTGTTTCGTTTTCCTCTGTGTGCGTCTCGTTGGCTCTCTCCGTTTGCCTTAAGAGACTCCTGCACATCTTTTCTCTTGAGGTGGTGGATGCTCCCCTTGTGTGTGCATTTGTATGTATGTATGTATGTGCATCTGATGTGTGCTTTTTGGTTGTTTCTTGTGCTTGCGCCTATTTTCAAAGCGCTTTGCTTCATCACCACGTTTCCGCGATGCAGTTTCCTTTCCCTCTCTTTATCTTCTTGTTAAATAGGTGTGTTTCTCAGCATCGTATTTCGTCAAGTAATATGTACAGCGTGTAACTCGTGTTTTTGTTTTTGTTTCTTCCTCTTGTTTGTGGCGCGTGCTGTTACGATGCGCCAAACACACGTCTCTCTGCGCAGACAAACCTCTCTCTCTCTCTATACATAAACTTTCTTTTTTTTGCTTCTCCCTTTTCTTGAGAGGGCCACCTCCAGACACAAGTGGAAAGGTAGGAGGTGAGCGTTAAACGATGTCAATAGTCACTTTACATCATCGGAAAGCTCGCGAGAGCAAATGATATTAATATATATATATATATACATAAAGGCGTATTTTCTCTCTTGCGTTGTTTCTCACCTTGCTCTTTCTTTTCTGTTCTATGTGAATGCGTTAGTATCACGCGCTGTGCTCTCCCAATCTCTTTCTTTCTTTTTGACTTTCGTCTCTTCCGCTGCTTCGTGAAGGGTTTGTATTTTTCACACACGTCACGCACGTTTTGGACGGCAGCGCTGCATTCGAACAAGTTTAATAATACAAAAACAGTGGTGATTTATGTATATGTATAAATGCCAAGTACATGGCCAAAAATGCGTTGCAGTCCGTGTATATATGTATGTATATAACATCGCTGCCTTTCATTTTTCACTTTGCCATGTGAGATGACCGCTTTAACTTGCTTCTTTTTTTTTTTGTTCTGGTGGTGCGACGCCACTCATTCTGATGGCAACAGGTCGCATGAGAATCGAAAGAACGGCAAAAACTCTCCTCAACAGGGACTCCTCGTAATCTTTCTCACTTCTCACTTCTCTCTTCTATTTTTCTGTACTTTCCCTCCTCTTCTCTTGCTCTTTCTATTCTTTGACACTCCTTTCTGCTGTGCTTTCAGCGCAATATTAGCGGTGATTTTTCCTTTTTCCTTCGCAGGTACGTGTGTGTTTGCGCGCATTAACCTGCTTGAATTTGCCGAGACGAAAACGGCGTTGCTTGCTGGAGGTCGAGTGGACGCTGTTGCCTCGCACATTGTGTAGACGCATTGTTTTATTACCATTCTTTTGTTGTTGTTGTGACTGAACTGCAGTCATCATCGCACGCAAATCGCTTCACAAAAAGCTTTCTTTCTTCCATCGTGTCTCGCGTTACATGCATCACGTACGATCCCCTCCGGAGGAAGGCAGAGAGGCTAATGGAGGCGCGTTGCTGAAGCCACCGAGTGCTTCGCTCTCGAAGGAACATGTGTCGGATGTTTCGCAAGACAGCTGCGCGCCTCAATGGGCACTGGATTCTAAAGTAGCGGCGAAGGCTGCTGCGAAGGCTGCGGCAAAACAAGGCGCAGATTGGTGTCATCCCCTCGACGCCCTGCAGCGTCAAAAGAACTCGGCACGCGTCGCCTACACCCCGTTCACCGTTGCTGATGCCGAGGTGGTGGCGGCTCGCCAAGCGGAGGTGGTCGCAGACCGCATTTTCCCTCAGCTTCAAGACAGCGTGCGTCGCAGTAACCGGCTGCTTTGCGAGTCGACGGAGCCACCGAGGCGTTTGCTGCGGCAGTGCTCAGGCAGTTCTGCTGATAGCGTGTTTCCTGCGTTGGCGAGGACGGCAAAACCCGAGAGCGTGCCGCGCAGTGCGACACGGCAGCGCTCAGGGACGCCAGACCGCCTGCTGCAGGCCTTTCCAACCCCCGACGATTTCTCCCTTTCCAACGACCAATCGCCTCCGCAGCTGATGGCGCGCAGCAGCAACAATGCCGCCTCCTTGCCGATACGGTGCTGTGCCTTGACCACACCCCATCTGGCCGCTCTCTATCCCCACAGTCCTTGTGCGCCGAAAGTCACATCGACGAGGCGGCCGTGCACTGCACCAGAGGGCTGCACCTATTCCTCCTCCCCCCTCTCTATCACCCCGCTCAAGGCGCGGAAGGAGAAGTCGCGCAGCAACGCCAGTGCCATCGCAGCGCATTACGCGCAGCTCACCCACATTCTTCAAGACTACCGCGATGATGCTGACACCGCTTCCAAGAAAGCAGGAGAGGCCACGCCGGAACAAATGCGTCTCTGCTCTCCGCGCAAGGCCGCCGCGGACGTGCCGGATGTCTTTCTCACACGTAGCACACACACGGGTGTCGCCAAGACCTTCCCCGCTGCGTCGCCGCACACAGCTCTCGTTTCCCCTGCGACCCCCGTCGCCACCGCCACGCACGACGGCTTCCGTCACTTCGTGGCGCAGCATGGACTGTGCGGTCTCCGCACCTCGCCAGTCACAAGGGCCGACCTCACCCGCTTTCGTCGTCACCTTCAGCGATACTTTGTCCGACAGCTTCACTGCCTCCTGCAGTACGAAGAGAACGAGCGGGCACAGCTGCAGCTCGATGCGTTGCGCGCTCTCCGGACCCTTACCGGGCTGCACAGCCGCTACTGCGATTACGTGGAGCTTTGCGGGCGACAGGCAGCGACATTGGCGGCTATGCTGGCGGAAGAGGTGGTGCTGAGGGATGTGTATCCTTTGCTAGAGCCTCTCCGAGCCACCGAAGACGAGCCGGAGCGTCCTTGCACGGAGAGCCTTCTCAACAGATCCACTGAGGAGTCGGAGGCGTTCGAGGAGTTGGAGATGAGTGCGAGAACGATGGGTAAAGCCCTCGCTGCTCACAAACCGATGCTCGAGGAACTCCAACCTGAAGGCACGGACACACGTGCGATGTTGGCGGCGGCAGCGGCGGCACTGGAGGAGGCGTTTGAAGAGCTGGTACCCACGCTGGACTTCGATAAGCTGGAGGTGAGCGTCTCTACCGCCGCGAAGGTGGCTCTGCCATTGGAGCCTTTCGAGGAGTTAAAAGCCGAAAGCGACACGCGTGAGAACGTGGCGGCTCTGCAGGAGTCTTTCGAAGGGTTAACCTCGCTGCGCAAGCTGTATACCGCGGGGATCAACACCGAGGCGGACAAAGAAGTGGTGTTGGACGCGGAGTCTCCCGACAAGTCCGAGTCTGACAGAGACACGACGCCTGAGGATGCTGCGATACAGGAAGCTTTTGTGGAACTTGTGGACCCACAGGCACCCGGAGAAGCGGAGGTCTGCGCCATCACCCCGCAACAAGAGGAGCGCCCACCCGTCCAGCCATTTGGGAAACTGGAGGCTACGGCGGAGACGCACACACGAGTTCCTCCGGCGCCTGAGCCGTTTGAGGAGCTCCACGCAGTCGCCACAGAGACGAAAGCGCAGGTGGCAGAGCTGCAAGAAACCTTCCAGGACCTCTCTCTCCTTCTCGGTTTCGTGGAGCTAGCAATGAGCGATGTGGCACACACACAGCTACCCCTTTCGCTCGATCCATTTGAGGAGCTGCAGTCGAGTGATGACATCGACGCGATGGCCGCTGTGCTTCAGGAGGCGGCCGAGGAGCTCGTGGCGCGGGCAGAGTCAAGCGAGGTACGAGAAAGCGCCTTCTCTGAAAGAGAGGAACAGAGTTCGCAGGAGCCGTTCGAAGAGCTGGAGGTGAACGCCGCCATCCGCGGAAAGGTGCCCCCTCCACTCGAGCCGTTTGAGGAGTTGGAGGCGAATGCCAGCCTCACGCTGGCGGTCTCAAAGCTGCGAGAAGACTTTGAGGGGCTGCGTGCGCCGGAAACCTTCGAGGAACTGGGGACCAGCACGGGAACCCACACCAAGGCCCCAACATTCTTAGGGTCATTTGAAGAGCTGAAATCCGGCTTCGCCACAAAGACGGAAGACGATGCTCTACAAGAGGTATATGAGGAGCTGGTGGTGCCAGAGATTGGAACAGAAGGGCAGCTCGAGGTCAGCGGCAGCAATGCGGCAGAGCCCCCGGCAACAACGGAGGCTCCGGCAACGACAGAGGCTCCAGCAGAGGCGCCGGTAGCACCAGAACCGTTTGAAGAGTTGAGAATGGGCGCGGAGTGCGTTATTTCTTCGAAGCCTTTCGAGGAACTGGAGGAGAGCCGTGACACGGATGGTGCTGTGGCGGCGCTGAATGAAGCGTTCGAAGAGCTGGTGCCGTCTGTGAATCACGCAGAGGAGCGTCAAATGAGCGTTGGTGTCGACAGCGTGGCCGGTAACGAGGTCGTGGTGAAGACTGCCGGTGTGGCCGAGTCAGAAGTGGAGGAGCGTAGTGTCGAAGTTGACGACATCGCTTCCAATGCAGTTGTCGTGGCTGCTGTTCCTCTTCCTCCTGTTCCTCCTGCACTAGTTGAAGCATCGTCGAAGGATTACTACGTGGGAGCCCCTACAACTCTCACGGACGCGGAGGGCGCGGTGCGGCAAGTCACGTGCCACTTCAACGACCTCACGCTCGACAGCTTCGCCGCTGCCGCGGTGGGCGATGTGCTGGCGGAGGCATGCGGTGTGCGTCGCCCGGTGGTGATCGCGTGCGAGCGCCACCTCGACGGCACCAACTGGTGTGCACATCTGATGAACGCCGGCGTCGCCGTCCGCGATTGCGTTGTCGCGGACGTCTGCGCTGCCCTGGAGTGTGCCGCCATACGAGTGCGCAACGTCACCCTGGTCGCCACGGCGTCGAACGACGACGACGACGACGCACACCGTGCGGAGAAAACACCGAGTGATGAGTTAAGTGACGACGCCAATGCTGCTGCTGCTGCGGTGGTGGTGGATTCGGCAGGTCTTACGATACGCTTTGATGTGGTGCACGAGGCCGTCTTTGCCCTCTACCCACAGGAGGAGGTGCAGTACCTTATTCAGGAGTGCCAGTTTCCGTTTCTCCAGCAGTGGTGCCGCAGCCGGGCTGCCATGCAGCGCTTGGAGCGCCGCCGATGCGGCTCCAACACGCCTCAGATGACGCTGCTGCGTCCCGAGAGCGCCGCGTGGCTGTCACGGGGGGCGGCGATGCAGCTGTGGGCCTACGCAACGGGGGCGGCGCGTCGTGTGGACACGGGCGTGCCGACGCAGCCCTCAGCACCATCCTCCGTATCACCTGGGTCTCCGAGCGCAGCACCCAACCTCTCTGCCGGATCCAGTGGCCAGAGCAGACCGGACGCTGCCGAGAGCGCAGACATGAGCTCCTTGGAGGCGCGCCCGTCGAAGCCACAGCAATCAAAGCACAAAGGCCTTTTCACGCGGAGTCACAAGACCAGCTAGCTGCTTGAGTGGATTTGATACGTAGTGTGAGTTCTTTGCTTGCTTGTTTCTGCACTTCTTGATAGGCGAACGAGGGACGCGTAATCTCCCGCCCTCTCTTCCTCGTTTTTTCTTTCCTTCCTTCTACTGTTGAACTGTCCTTTCCAACGCCTTCGCTGCCTATACACATGCACACACACACCCGCACGTCTGAGTGTTAGGCACGGCGCGAATCAATGTAAACCACTTCGGCTATGTTTGTATATATGTTTATATTCGAGGTTTCTTCGTTCGTCCGTGTAGAAACCAAAAACGGAATCTCTCTTGTGTTTTCCTTCATTGCCATTGGAGCTCTTCCTTTCCTTTATCATGGTACACATGCCTCTTGGCAAAGAAGAAAAAAGGACTACTGAACCCCGTGCTGATGTGCAATAGGTGCTGGCGCTTTTTTTGTGATAGGCGCTAGAGGAGTAAAGCAAGGAATCGCACATGTGGACCCGACGTTGGGGTCGACACGCACTCCAACACACGGCTAACCCAGCGACGACTCGGCTCTGTTGCGCACGGAAAGAGGACGGAACCACTTTAGCAACGCGCACGGCAGATCCCCAGCGGAAGGCCGTTTTCCAAGACGATCAACGATGGTAACCAGAAGTACACCTTTTGCTTGCTTCTTCTTCTCGCTCGCAGGAGTACTACTTTCCTTTCTCTCCTCTCTGCCTCCCCTTCGTCTTCGGCCCTCACCCTACACCACTCTCCAGTAATAAACGCTCTCAGTCGTCTTTCCTTCTCAGTGATCTCCTCCTTCCAAGCCGAAGCCCCGTCGTCGCTTTCTTCCATTTGTTCGCCGTTTACACCTCGTACCCCCAAAGAACAAACCTAGCTCAACAATGACCGCCATCAGCTCCTCCATGACCCGCCGCGCCGCCGCGACGACCGTCGTGTTGTCCGCCTTGGCCGCCGTCAGCGCCAACGCTAAGAAGTCCGACTACAACCCTCGCTTCACGTGGTGGGGTATCCTGATCATGATGATCGGCATTGTCGTGCTCACTTCGGTTGCCCTGATCATCTACTTCTGCTGCTGCCACAAGGACTCGGCGCATAAGGACGTGGAGAACGACGCGGACACTCGCTCTGAGGGCGCGGCTGCAGTGCCGTCGGCCAGCAACGAGCCGGCGACCGCGTCGAAGAGCCGCCCGGCGGAGTAAGGAGCAAACCAAATACGGTTGTGCTGCGATGACGACGGCATAAAAGGCCCAATCCTTTTGCTGCCGCCGCTGTCCGTAGAATTGTCTTTGGCTTCGTTGTGTTGTCGGGTGGTGTTTTCCCGCCGTCTCCCACCCATCGCATTAGACGGCGTTGATTTGTTTTTCTTCTAATTTTTCTTCTGTGCTAAAAGTGGGTTTTGGTGCGTTCATTAGACGCCACTGCGGTGTGCAGGCATTCCTATTGCCGCGGTGCCGCCGTCGACGGGGCACCGACGTGTGCCCGGCACTCTGCCCACCGGCGTCTGCGCATGTAAAAACCCACACCCCAAAAAAACGATTTTATTTTCCTTTTCTTCTTCCATTTTTTTTTATTTTTCCATTTTTTTAAAACCAATCGGAGCGATTCGAATGCCCTAACGAGTGTGTGGAGAAGCGCCGCACCGCGTGCGGTGATGACGGCGGTGCTGTTTCAAACGGCAAAAGGTAGCTCTTCATTTCTGCACCGGGCTCTTTGCATGCTCCTCTCTGCTTGTACTGGGATTGGTACTGCCGTTGAACAAAGGCCGTTCTTCTCCTTTTACGCTGCTCCCACTAGTGTGGTTCTGCGCGAAGAGTGAGGGAGCGGGAAACCTGCGAAGCAGAGAAAAGTAAAAGAAAGCCCTCTGTGCTGGAACGCAACGCCTACGCTCAAGACACGAAACGATAGCTTCGAGAGGAAAAAAGGAAAAAAGAAAACATCATAAGTCGCTGCATTGAACGCACCGGATAATATTTTTCCAAACATAACTCGTAAAAGAAGTAGGACTTCCAAAGAAAGGATTCGGAAACGCACGTACACGGCGTCCACACGCACCGCTGAATACCGCGGCTGTGTTCCTTGCGTCTCAGCGGCGCAGCTCGAGGAGTTGTGGACGCCTTCATATTCTGTTTTTTCGTAATCGCGTTGGTATCGTCGTTTTGACTCGCTTCGTCGCTCTCCTTTTTTTCCGTTTCTGCAACTCGTTGACTACAAAGAGACGCGTGTCTTTTTTTTTCTCTCTCACCGTACTGTCGTGATCCCCCGTTGCAGACTTGCTTGGAAATGCGTGGCGTCGACGAGTGCAAACACAATACCCCTTCTCCTTCTTTTAGCGTCCGGCGTTCAATATATATTTTTTCAAAAGACACCAAAAAGAAAAAAAAACATGTACTTATTTTGATTTACATGAGGAGTGTAAATCGTTTATCAAAAGCAGCATTAATTTATTCCTCTTCTTAATGGAAAAAATATATACAGAATTTCTTTTTCTCAGACAACACGAAATGACAGAACCCTTCGCCATCTTCTCTACAACGAATCGTGACATCGAGACAATAGACGGTCTTTGCCATTTTATCTTTCGTGCACGTGTGGTGTCGTCATCGTTTGATTGTTTTACTGAGAAAGTGTCCCTTGTTTCGCACGCACACACACACACACACTTGTGTGAGATGACATGTATGGAACGTAAATATATATATATATGAAAGAGTGTATGTGCATCTTATTACCTTTTCGGGTGCCCCGCCTCATATGTGAAACGGCGGGTTGACTTCCTCTCTCCTTTTCCCTTCTTCGTACGTGCGCAATCCGCCTCGGTATAAAAGCGGCGCACGGGCGAGGGACTTTACGGCCGGTGTCTGTACGTCATCTAGTTCGCTCTCCCGTCTAGCCGACGTGTGCAGCCGTGAGAAGTGAAGGCGAATCTGTGTTGTCGAGTGCCTTGAGAAGGCTGGCGATGAAGCTGAAAGAACAAACGCATGAATTCACATTACCTCTCCTCTCTGCCTCCCCTTCGTCTTCGGCCCTCACCCTACACCACTCTCCAGTAATAAACGCTCTCAGTCGTCTTTCCTTCTCAGTGATCTCGTCTTTCCAAGCGGAAGCCCCGTCGTCGCTTTCTCCCATTTGTTCGCCGTTTACACTTCGTACCCCCAAAGAACAAACCTAGCTCAACAATGACCGCCATCAGCTCCTCCATGACCCGCCGCGCCGCCGCGACGACCGTCGTGTTGTCCGCCTTGGCCGCCGTCAGCGCCAACGCTGCGAAGCCCGCCTACACGCCCAAGTTCACGTGGTGGGCCATCCTGATCATGATGCTTGGCATCGTTGCGCTCACTTCGGTTGCCCTGATCATCTACTTCTGCTGCTTCCGCAAGCACGGCTCGGAGGAAGAAAAGAAGGTTGCGGACAACGACGCGGACGCCCGCTCTGAGGGCGCGGCTGCAGTGCCGTCGGCCAGCAACGAGCCGGCGACCGCGTCGAAGAGCCGCCCGGCGGAGTAAGGAGCAAACCAAATACGGTTGTGCTGCGGTGACGGTGGCATCGAAGATGCCGTGCTTGCTCGTCACCGCCGCCCTCTGCCTTTGCAACTTTTGTTTCCTCTTTGCTGGGGATGGTCGACTCGCGCAGCTGCCCCATTTTTTCTTTGTTTCCAGCCGCGTTAATGGGTGTAGCTTATTTTATTTACTGCGCTGAAAGAGAAAATCAAGGTCCCTGAAGTGGGCGATCCGGTGTGCTATTACGCCGCCTCCGTCGGTGTGCCGCCGTCGGGAACGCGACACTCTGCCCACTGGCTTTTCTTTCTTTAACCTCGAAAACGTATTTTATTTTTCCTCTTTTGTTTCTCTCGACTTTGTTTCTTCCGGTACAACGAAGAAATACCTACTGGAGCAGCGGTGGCCTCTGCGAGTGGAAGAGACGCACCGTCCAGGTTGCTGCGACGGCGCAGCTGACTCCAGCCTCAAAAGCAAACGGTTTGCCTTCTCATAGCACTTCTTTCGACGGGAAACTTTCTCTTCTTTTTATTCGCCGCACTTTTTTTTTGGTTTAGTAGAGTCAACAAGTCAACGTTGAGGGTTCGGACGTTATTTTTGTTGTTATGCTGCTGTCGTGGTGCCACCCGAATCTTGCTCGCGCAAAACCTACTGTGCACATCCACTTCAGCGTTGTAGAGCATACCGAACCCTTTTCGTGCTTGTTGGGCGTAAACCATGATGCCCGAGGTGTCGCAACTGCTGGCGTCATCTGCACGCGTAGAGAATGTTCATGAGCTTCTACTTTTCTTTTTATTATTTTTACGTGCCTGATGACGAACGCTTTTGCGCACTGCTAAGTCGTCGTTCATACACCTCTCCGAAAAGGCAGCTTCCTTTTCGGAGTTCTACCGCTGCGAGGGATGTGCATTTCAGGTGTCGTCGCCGACGCAGTGGAACACGATAAGTTAAGGGCAGTAGCAACCGAAAGGAGAAGAAAGGTTTTATTCTTGTTGACGAAGCTACCGGGATTATTGTAAGCAACTCAAAAGAATGCAGCGAGTCCACTATTCCACAATGGAAATCGGTGAGAGCGTTATGTTGCAGGTTTGCGCGTTCGGGGAGCGAGTCGCGCACAGGCGGAAACGTACATACGCCCACTAGTACGGCCTCATCCGGGTGTGGCCTTCGCTGCACTAACCCAAAACACAGACCTTTTTTCCCCTCTGTTTTGATGCATGAGCCCATCTTTTTTTCTTGTCGCGATATGTGAGAGCCGTAAAAGCATTATATATAATGTTTGCTGTGCTGGAGCCTGTCTTTCTTTCCGTTGTTGGGGAAGCTGTGCGGGGTGCCTTGTCTCACCAGTGACCGCAACGGCGAGGGAGAGTTGGCAGGCTCCGACGACCTCTTGAGCTCATTCGCCAAGCTGATCATGCTGGGCGTTGAAGCGCTGGAGTACTCTTTTTTTTTAAACAAGGGTTTGTAAGTTGTCGCTCTAAAATAGCTTTATAGTCTCTTGCGTGTGTGTGTTTTCTTAACTATATAAACGCATCTTTCAATGCTTCTTTTTTTTGGTTTTGATTTCCCTTTATTTCATTGTTTTGCAAAGGAGACGATGCCTGGACAAATACAGAAGCTCTCAGACACGCATACACACGTGTGCAAAACACCAATACAGTTGCCGTCGGTACAACTGGACGGCTCCCAAATTGCATTCATCTCCGCACTCATGAAGGGAGAGAAATACGGAGTTTCAGGCCTCCTTGCAAAGATGAAAGAGTTCAAAAAGGAACGCTGAAATTATAGCGGAGGCTGCACAAGCGCAACTCCTAACACCGTTTTCTCTCCTTGTGGAGGAGGTGGCTGCGCGAAGGAGTCGTCTCGTGGATGCACCTCTTTGCTTTCTGTAATGTTCAGAGGGAAAAGGGAGAAAAAACGGTGATGATGAAAGATGGACCGTACTAGAGTCTTCTTCGCGCAAAAGACTCTTTTTTGTGTCTGTGCGTGCCTGCCTGACCGCAGCTCTTCTTTATTGCTTCGCCTGCTTCTTCTTTTTTTTTGTTCTCGTGAAAACCACAGCGCAAACCTTGACGGAGGCGACGCTGCGTAGACGTTATCCAGTCTCTCTAACTTCGCATTAAAAAGACAAGAAAAGATTGTACGTGGTGAGAAAACAAAGGCGATCAGATGCTTGCGTAGGAGACAGAAATGAGAAACAAAGAAAAAAAACCCGTTACTATTTTTACCGTTTTCATACTTGCTACACGCACACACATACACATACATACCGGTCCCAAACTTAGAAGTTACTTGTCTTCACATCAACTATGCGTTCACGCCGTCAAGGCGTGCTAGACGCTGTGAGCGTGCTCGGCATGGACCCGTGGAAAGACGACCGAGTGCGTGACTTCGTGGCCATTAACACGATTCAACGCCTCCGTGCGTACCACCTCGAAGCCGGTGCACCGATGCCACCAATTGAGGATATTAACGCCGACCGCGCGCTTAATTTGCTGCTGCTGCCCCGTGCGGAGCCGGACTATCGCCCATGCGCCGGGGAACGGCCACAGACGCGGCCGAAGCTGCTCCCGCGTCGTCAGGGAAAAGCTTCCATCCAACGTCAGCCGCGACAGCACGACGGAGAAGGCGAAGAAAGGGAGGACGGTGCAGACAACATGCACAGTGGCCGGAGCACTTCTTCCGCCTCTACCACCAGCACCACCTCCACCACGTTTTCGTCGTCGGATAATGATGATGTCGACAAAGGCAGCACGAGTACACCATTGAATCGAACACCTGCACGACAACCCCCACCGGGTCCAACATCGCATTCTCCTGAGGCGAAGACGGACACGGCGTTCTCCACGCAGTGCGCTGTTGACCGGGCTCGTGCCGTGTTCTTCGGGGCAACTTCTTTTCACGCGTCAACGTCTCCACGGCGGCTCGTTAACTCGCCTCACGTGCCGCTGACGCCGTCTGTCACGTCGACCTCGCCGATTGCAGAGCGCCAGATACCGCATCGCACAGCATTGCAGTTACCCGGGTCCACGGCCGTGGCAGCCGTCGCAACACCATCCCCTGCTCTCCACACCAATGCCCACCACAACGCCACAGGGGACGGCGAAGATGGAGGCCTTCGCGCCGCCCCGTGGGCGGCTTCTCGATCGCTGAACGTGGACCTGGATGCGTACATTGAGATCAACAGTACACCGCTGCGTGTTGCCCCACCTCCTCCATTGTCGCCGATAGTCGCCACAACATTAGCAGCACCCCTCGCGCTTGCCAATGAGAGCGACGCCCTGCAAGGTAGTGATGAAACGAGAGAAGACAAAGGGGACGACGGTGGTGCCGCCTCCTCTGCGCCCAGCACCGATGCAGACGCAAAGGACACGTGCCTTGTTGCAGCGTCCGACGTCGCACTTCCCGGAAAAGTGGCGAAGAATGACATCGGCGCCGGCCCTTCCCCGGATGCGACACCCCCAGCCATTCGACCAACTACTGAAAATGCTGTCGTCTCCGCATGTGAAGACGGTACGGATGCCAAGCAAAACTCGGAGGAAAACAGCAGCAACAACGGCAGCCATCATTTTCCTGATCAACGGGGGTGTGACGTGTGCGACGCCATCACTCAGTACTTCCAGTCGATGCTCACACGCGGCGTGGTGCTGGATCGGTACAACCACAAGGACTTGGCGTTTGCGTGGTGGGTGCTGGGGCGGAACATGGACACCGCGGCGCTGGAGAACCGCGGCCCGATGCGACGCGAGGCGCTGCTCATCACCATCCGCAATATGTACTACGGCTTACTCTCTGCCGACGAGGCAAGGAAGACGGCCAACGAGGCGACGGCGCAGGCGGATGTGTCGACGGATGCCGCGTATCGTGCCACAGTGGGTAGTGAGGTTGACGAGGAGGCAGAGGACGGCGTGTCAGGGAGAGGTGGCACGACAGACGAGGAAGAGACGGCGGCGACAGAGCCGCAGAGACCGTCGAAAGGAATTGCTGCTCTTGCCACGGCTGCCCCTACACCACGGCCGCGAGGGCGAGGCCGTCATCCCGGCGCCATCTCCGCCAGCACCCCTTCAGGGACTCTCCTGGAAGTACCCGCTTCTACGACTGCAGCCGCAGCACGGAAGCGGCCACGCACAGGGCCGGAGGACAAGAGCCCCCAAAGTGACGCTGAAAAGGATCATCGCAACGATGGCGAAGAGGGGAGCGGCGACGGCACCTCTATCCAGCTGCAGCGGCCCGGCATTTCGGCCAACGACGCGCGTGTGTCCGCGATCGTCACCAGAGCGCGGTTCAAAGCGCCAACTACGCCTTCGTCCCGTGACAACGCAACCGCAGATGAGCCATCTGCGACTTTGGAAGACAAACCTATGCGGCGGCGCCACACGACTGCGGAGAGGACGGCTACAGCACACCCCCTCGCAGCAGCCCTGCGAGGTGATGACTTGCGTCGCTACGGGCTAGCGGATTTCGACAGCGTGGACGACGCCGTAAGCGAGTCCACGTCAGTGACCAGCTCCACCACCGCGTCCCGTGCGGGAAGTGTGACGCCTGCAGGGACGTCCAGCAGCGGCGGCGGTGGCGGCCGACGGCGACGCCGTGCCGAGGACCGCCGACAGGCCGTGGAGGAGACGTGGACGTCGACACGCACAAACCGACGCACTGCCCCGGCGAGGTTGGCGGCGGCGCTGGAGCAGCACGACTCCGCGGCGGCGGTGGGACAGCCGCCCAGTCGCCGAGATGCGTCGCGGGCGGCTGCCAAGACGAGCGCAGCGGGTGCCTTCACGACAGCAACGGAGCTCCCCAGCGTCGTCAGCGCAGAGGTTGCGAGCCGAGAGGTGGCATCGGCGGAGGGTCAGACGGCGGCGCCCGTGTTGGCAGGCAGCCAACGCAGGTCTTCGAAGGCGACGATCGCGGCTGTTAGCGCGTCAACCGCATCGAAGGCGAAGGCGAAAGCTAAAGCGGCTTCCAAGCGGACACGGAGTCGCGGCGGCAACAACGACGGTGAAGAGAAGCACGACGAGGACGCAGCAGTCGCTGAAGGCGCCCAGGCAGACGAAGAGGTGGGAGAAGACGTCGTGGCGAGGCCGGCGCCGCTAAAGCCGCAGGGAAAGACCGGTCAGCAGATCCCAGCTAAGAAGACAACGCGCAGCACCGGAAAAGCCCCGCAGGCCACGATTGGTGACGGCACTACCGACGCCATCGGGGGGCGGAAAGGCGCAGCAGAGGGCACCACCGGCCCCTCTACACTGAAGATGGACAAGCAGCAACCACCGCCACCGGAGAAGAAGGAAGAGCACCGTGGCCGGCCACGTGGTAGCTTCAAGGTTCCCAGACCCATCGTGGACGGTGTGCCCGTCGCCACCACCGGAAGCAGCGCATACAAAGCCGGCACCTCCGCAGCAACCAGTGCAAGCCGAAGCGGAGAGAAGAAACGCGAGGAATCGAGTAGCACATCAGCGTCCTCTCCGACTACGTTCGCGGTGGCCGCCAGCGTTCCTTCCTTCCCCGTCGCGGCGACAGCGGCCTCCGATCACGGCGGTAAAAATCTTCCAGTGCCGCGCGAGATGCCGCTGGGGCTCACCGCACATGAAGTGGCGGTGCGTGCGCGCATTCAACATCGAATGGGTGTGCCGCTCACCCCACCCGCCGCTTCTGCTGCTCCTTCCTTCTCCTCCGACCGCACTTCGCAGACCCCCTCGGAGATCGCGGCTGCCGATGCCCCTGCGACGGTGTACTCGTCGTACACGTTTCTCCTATCATCGTTTGCGTCAAATGGACAGTCAGACGGTGCGAAGGGCAGCATCGCCACGACAGCTCCGGTGATATGGTACGGTCCTGTGACTCCACCAGGGGATCGCGCGAGGGCGGATGAAAAGGCAGAGGTGACTGCCGCTGCCCCGGCAGCGCGCCTGCGTGGTCGGAAGAAGAAAGCGGAGGGCGGCGTTAACAGCGCACTTCTCGGTTGTGCACTACAGCATGATCAGGCAGCCCTGGAGCGTCGGGTGAAGGCGCGACTGGCACGCGAGGCGTCAGGTGCTGCCAGCTTTTCATCCCCGTCGTCCCCTGCTTATTCAAGCCACCACCCGCCGAAAGGGAGCACCGCAGAAGTTGCACACCTTGCCGAGTGCGCCTCAATCAACGGCGGGCAGGAGTGCAATGCTGATGGGACTGATGTGAATCCACTCACTGAGGTGAAGGTGGAAGGTGAGGAGGAGGCGGAGAGCCCGACGACATTCAGTGGTCCTTTCCCCTCTCCGCTCGCCGGGGAAGCATCGGGGCGTGGCAACGGTGGCCCAGCAGCAGACGACCTTGAAGCCCGCGTGTCGCCCCCTCCGCCACTGCCACCCGCAGAGTTTGCAGCGTTGACGTACGCGCAACAGTGCCTGCTCGTGTGGACGGCGGGTGAGCTGCTGGAGCGACACGCACGTCAGCGTCACGCCGCGGAGACCCGTCGTGCGCGGCTGCTCGCCCGCTGCGGTCGCATGGCAACGCGTCGGATGGCGGCCCGCGTGGCGGCGGCGGCGGAGAGCAGCGGCGCGATCGAGGTGATCGGCGACGCTGCTGAGCAGCTTGTGAAGTCGCTGGCAAAGGAAGAGGATGCGGAGGATGCGGTGGACCGCAGCAACGATCCCGGTTCGGAGAGAAGCAGCGACGGCGACGACGGCAGCGAAGGTGGGGAAGTGGAGAAAGGACGGGGGCGCGGCCGATCACGTGGCTCTGTCCCAATGGAGAAGGTCAGCGCGGAGGACACAGAAAGCGACAGTGACGCGTCTTCTGCGTTGTCGAGGGAAGCTCGCCGTAAGGAACTGCGGCCCTTGCCGCGACGGTGGTATGATTACTGGGCTGTATATAGAGCCTCCGGTGGTGCTGCCGCTTTTGCTGGCGCTCCGACCAAGCAGGAAGCGTGAGCGGACACGGCAAGTGCATCGAGAATAGGAGAGGACGAAGAACGAATGAATGAGGAGAGTGCCCCGTACGTGCCACACGATAAGAAGAAAAAATGAAACTTGTATTGCTGAAAAAAGAAAGGCGTCAGCCGTTTTGCGGCACTCAATTGTTCTTTTCTTTGTTTACATCACCCACTGCTCCTCCTCCAACGAGCAGATACTGGAGAAGGGCCTAAGGCGACTATTGCGTTTCTCTCACTGACCAACGGGATCGCACAGTTCCTTTCGTTTCACATCACCACGGATGCCGTTCTCTGTAATGGAAGTGCGCACCTTCTCATTTCTTTCGCTCTTGAAGCTGGTCTCTCCCTCTCTTTTATTTTTTGTTTCGCTCCCACGCACAGAAAGTTCTTCCAGAGCAGCTCCTCCGTCCCTGAGTACGAAGAGGATCTTGTGCACGCACGCGGCTCCGTGGACGCCGTTCCAGGGTGCTGCTTCTACAGTCTTTGGAGGATTTCCTCTCCCTAGCGCGTTTTCTGTATCTGTAAAGAAAAGGCTTGGTTTATCTACGGCTGAGTCGTCGTCGTGTCTGCACGTTGTATTTTAGTAATACGTACTCTCTGTGTGTGTCCGTACCGCTCTTTGGTAATTCTCCATAATTAGCGCGTGACCCTCTGGGTTTTTTTTTGCTCCATAAACGGCTGTCCGTGGTGTGGCTGAATGGAATGCTGCACTTCGTTACGGGGGTGTACAACAGCCTCTTTAGCACGCCGGAGTACCATGTGCTGATTGTTGGCCGCGAGTGTGCCGGCAAGTCAACCTTGCTGGAGCAGCTGAAGTTTCTCTACACGCCGGCCACGCAGCAGCGCGAGGCCGAGCAGCTGCTGGAGGAGAAGCACCGCACTGCTAAGACACCGTCCAACGGTACGCTCGAGTCCTCCACATCTTCGCTGACGGCGCCGCGACACACGGTGCCACCGGGCACACCGCTGCGTGCGACGTCCGCCTACATGGCACAGAAGCGAATACGCCCTACCGTGGGGCTTAACTACGCCGTGGTGCAGCATCGCTTTAGCCCTCCCGTGACGGTGGTGAGACGCGTGAAAAGGTCGGAACTGCGCACCAAAAATGTGGACTCCTTACCGCCACTGCCGGCAGATATCTTCGCCGAACAGCGCGCGCGGCAGCAGGCGCTGCTGGCTAATGCTCCCAGCGACGCCGTCACGCGTGTTGTGCTACGTGATTTGGGCGGCCAAACCGCACTGCGGGATCTGTGGGAGAAGTACTACGCGCAGACACAGGCGCTCGTGTACGTGGTGGACAGCACGCTGCCTTTTCGATCTCCTGCTGCCCCGACATCTTCTTCCTCCCCCGCAGCGGTGTTGCAGCCTTCCGGGCCACCACGGGACCACTTCACCAAAAAGGAGCTGGAAGACCTTTACCGGCCCGATCGTCAGCTCTTGGCGAAGCTGCTGCAGCATCCACTGCTGGAGGGCGTCCCTGTCTTACTTCTGAGCAACAAAACAGATGAAACACCGCACATGCCACTGGAGAGACTGCAGGAGGCGATGTGCCTGGCGGACTTGGCGGCCGACCGAGCATTCTACGTGCGAGAACACATTAGCGATGAGGCCCCAACGTCGAGCGATGCGCACAGCGATACGGGCAATCCGTCTCCTGCAATGAACGGAGCGACAACCGCCACTGCTGAATCAACTGCGGCCTTGTCGCGTCACTCCACACGCGTGGGGTTACCTCAGCGGCGTATGGGCGAAAGCGGGTTCGGCGAGATTGTCTTGCGCATCGTCGAGATCAGCGCGATGGACGGGACGGGGGTGGCAGGGGCGATGGACTGGTTGGTCGCGCAGCTTCTCTTCCACGCGCGAAACGTGAGCGCCGATGCGTGACGGGGCACGCAGACTCCCCCGCGGTCGACAGGGAAGAAAAGAAAAAGGGAAGACGTGAGGGAGAGAGTGTTGCTGCTTGCCGCTCTGGCTTGACGTAGAAACTGAGGCTTCACTGCGGCACGGCTTCGTTGCACTGGTGCCGATACTTGCGCGTTCGACTTGGCATGCACACACACACACGTACGGCTGCTTTTTGTGCTTCTTCAGCCCCTGCGTTTGGCGTGTCGCTTTTGTTTGTTTGTTTGCAAGGCTGCTTCAAGAGCAGCTACAGCAACAGCTAAACAAAGAAGAGCATGCATGGACTTCAATGCAATGCAGCGTGACACGGACGTGCTGCTCAGCAAGCGGCGCTGTGCTCCCGTTTGCGCCTCATCAGTAATGCAGGCACTGATGTGCTCAATCACGTTGAAGGAGGCCTTCCTTTGTTCTTCTTCAAAGCTTCCGAGCAAAGCCGTGCTTCAGCGTTGCCGGAACTGGCCTGTGGGTGCCCCCTGGCCTTTTGTTTCCTTGCGTGGCTGCGTGGCCTTCAGGGGCCGTCCTCTCATTGCGATTCTTGTTGGGTCTCTCCTTGTTATTGCACACCTTTGTCGACCTACGGCACACACACACACACACACACAACATAAAAATCCCTCCCTCCCAGTGATTCATCGACGCCAAAAAGGAGTTGCCGTTGTGAGATCAACGCGGCTGCAAGAGTGAGGGAGCGCAGGGACCACCGAAACGAATTGGCTGACATTGCAGAACTGAAGTGAACGCACAGGCGCATTACAATAGCAGCAACAGCGACAAAAGCACTCCCGTTTAGAGCAACCGGGATAACAATGTTCGATCCAAAGCAGATCACCTCCACCATGTTGGGCTATGCCCCGCAATTCGTGCTCGCGCGCTTCTCCTCCGTCATCATGGGGGTCATTGCGGCATATGGAGTGCTGCTTTTCTTTTGGGGGCAGCCTCCCTTTTTCCAGCGCGTAGGTGAGCTGGGACTCGTCATGACGGTGTGCTACTGGGCTGCGCGTGGTGTGCGTTACGCCATGATGCGCGTCATCACCGTTGTGGAGGGACCCGATGCAAATGCTGCAGCTGTTACGGGAGGGCCAGCAACAACGCCTCCAGCATCTGCAGGTAGTGGCGTTACGCAGAAAGGTGGCTCGGCTCCGAAATCTTCTACTGCTGCTGCGAGTCGACCAAATGAGAAGGAAGCAAAAGTACTCGATTAAACGGAAGGTGAGGAGTTCATATGATGTGTCGTCGTCATCGTCTCACGCACTAAATCTTTTTCTGCTTTGCTTTTTCGTTTTTCTCTTGAATCGCGAGGTTGTGAAGCATGGAGGTGTCACGGCGGTGACTTACAGTGACATTTCTCCTTTTTCGGAAACGGCGATAAAGTGTACGTGTGCGTGCGTGCGTGCCCTACACCCTCAAACAGCATGTCTTTCTATTTGAATAAATATCGTCTCACCTAAACGTAGCGAGTGAAGTTTAAACAAGCGGCGAAGATGAAGTATCCCCTTTAAAAGGAGGCCACGCGCATCACGATACACCATGTCGGTTGTTGACGCATTCTCGACCGTCTTCTCTTCGGTTTCTTTTTCCTCTTTTTTCAAGAGGCGTGTGCTGCGTGTTAATCCTCTGTGTTGGTGTCGATGACGTCTCTGTGCACATCTTTTTTCTTTTATGTTTCTCGTGGATGCAACGTAATTCCTCCCTCTTTTTTTCTCTTCCATTCTTTCTTTGCTCCTTGTCCTCCGCCGGTCTCGCCGCCTTCACGCCGTCTTCCTTTCGTTGGTGTGTGCGCTTGTTTGTACAGTGAGAAACACGAGGGGGGCTGCAGACACGTCACTTCATCTGTGAACCGCTGAGTCGAAAGATACATTTATTTGCTGTTTTCTGCACACGGACGTGCGCCCGCGGTGCCTCATCAGCGACACACCGCATCATTTATTATTATTCTTATTAGTATTACTAGTCACCGCGAAGTCTCCCCAAATGAGCCAACAGCGCCCCTACGAAGGCTTCTCCTACCCGGCAGAGTTCCAAAGCGGGGTGGGCGGTGCCGGTGACACGACTTTCCCCGCTGCCCGCGCCACACCTCCGGCCTCGACTTTTCCCGCCGGCGCGGTGGGAGGTGTAAGCAACACGGGCCTCACCCGGCGCTCTGCCCAACACACTGGCAGTGCCCTCACGAGCAACTTCGCTTCAGCCGTAGCGAACAGCAACGCCTCCTCGACGGGCAACGGACCCGTCACGGTGCCGATCAACGCCTCGTCCCCCAGCGGGAACGGCCAGGTCCTGGGCAGCTACGGCTACTTCCACGGTCACGGCAACAGTATCGACGTGAACAGCGGGTACAACAGCGACTCCGGCAGCTCCGCGTCGAACCTGCACTACATGTCCGGCAGCGGCTACCCGATGACGGGGATGTCGTCCCGCGTGGCGGATGTGGCTGTGGGGGTCAACGAGACCTCAAACGCGACGGACGTCTCGCCGGTGCGCCTGCCGCCCGCACCGCGCTTCACTGCCGCCCGACAGGGATCGGCCGTGCCGGGCGCGAGCTGCGGCGACGGCAATAACAACAGCGGTGGCGGCGGCGTTTTCCAAACCGGCGGCAGCGACGGGCGTGCGGGGTCGGCGGCAAACAGCACCCGCAGCAGCGTCTCCGGGCGGCCGCCCGTGGCCCCACCCGCCTTCCTCCCCTCGCGCCCCTTCCCTCAGACCCCACCACACAATTTGTCCTCTCCCCCGCCGGGTGGCGCTGCGCAGGCGCATTCACATCAGCAGCAACCGTACATGTTGCCGATGCCGTCTTCGATGCACAGCGCGGAGCGGCACGGCGGCAACGACCCACTGGGGGATTCGGGCTCGCCGGACCTCAACGCAGCACCGCGTCTGCCGTTCATGATGGGTCCGAGCACGGCGGGCCCACGCATGCCAACCGTGTCGAGCGACAGCGGCCACGGCTACGGCGGCGGCGGGGGAGGCGGTGGTGCGTCTACCAGCCTCAGCGGCGGCTTCCTTGGCCGCTTCCTCACGCAGGTGCTGCCCACCTTCGACGACGGTAATTCCATGAATGCGCAAGGCGGCGGCGGCGGCAGTCTTCCCCGCGAGCGGCCGCCGTATCAGCTGCGCTTTGGGTGCCCTGAGGATGATCTGCCTCTGCTGGAGGAGCTCGGCATTTTCCCGCGGCACATCCTCGACAAGGCGCGTGCGGTGCTGAACCCCTTCAAGACGATGAGCGTTGACGCAGCCAAGGACCCGGATTTGGCCGGCCCCGTCCTCTTTGCCCTCTCCCTCGCCCTTCTCCTTTCCCTGCGCGGCAAGATCCAGTTTAGCGCCATCTACGGACTTTTTGTGCTTGGTGTCGCCTTTTTCAAGGTCCTGCTGTCGCTCATGCAGCCGAAGGGCGGTGGCGCGCCGCTGCAGTTAGTGGTAAGTACGGTGGGGTACGGCCTGCTGCCCACCGTGCTGTTGGCGCTTGTTCGCACGACGTGCTCTTGGCTGCTCACGCGGCGCAGTCTCTTGCCGTTGACGTTGTTGATGATTCTCTGGTCCGCGTGGTGCGGGTCGTCGCTGGTGGCGAAAGGCCTCGGCATGGAGGAGCAGCGCTACCTCGTTTTGTATCCCATGCTGCTCTTTTACGCCGCCTTCGATGCGCTGACCGTCTTCTGGATGGGGGGGGGGGAGGAGGCAACGGAGGCCCGACTTGGCACGACATGTCGTGTAGTCTTCTTTATTTTTTCTTTTCAGTATTGCGTGCACCTGCGTGTTTGTTTCTGACATCGACTTCTGCGGTGCGAACTGCCTGACGCAGTTTTTCTGTGTTCTGGGATTCTGAAAAGAGTGGAACTTGATCTGCTGATCAAGTGCAACTGCTCGAGGCAGGTTGATGGAGGAATACGCGAAGGGGTGCTTTGCCCTTCGGTCCTCCTTCCTTTCTTTTTTGCTGCCGAGGTTGGGTTGGTGTCGCTTTGCGTACAGCTGTTATGGATCACTGTTGTTGTCGTCTGCAGCAAGGAAGGAAGCAGTTTCCGAAGTAAAAGGACTCGGGTGTTACGGGTGAACGTAAAAGCAGAGAAGCTGTACAGTTTTATTTCGCGGCAGTGAAGAAGAGAAGGCGCTTAACTTACGAAAAAGAAATGACAGCGAACAGATCATCCAATTGACGCTCGATTGCCAAGGAGTGTGTCTGCGCATGCAGCTCTTTGAGAACGCGGAGAGAAACATTCGATGGACGGCGCACGCGTAGCAGCTTAAGTCACTATGCTTCCCACGTTTTTTTCCCCTTTTTTCAATGGCTCTCCCTGCCGCGTCGCATCTCTTCTTGCGTTATTTTCTCTTTTTCTTTTTTCTGCTGCTTTCGTGTACCACATTACAACGATGATGATTCCACTTCTTATGCATGTTGTATCTCCTCAGACCTCGCAGGAGACAACGCACACACACACTCCAAAAGTAGGAGCCTTTCTCTCTTCTGTTCGCACACTGGCCCATTGATAGAGAGCACACACATACACATACACACACATATATATAGATCCACTTCATATCTCCTCCGCATAGATCCACACTGCGGCACACGCGCCGTCAGCTACGACGCTTATAGAACACTTACGAAGTTTTTTTCTGGCTGTTTCACATACTTACTATTATTATTATTACTCTGATAGAACAGTGTCCCATACAATACGTTTTTTATTTCTTTCAACGATAGTTAAATTTTACCTTCTTCATCATGCCGGCTCGTACTGGACCGACGCGTGCGGCCGCCACCGTTGCATCGGCGCAGAAGCCGCGTCGTCAAGCCCGTGCCTCAGCAGAAACTCCATCGACCGATGCAGTGTACCTTGCTGAGACTCTTCTGGAGGAGGTCCCGCACGTCGGCCGTGAAGCCGAGTACGAAGCAGTGGTCTCTTACGTGGCTCGCCGTTGGTCCCACGAGGCCAACACCGCCCTCTTTGTTTGTGGCGGCTGTGGATGCGGTAAGACATCCACGGTGAAGCGGGCGCTGCGGGCCATGTCGGCTCGTGTCTTGCCCTGCGATGCGACGGGACGCAGTTTGCTCAAGCACAGCTCTTTGAAGGAACAGGGGTGGAAGCCGATTGGGCAGGTCGATCCCAGTGAATCTGATAGAAACTCGAATGCGCGGAGGGCCGATGCAATGCAGCATCAGCTTTCCAATGGCATGAGCACCCCGCGCCCATCACATCAGCCCAGCAGCGACGCTGCAGGTCTCACGCCATCCCCCTCCCTGTCCTCCAGACTGTGCGATAGCGCATCCTCAGCTGCCACTGTTGACTCTGCTCCGACCACGCCTGCGGCAACACGGCGGCGGTCGCACACGCCCATAGAGAGTGTCCTTTTCTCCTCATCGTCCTCCCCCGCCTCGGGACGTCCCAGTGCGTCGAGCGAGGATTCCACGGCGAGCGCTTTGGCCGCCGCAGGTCCGGTGCGCGGCGCGTACAAGCGCTTCCGCGAAGAAGAGGAACGCAACTATGCAGTGGCAGAGGGACAATGTGACGGACCACGTAAACACCGCAAGGATAACAGCGCCGAAGAGGAGGAGCCAAGCGGCGCCGTGGGCGTGCACATTCCCCGTCAGGAGCATCTGCGCCACAGTGGGCGTGCTGCAGTGCTACCGGTGCCGGCGACGGCTGCGCCTTGCAGTATCGAGTATTTTCAGGTGCGCTACCCGGAGGTCTTTCGACAGATTGGCACGTCTTCCTCGACCTCGTCGCCTCGCCGTGGGATGACCTCGCGCGGCCTCTTTGGGCACTACGTCAATTGCGCCGATGTGAGCGGACCGCTTCTGGTGGAGGCGATCGGTGAGAGCATTCGGGCGACGTGCACGCGTGGCGACGAAGCGACGCACGCTCTACTGCAGCAGCTATCTCGCCTCAACGGAAACACGAGTGCCACTGCGGAGCGCCCTAACAGCAGCACTGGTGGCGGAGCAGGCGCACGGACAGGCACGCCAAGCCGCTCGTCCTCAGCAAAGCAGCAGAGCAGAACGGCGCTGCACGTGGTGGCGCTGGACGAGGTGGAGTACGTGCGCGGCGGCGGCGCCAAGACGCTCGCACAGCTTGCGGAGTTAGCCTCTCAGCTGCCGGGTCAGCTCGCCTTCATCTTCATCTCCAACCAGCGTGCCTTTGTCCACGTACCGCAAATGATGCTGGAGGCGCTCCTCTTTGAGCCGTACAGCGAGGCGCAGCTGCGATGCATTGGTGCCGACGCGACCTCCGCGGAGCTGCACAGGTGCGAACAGCTCACCGGTGGCGGTCAGGCCCATCACACGACCCGCAAAAAGACGAACGCGGCCGCCACTCCAGTTGTGAGCGCGTCTGACGTGGACATCAAACCGCGCCTGTATGACTACATCGCCCGCAAGGCCCTGCTTGAGTACTCAGGTGATGTGCGGCAGGTGATTGGGATGTGCCACCGGGTGGTGTCCGTCGCCTGGGAGGAGGTGATGGAGCGAAAGGCGGAGGCGATGCTGGCGGTTGCCGCAGCGAACGATGCTGCGCCGGCGGGGGAGGAGAAGGCGGCGCCGTCCAGCCGTCGCGCAACACCGAAGAGCCGTAAAAACGCCGTCGCTGCGACGCCCCCGTTGTCGTCGGACCTCCCGGCGAGGTTGGAGGCGGCGGTGGAGACGTACAGCGTCGAGGGCCCTCACCCACGTGGCAGCAGCGGGAGCCGCGGCGCCGGTAGCACCAGTGCCTCATCGTCTGCACGGAGCTCCGCTGCGTTGCCGTCCACAGCCGGGCCCCAAGACAAACTTTCTTCTTCGACTTCCACCGCAATCGGTCGTTCGCCGGCTTCTCCCTCTCCCTTCCCTCCATCGTCTTCGCCGTCAGGCGTCATGACCTTAGCAAAAAGCGTGCGACTCTTGCAGAGCAATCAGGTAGAGAGCGACATCGATCGCTACGTCGGCACGCTGCCGGAGCAGACCCTCTACGTCTTAAGCTGCATCGTGGTGCTCACGCTACGGAAGCAGGAGGAGCGCACGTACGCCCTGACAAGCGTCGGCGGCCGCATCGGGACTAGCCGTACGCCCGGTGCGGGGGTGGCAGCGGCACATCGCACCGCACCGACGCTGTCACTGAAGATGCACGAGGTACATCAGTTATACACACGACTCATGGCGGAGCTGCACTTCCCTGCCATGCGCGCGGACGGCTTCCCGCTGCAGGTGGAGTGCCTCGCTGACTTCGGTGTGCTGACGCGTCCGCAGCTGCGTGGCACCGATCGGATTTTCTCCCTGAACGGTACATGGACGCTCCAGGCGATGCAGCAGGCTTTGGTGAAGCGGGGGGAGGCAATTAAGCAGGACCGACTCGCGGCAGGGGCGGGGGCGGTAATTGAAAACAAGTTTGAAGAGGTGCTTCGTGAGCTGTCGAGGCTGATTCACTACTAGAATTTCTCCTGCTGTTTCGCGCTTTTCCTGTCTGCACGTGTGCACTTACAAAAGTTGTGCGTCGCTCGTTTTCACCCTTTTGCTCTCCGCATTCGTCATCGAGGTCCGTTTATTGTCTTTCCTTGATGATTGTAGAGACGAGCCGCGGCCGAGTTGTAGATATGTTGTGTCCGCCCTACCACTTTCCGATAGAGAGCACACCGGCCACCTTGGCTTTTATTCGTTGCGAGGTATCTGTTGGCGCCTACGTGCGTCAATACGTGTACCCTGGGAGGAGAAACCAACAAATAATCCTAAGAGAGATGATGACTGCCTTTTTAAGGCTGATTCAGAATCATCAGTGTGTGAGAGCTGATGAACAGTCGCTGTGCTTTTTGGGGGCTTACGATTCGGCGACGGGTGCGTGCGCATCTTCCACCGGCCTTGGCATTTTCGTTTTGCTGTGCGCTGCCACTCCTCTTTAAGCTATCCATCGCTTCTGTCGTGGTCTCCACGCCGTGATCCTATGAATCTCTTCTTTGAGACTCCTCTTTGCTTTCCACTGATCCACCTTTCTCACACACCGTCGTGAACTCTACCTCTACCTCTACCTCCTCCTCTTCCTTTCTATTGTTTCCTGTTGGAAACCCTTTTCTCCATCAACTTCTCCAATCAGTTTTAATTTCCCTCCTACTTATTTTCAAAAAAAAAAAGGTAGTATCCCCTCATCATGCCGCGTGAGATCAAGACGCTGAAGGAGTTCCTCGCTATCTGCTCCCGCAAGGATGCACGGTGCGTGAAGGTCAAGAAGAACCCGAGCGCGACCAAGTTCAAGGTGCGCTGCAGCCGCTACCTGTACACGCTGGTCGTGAACGACAAGAAGAAGGCCGACAAGATCGAGCGCTCCATCCACCCGTCGGTGAAGAAGATCGCCGTGACGGCCCGCTCGCACGCCAAGACGAACGCCGGTGCTCACTAAGAAAACAAAGCGGTTATCTGTTTCGTTTTGCTTTCAATGTGCGTATCATGCGTCGGTGTGTATGATGCGTGAGGGTGAGAAAGAGGGGAAGGGAGGAGGTGACGAAGCACGCAAGGAGGCTTTTCCCTGTTTCTGCTCGTCTCATTCTCCTCCCTTCACTCATCTTGCTTTGATTGTAGCGCATCGAGGAGGAAGGGAAGCTATTACACAGTGGAGACGGTGAGAACCGTTTTGAACGGTACACGTTTCAATATATTTTTTTCTTTATTTCAAGCTCAACACCAAACACTGCAAATAATAACACAGAAGAAAAGTGGTTGTAGGCTGATCAGGGGAAGAGGAATAAACAGCCGACTTAGACCCTTGCTTTCTGCGCCTCGAGTTCGCGTACCTCGGCCGCTACAAATGCGTTATGAAACAGAACAGCACAAAACAGCAAAAGAAGTGTTTTCTGGGAAAGGCATTCTTTTCGGGTCTTCGGTCTGTTGTTCACTGCGATAGAGCTGTGCGTCACGCGGTCCTTTCCACCTTTCCACATTTCTGCCATCCTCATTTTCTCTCCTTCTTTTCCGCAGACTTTCTCTCCTGTTCCTCTCTGTTTTGCAAACAATCGAGGAAGAAGAAGCGACAATTTTTCTTCCTGCAAAACAGTCATCAAGTGCTTTCGGGTACTATCGCTATAGTTTGTTATCATTCTCCATCGCAAAAAGTGATGGAAATGTAAGAAGGAAGTTTTACAGCGCCCGTTGACCCTCACATCTTGTTGTGTGCCGCCTCCTCTTGGGATTATTTTGGATTTGAAATCTGCCGCGCCGGATGCCTTCGGAACGCACCACTACTCTGTTGCTGCCTCGTAGAACTTATTCTCCGTTGTTGTTTCTCGCAGTCTCCTCGATCACGCTCGCCTCTTTTTTCGGTGAACTGCACAGCTCTGCCTCTCTTATTTTAATAACATTAATTGACGTTTTAAGGCGATAGCTAGTTACGTTGACGTGTAAATGAGTTCAACTGTCGATGGCAGCCGCCCGGCGCGGCCGAAAGATGCAGAGGCGTCGCCATCCACCACATGCACCTCTTCTTCACTCTACTCCGCTGATACGCAGCACAGCACACGCGAGCTGCTTCAGCACCTGCCGGGTCGTCGCGTCCTCGTCACTGGCGGCTGCGGCTTTATTGGCAGCTGCTTTATTCGCTGTCTCCTGCAGTGGGGTCCGTCCGACCTGCACGTGTACAACGTGGATACGCTGGAGTACTGCGCCGGTGCCCACGTGTCTTTTCTCACTTCCGCAGACAACGCAAGCAGCCCGATCGGTGAGATGAATGCGGAGCATCATCATGAAACCGGCGTGAATGCTCGCTATCATTTCACTAAAGGGTCCATTCTGGATGCGGAGCTGCTGCTGAGTATTTTCCGTACGCACAGCATCGATATCGTGGTCAACATGGCGGCTCAGACCCACGTCGATAAAAGCTTCACTGACAGCCTGCGTTTCACGCAGGCAAATGTGGTGGGCACGCACACACTGCTGGAGTGCGCAAGAGAGTACGGCCGGCTCACCCGCTTGTTGCACATCAGCACCGACGAAGTGTACGGGGAAACGGTAGACGGCAACGGGCCTGCGACAGAGGCCGATACGGTACTGCGGCCCACCAACCCCTACGCTGCCACGAAGGCCGCGGCAGAGCATCTTGCCTTTGCTTACTTTCACTCCTTCCACTTGCCGGTGCTCGTTTCACGGGGCAACAATGTCTACGGCCCTGGTCAGTACCCCGAGAAGGTGATACCAAAGTTCATCACGGAGTGCCTGCGCGGGGCACGGATGCCCATCCAGGGCGACGGCCACCATCAGCGCAGTTTCCTGTACGTGGACGATGTGGCGCGTGGGTTGGTGACGATTCTCACGCGCGGCGAGCTCGGTGCGGCGTACAACGTGGCCAGCACGAGAGAGTGGTCGGTCTGCGAGGTGGCGCGGCACGTGGTGGCGTGTGTGACGGGGTCTGCCGCCGAGGCACGGCGGGACGACTTCGATGACGTGTACGTGCGCTACGTGGCGGATCGCGCCTACAATGACGCGCGGTACTGTATCAGCAACGATCGGCTGACAGCGCTGGGCTGGGTGCCGTTGGTGTCGTTTGGCGAGGGACTGCGCCGCACCGTGGAGTGGTACAGGACGCACCCTCTTGACGGAGGGTATTGGGAGGGCAATCACCTGTAAGCCGAAGGCGATGTCGACTGCCTTATAAGGCCATCAAAGCAAGCCAAAAAAAGCGCAACGCACGGCAATGCAGAAATGAAAAAGGCCGGCTCTTTGCGGCGCATCTCCGCGCTGCGGGGTGTTGGCTGTGTGGAAAGCAGACGCCCCAACAAAACAAAGGACGAAGTGCGAACTCCCGTCATTTTTTTTCGGACAAAGCTGGCCAGTCATCTATGAAGAGTGCGGAAGGAGACGCGTACGTACGCGCTGGGGCTGCTGTCTTCACTTTTACCTTTTCTGTTCCCTCTTCCTGCCGTTACTTTCCTCTGTTTTCTTTGGTTGGTGTGCCTGCACGGCGGCAGGAGTGAGCCCTTTCATTTCTTCCCCCCCCCCTCCTCCTTTTTCCGACCTCTATCCCCGACATTGATCTTCTCAACTGTCCTTTTCCTTCATCGAAGCAAAAAGCATCACCGCACGTCTTTCAAAACCTAAACGACGCTGTAAAGGGAAAAAGGATTCCCCAACCACTTTCAATTCTAACGTTTCCCAAGAACAATATCAAAGTATCTCTCTCTCTCTCTCTCACACACACACACACAAAACATGCGTAACGCAGCGACCGAAACGCTCCTCAGCACCGCCACCACAACCGGCATGGCGCTGACGGAGGACGCCTTCGCAGAGTACATGGACAACGTCGACCCCCTGCGAGAACACCGCAGTGCCTTTCACATCCCCCCGATGCGCGATGGCACACCCTTCTCCTACCTGGTGGGCAATTCGATGGGCCCGCAGCACGTGGGCGTGGAGGCGGCTGTCGCCGGGTTCCTGAAGAAGTGGCGTGATCAGGGCTGCGAGGGCAACACCATGCAACCGAACCCGTGGTATGAGGCAGACCAGGCGAACTTGAAGGACATGGCTTCACTCGTCGGCGCCAAGGACGCGGAGGTGGCCATCATGAACTCCCTGACGGTAAACCTACACCTGCTCCTCACCGCGTTTTATCGTCCACAGGGCACCAAGAAGAAGATCATGCTCGAGCACAAGAGCTTTTCCGGCGGCAAGTACGTCATGAACTCGCAACTCGAGATACGCGGGATGAACCCGGCGGAGGACATCATCACTGTCACGGCCCCCGGCACGAAGAGCCACGATGACCCGGCCACGTTGATCCCGACGGAGGCCTTCCTGACGGCGATTGACAAGTACGGCGACGAGACGGCGGTGCTTGTCTTTTCTGCGGTGCACCACGTCACGGGACAGTGGTTCGACATCCCCGCCATCGTCAAGGCGGCGCACGCGAAGAACATCCTCGTCGGGGTGGACTGCGCCCACGCCGTCGGCAACGTGCCGCTGCAGCTGCACGACTGGGAGGTCGACTTTGCCTGCTGGTGCACCTTCAAGTTCCTCAACAGCGGCCCGGGCAACATTGGTGGCATCTTCGTACACAACAAGCACACCTCCAACACCACCACCCCGCTCAAGTACCTGAAAGGCTGGTGGGGCAACGACAGCAAGACTCGCTTTACGCCGCACCGCGATTTCGAGCCGGCTCCGGGCGCGTCAGCCTTCCAGCTCAGCATGGCCCCGGCTGTCAACTGCCAGATCTTGGGCCCCTCGCTGAAACTGATGGCCTCGGTAGGCCTGCCCGCCATCCGTCAGAAGTCGCTGCTGCTGACGGCGTATTTGGAGCTGCTTTTCACGGAGCTGGTGCCGCCAGGCTGTGTGGAGATCATCACCCCGGCGGATCCAAATCAGCGTGGCGCCCAGCTGTCCATTCGCCTCCTGCTCAACAAACTCAAGGCGTCCGCGTTGGACTCCGCAGCCTATGAGGTGGGCACCGGGGCGGAAGGCACTGATGATGCCTCTGTCCTGCAGCGCCAGCTTCTGGATGAGGGGGTCATGGTGGAGAAGCGCCCACCGGACATGATTCATATGGCGCCTGCACCAATGTACAACAGCTTCGCTGACGTTTTGCGTGCGGTGCGCACCATCGCCGAGCTCTTTTGACGTGTTTTGTTTTTTTCTGATAGTTGAGATTTTACTTCCCAGTCTCGTTCGCTATTTTTTGTTTTCCTTGTGGCGGATGCGTCGTGAAGTTTATTCGTTGTTGCTGCCCCTCTCGGGGTGGGGAGCGACGGAGCGCTTTAGGAAAAGTAGAAGAGCAGGTGCGAAACACCACGGAGAGGTCAGCGCTATCAGAAGAAGAGAGTACCCGAGAAGAGAAAAGCAGAAGGAGTTGATGGAAGTTTCGTTGAGCAACAGAGGGAGAGTGAAATACTAAAGAAAAAAAACGGCGTTGTAAGCAATGCGTGCCGTTGCCCTGAGGCTTCTTTGTAGCGTATGTTCTTCTGTCTACACGTTACAGACGCCTTTTTCTCTTTTCTCTCTCTTGCTGTTGAACGAGGCTCTTCTTCCGTCCAAGCTGTCCGTCTATCTGCGTTCGATGTTTTGTTTTTGTTTTTGCTGTTTTGAGTGGTGCATTAATAGAGGTATACACCCTATCCAAGACGTGCAACTCACCCTTCCCCCCAAAGAGAAAACTTCTCCCACCTCGGTCATATGCCATACGTCACTTGATATCTTCTTCTTTCTTGTGTTTGCTGTCTGCCTCGGACGAAGAACGAGAGAGAGAGAGAGGCGAGAGAGAGAGACGAAAGCAGAGTACAGTGCTTTTGCGTGTTCGTTAGTTCTCCTTCTCATCTTCCTGTATTCGGTTTCTTTTTTATTACCTTTGATGCACTTTTTGCCTGGTTCGTGGGGACTGACACTCCAACAACAGGTGAAGCACCCACACACATATACACACGCAAACAGACAAAACAGAAATCAAGAATACCATCACGTTTTGCTCTCTTATTTGTGGCACCTGAGTCGCGCGCCATGGCCTGTATTTGGCAATGGAAAGGGCTGCCGCGCTTCCCTCCGCATCTCGTGACATCACTGCCACTGTGGCGACGTGTCAGCGCACATGCACGCAGACAGGCGTGTGCTTTATGCACTTTCTTTTCGTAGGCGTGGCTTTTACCGCTTGTAAAAAGGCAAAGTGTCGGCCACTGTGCTCCCTGCCGTTCTATCATTTCTCTTTCTCTTTCCTCACGCTATATCTTCCGCCTCTTTCTTTGCCCTTCTACAAAAAAAAATACGCTTTCCTCTATTTGCTGTTGTTTTCATCTCGATATGACCCACTCCTCAGTAACAACAGAAGATAGGCTTTCCCATTACCACGTCGTACACACAAACACAGACAAGGAAAATGGCAGCGACAGGCTCTCTTCGCGGACGCGGTGACGCTACTCACACAGGCCACATCACCAGTACCGCCAATGCTCTCGATGACCCGCACCTCCTCGGCACGCTGGTGAAGTCGGCCAAGAGCGCGTACAGCACACTGGGCCGTGCCCTCGACACAACGCTTTCGCACCAGCGCTTTGGCGGAGCCCAGATGGAGCCGAGTGCGCTGACGATGAACCGCCTAAAACGCGAGCGCCAGCTGCGCCTTCAGCAGGAGTTGCAGCGCGCGTGCGGCGACACCAGCGTGAGTGCAGGCAGCGGCGGCAGGAACGCGGCTGCGAGAGGGGTCGATTGGACGAATGAAACACGGCGCCCCGCGTCGCCCGCCTCTGGTGCATTGGCGGCGTCGTCGTCGCGGGGCGGCCTGCACATTCCGGCGCTCCCCACGATGGCGCCCTCCATGACAGCCGCCGCCGACGACGGCACCGAGTCGCTCGGTGGCACCAAAATCGGCGGCGACGACCGCGGCTACGTCACCCTCATCGGTGCCGTCCCGACCTTCGCCACGACGCGGAAGATCGAGGACAACTACGAGTTGATTAGCAGCTTCCGTGCTTACCGCACCGATGCCCAGCGAATGGAGCGGCAGGCGGCCTTGCGAGACTTCTCTGCTCCGCACCCGGATCTGCTGGAGCAGCTTGCCCCGCTAATTCAGCAGCGCAGAGCGTCGCGACCGCTGGAGGTGGTGGATGTGGAGACGCTGCCGTACGGCCTGCGGCAGGCTTACGCCGCGCAGCAGCAGGCGCGTAGTCTTCCTGCTGTCGATGCCCAGTCACCGGACAACGCGGGGATGATGAAGATGGAGGAGGAGATCCCTGGAGCGACGATGCCGGTTGCTGCGGCGATGGAGAACGCAACCGGCAGTCCTTCTGGACCTCTCCCTGGCACCTGGCCCTTCACCTGCCAGGGCCGCGTGGAGGCCGACCGTGTTAAGTCGCTCAACTACTTGCCCGGTTATCGTCAGCCGGCGGTGGGGCAGTACCACGTGCGCTACGGCGTGGTGGAGCCGCGGGTCACCGGTGGCTACGTCATGCCGCAGGCCCCCGCCCCGTCCCTCACGCGGGCCGCAGCGCAGCCGCCAAACGCCGATGGGCGGCAGGGCGATGAGGGGGCCGTGGAGGAGCGCCGGCAAGACGCCAGCGTGAACGGCGACGGTGATCGCTACGGCGCAGACGCCGTCTTCGGTCTAACGATGCGCGACGACGTTACCTCCATCGCCGGGGCCCGTCACGGCACGGAGCGCTCTGGCGAAGACGACAGCAATGCCCGGCGGAACATCCCCATCTCACACGGCGAGAACGTGAAGGGCAGCTCCATGTTTCTCTCCCAGGTTCCACGGCAGGTCTCACATGGCACGGCGGCACCAGACGTGTACTACTGGCCCTATCCCGATGCTCGCTCCACCGCAAAGCGCACGCCGTGTCTCGTGCAGCTCGACGTGCTGCCGACGCAGCGCCGCCGCGAGCCCCTTGTCTCAGGGGTGCCGGCGTCCGTCTACGAGGTCAGCGAGGACATCGCTGCCAACCAGCCCCGCACCGTCACCATGGACCGCACCACCGGGCGGGGGACCCACTGGTACGGCCGGGCACCGCCGCCCACCAACGGCGAGCTGCTGGACGTCGACCAGGCGTTGCGGGCGACGCGGGCAAAGGAGCGGGCGGCGACGCTGCCACCCCGCACACGCGAGGGCGACGGTCGTCCACGCAGCAGCAATCACAACGACACGCTCGCCCCTGGTGGTGCTTCAGTGGGCGACACCGCCGTCTCGGTCGAGCACAACCTCAACTACCCGCGGTCGTTAATTGGGGATGCGGCGCAGCTGGCGCGTGTGCGAGACTTCGGCAAGGTGCCCAGCCGTGCGGAGAGGGAAGCGCGGGCCACGCTGGGCCTCACGGTGGCCTACCAAGGCGACGACGACGGTGCCTACGACCAATCTGCGGAGGCAGAGGACGGTAGATCGGAGTGGACGGAGGCGCGTAGCCGGTCCGCCATCATCCATTCTTCCGCGCCGGGGCACAATGACATGCACGCTTCCAATCCTACGGAGCTGGGCGAAGTGCCTTCCCTGGCCTTGACAAAGCCGCGCGTGGGCTGTGTGACGGACCTCGGCAAAGGCAGCGCACGCCCTGTGCACATGGTCCCTCTCCACGATCTCACGTACGACGTCGATGGCGGGTACGCGCTGACGGGCGGACGGGTGAAGGGCACGCCGTCGATTGGGAAAGTCGTCACTCGTCAACAAGCCGGCGGCCAAGGGGCAAAAGGTTGCGGAGCAAGCGTGATGTACGACCCCACCAACTACCTCTCCCCGACTGTAAAGTTGGTGCCGGATTTTGAGAAGCAAATCACGAAGGAGCGCGAGTTCCGCGGCCACCGTGTGCAGTCGGAGCGGTACACGCGGCTATTCCCTGCCGCGCCAGGACCTGGCCACTACACGGTCAACTACTCACTCGTGGAATAAAACAATGAAAGAAGGGGGAAAGAGGCGGTGCTTCTTTGCCTTTCATTACTGATGTAAAAAAAAAGTGGAGAAAATGCATGTTTCTCTCGCTGTTCTTTTCATTCTCGTCTTGCTGAATTAATAGCTGGTCCTACTTAATTTTTTCGCTCTTCACTCATATGAAAAAACCTTCAAAAGGATGCCCACGGAAGGTTCCTAGACGGCTTCAGTTTTTGCAGCTGCAGCTCGGCTGCCCTGTACTTTTAGTATGTTTGAGTTTCGATACGGTTCTTGGCGTCATGTATATATGTAGCAACACAATGAAGTAGTTTACTCGGTTGGTAAGAACAATTATTGCTGAGGCTTCGGCAGGAGTTTTGTCCGTAAAAGGCATTTTCACCTGTGCCAGTGTTTCTCCCTTTTGTTGGTAAATTGTATCACCTTAGACGAAGTGCTGCTTATGATTACTATGCTTTGCTCGTTTCCCTGATGGATGTATCCTGCAGTGTTCACTTCACGAACACGGTGCACACACACACACACACACACACGCACGCACAACGATGCAATTATCGCACACCGCAGAGGCTTTGTCTTGTACTATCAGTTTTTACTCTTAGCTTTTAAGTGGCGTGCATGTATTAGCAGCTGACCGCGCACGCGGCACGCGTTACCAAGCAAACGCACAAACAGTCACGGCAAACGAGAGATCAACAATCGTGGTGCCCGATCCGTCGCGGGTAGTGCACTGGCGGAGGTTGCTTGCTTTCTTTCTTCGTTGTCAAATTAAAACGTTGGTTGCACGTCGTACTGTTCGTCGGAGAGCGAGAGGGAAAACTCACCTTAAAACTGTGCTCTCTCCCAAAATCCGACTATCGTCTCGTAAGTTTAACGCCGCTTCCCATGTTGATACTGCAACCTCGCTGCAAGATTCTTTCCCCCATCGGCCGAAAAATGGTTCGTTTCCTATCGCGCGTTGTTCTTCTCCCTTTTCTCGGCCTCTTCTCTTTTTCCTCTTTAGCTATCCCGCGCCGTGGAAGAGCCGAATACTACCTAGAAAGAAACTTAAACTTTTTTTTTGTTTTCTTCATTGCTTTGATATTCATTTTCATATATACATCAATGCTTCGCCCCGGCACCGCCTTAGCAGCGGATGGGCAGGCAAGCGATGCAGCCTCGCCGACGATGCCCGCCTCTCCTGTGGGCTCTGCGGGAGCCATGCCCACTAACGCGAAGACCGCACGCGCGGTGCTTTCCAAGGAAACTACCATCGTCCGCGGAGGCCTTCTGGGCTGCGTAAAGCAGCGCATCTTCACCGATATGCTCGATAGCGTTCCTGGCGGTTACAACATCCTCATCTGCGACAACAAAGGGGCAGAGATTCTCAGCATTTGCGTGCGCATGCACGACTTGATGGACCACGGCGTGACCTTAGTCGAGGATCTCGGACTGCCTCGGCAGCCTGTGCTGAGCAGCGCCGCCATCTACCTAATCGAGCCCACCGAGGAGTCGGTGCGTCGGGTGATGCAGGACTGGTCGCTCAAAAGCACATACCGCGAGGCCCACGTCTTCTTCACCTCACCAGCGCCCGACAACTTACTTCAGCTGATGGCATCTGAGTCGCGTCTGGTGGAGGCGCTAAAGACATGCAAGGACATGCTGCTCGACTTCGCCGTTCCCGAGACGCTCCTCTTTTCTTTTGGGATGCAGGGCGACATCCAGAAACTCTTTCCTCCAGATGTGGCTCTCGCAGGCGGCCGCGAGAACATCCTCGGGCAAACGGCGCGGCGTCTTGTATCTGTCTTCTTCACCATCGGCGCCGGCGTGCCCACGGTGCGCTACCAAGGGACGAGCCGACTAGCGCAGCAGGTGGCGCGGCTCTTCGCAGAGCAAGTCAACGCCGCCGCGCGCGGCAACCCATCCGCGTTCCGCCTGTCCAGTGCAAACGGCGGCGGCGCGGCGCAGCCGGAAGAGCCTCCTCTGCTGATTCTCGTTGACCGCTCCTTCGACGCCGTCGAGCCCCTCCTGCACGAGCGCACGTATCAGTGCCTCCTCAACGATCTGATGCCGCTGGAAAACGGAATTTATCGGCAAACCTTCGAAGGACGCGGCGGCCAAGAAGGCACGCGTAGTTGCCCGATTGACGAACAGGACCCGTACTGGTGCCAGTACCGCCACCGCTTTTTCACTGCGTGTCTCGAGGACTTTCCGCGGAAGTTGCAGGAGCTCATCGACGCCAATCCTGCCTTGGCAAAAGGCATGAGCGGCAACATAGCGGCAGGCGGCAACAAACTGGCGGACGTGGGCAGCGCCATCCGCGCCCTGCCAGAGTTCCAGGAACGCCAGGCAAAGCTCTCCGTGCATATTGACATGTGCACCAAGATGATGGAGCTGTACAAGCAGCAGAAGCTCGCGGAGGTGTGCGAGGTGGAGCAGGACATGGCCACCGGCCGGCACTCTTTTAAGGAGGTGTACGACAGCGTCCACCGTCTCGCCGCGGACGTGTCGCTGCCGCTGCCTGTCCGAGCGCGGCTGCTGCTGCTCCTGTGTGCCGCCACCAACACCCGCGAGTTCACCGAGGCGAAGAAGCTGATGCTGCTGCAGGAGACGGCTCTCACCAGCGAGGCGGACCGGTGCAACAGCCTGAACATGTTCATCTCCCGCATGGGCCAGCTGCCCCAGGAGAAAGCGGAGGGTGGTGGTGGCAGCGATAAGGCAAGCAGCCCCAACAACAGAGGCAACACGCTCGGGGTGCTCATGCGACGCTCCCTGCGCACCAATCGAACTACAAGGCACGAAACGAATCCAAGCCGTTCGGGATCCCCCACGAGTAGCGGCGGCAACAGCAGCGCCGCCGACACGTTCCACAATCAAGCCTACCTGATTCTCAATGCAGCCGTTCACAACACCCTGAGCCCGGCAGACTTCCCTTTCTTCACCGGTGTCAGCGGGGCCGGACTCGCCAGCGTGGCGAACGCGGGTCGGGGCACGGCTGCCGCCGGCGCCGTACAGCGGCGACGCACCTTGCGCTCAGGCGTGTACGGCAACGATGCGGCGAACCATACCGGGGCGATGGGCGGCCCCGATGGGGAAACAAACGTCACGCTGGATCTTGGTCATGAGGGCCAGTATGCGTTGAAGAGTCGTCAGCGGGTGGTGCTGTTTGTTTTGGGCGGCGCCACGTTTGGCGAGGCCCGCGCAGGCTACGAAATCTCGCTGCTGACTCGCACGGAGACGATGGTGGGCGGTACGTCGCTGTTGACGCCTGCAGTGTTTCTGTCGGCGCTGACCTCTTTGCGGTGAAAAAAAAAAATGGTGAAGTCGTGGATGGAGAGCGCTCTTCACAATGGTTTAACTCTTATTCCAATGTTGCTCGATATTTTGTGTTTCTTTCTCTTTCTTCTCTCGGCGCGTTGGTTTTTGGTTGCTCTCCGGCGCTTTATGCGAGACCACCCTTTCACTTTTTTCTTTCTTTCTCTCCCTTGACATCAACCCCCCCCCCAAAAAAAAAAAGCGAAGGCCACCCCGCTTATTTAACCTGCAACCGCATCCACCCCTCTCTGTCTTCGTGTTTGTTGACGATATTCGACGCTTCGAGTCGGTGTTTTTTGTTGCTACTTTCATACTCACTGTGCATGTGCGCTTGCTCATGATTACTTTTGACCTCGCCGCCTTTTTTGTTGTTGCTGCTGCTTGAAGCGATGTCCTCGATTCGAGGCGGCAAAGAAGCAGAGAAAAGACGGAAAGAATTATATTTTTTTCCAAGCTCCAAGAGCTGAAAATCATTCTTCAGCGATGCACTGCGTGGGCGGACTTCATGTGGCGCTGCAGCCTTTTTGTTTTGCTTCTCGCGCGCAGGTCATCTTAATGGGCTCTCTCCCCCCCCCTCCCCCACATGAGTGAACGTCGTCGTGTGCTCTGCTACCTGTTAAGAGACCGTCGAGGCAACCCCCTCCTTTTCTTTTCTTGCGTAGAGTCTTTCGCGTGTCTTCGCCAAACTTCTCTTCTTTTCCAACAACGATTTCCTTCATTTGTATTTTTTGGTCTGTCCACTCCCACCATAGAAACAAAAGGGAAACCAACCAGCAGAAACGCACGAGCGACAGGTAAGTCCGTTTCTTTGCGGGTTTGCTCGGTAGCGGTGACGTCCGCAAACATCTTTTCTTCTTCAAATCACACACATTTGTTGTTTTCCATGCTTTATCGCGCAACTCGTGTGCTAGCCCGCGACTCCCTCAACGGGGGCAGCTCCATGACGCTCGGCAGCAAAGGCATGCGACTGTCTCCCGAGCCGCACCGCCAACGCATGCCGTGGACAGCGGCGCAGGAGTACGTTCCGGGCGTCGTGCTCAACAACAAGGACAAGTTAGTGCTCGACGGCAGCAAGTTAGTCGAACTCGATCACATTGATCGCGCGGCGCAGGTTGACCCGCTGGAGGTGCTCAAGGCAACGGTGGCCACCCGCGCCTTCAACATCTCCACGGGCTCTAATGTTTTTCAAATTGCCTCGCAGACTCGCTACCACGGCCGTGGGCAGAAGTTTTACCGCGAGGAGTGGCGTCAAGGCACCTACGATAAGTACATCACTCTCGCCGCCATTGAATTTAATCGCGAAGGGAGCAAAGGCACGGCGTACGGCTACATTACCTTCCACGGTGAGTCGACGACACGCCCGGTAGAAATCAATTTCGCGGACACCCCCGGCTGGCACATGGAGTACGAGGAGGCGGCGGCGGTGCCGTTTGACGCGGTGGTGCCGCCGCCGCCAAGCATCGGCACGGAGGTCCCGGTGGACCCGTCATCGTACCGCGTGAAGGCGTACCCGTTTTATGACGCCCCCAACCCACCTGAGTTTGTCGAGCGCCTGCTGAAAGACCGTGGTGTGCTGCCAGACCTTCCAATGGACGCGTCGGCGCCTGGCGGGGATGGGGAGGCGGGGGGCGGCGGTCCCGCGGGGGATGACAACGATGGATCGCAGCACTACTCCGCGAAGGTGTAGGAAGGGAAGAAACTCGCGTGGTGCATCGGCTTCTTTGTCGCTGTTGTGCGGGTACGGAAGAATTGACCAAGCCAGTCATTCGTCTCTCTCGCGCACCAACTTCCTTCTGGTGTCTTTCTCATTTTTAGTGTTTGTGTTTGAATGAGCACTGCAGTGTGTTCATGGCGGATTGCTGTGTGTTGCTGAGTCTGTTTGATGAGGAGAGAGGAGAGGCTGGCGTTAAACAACATCAGATTTGCATGTTCTTGTGGTGGTGGTGATGCTGCGCGTTTCCACGCGCTTTCACGTGTTTGTTGGCAAGGCGCGTAGGGAAGGGGGTTGCTCACATAACACACCACCGTTTTCCTTCATACCCCCCGTATCATCCACAGTTTTTGTGTGCTGTGTACATCACAGTGTCATCCCTCCGGCGAAGGAAGGTGCTATGCGAGGGAACTGCCGTTGCGGCTGTAGCTGTCTTTTTTTTTTGTTCTTTTGAACAACGGTAGAGTAGCGCGAGAGAGGTGTCGACGACGCATTTTCGTTGACCTATCCTGGCAGGCAGTCTGCCTGTGCGGTGCTGCGTGTTCCCTCTCGGCCTTCTCACTGCTTCCCTGACCTTCCCACCTCTCGCAGAGCGGAACGTTCTTCGCCGAGTAGCTCACGGACAACCAAGCAGCCACAAACAACGTTCTTCTTATCCGCTCAAAGAAGCGCGGCTCGTGGGGAAGACCTGTGCAGCTATGCGAGAGCCACAAGCAAGGGACCGCTTTTATCATCCGCCGACGACACAATTAGCCGTTTAAAACTTGCATGGGGCAGCCACACCTCTGCTTTCTGTACCGCTGCTCCTAGAACCGAATCCGTCGAGAGCACCGTTCTGCCCGGGTGTTTGCTTTCGCTCAAACAAGGACTAACTCCTCTCTTCCCCTACTGGCACCACCGGCTCACCATCATGCGATTTCTCATATTATTACCATTGTTTCTCTTTTCATTCCCCCCCCCCCTCCTCCCCATGCTCGCTTCCGCGCCCCACTTTTCTTCTCCGCGACATCACCGCGCACAGAGTAATCTCTCTAAGACCTGTGTTCCCTCCGTCTTTCAGCGACGCGTCTTTTTTCACTATTTTCCTAAACCTCATTTTAACCCTTCGTAAATTCAAAGAATAACATACCTCTTTTTCCACACCTCAGCATCAGCAATGCCGTCGAAAGCGTGCGGATGGGGTGCGGTGTCGGCCAAGAGCCCGCTGCAGTACATGGCCATCAAGCGTCGCGACCCGCGGCCCAACGATGTGAGCATCAAGATCGAGTACTGCGGTGTATGCCACAGCGACCTGCACACGGTGCGCAACGAATGGGCCGGCACGACGTTCCCGATGATCCCCGGACACGAGATCGTGGGCCACGTGACGGCGGTGGGCAGCAAGGTGGCCAAGTACAAGGTGGGCGACCGCGTCGGCGTGGGCTGCATGGTGGACTCGTGCCTGAAGTGCAAGGAGTGCTGCGAGGGCCTGGAGAACTACTGCGCGAACGGTAACACCCAAACCTACAATTCGCAGACGGAGGACGGTATGACGATGGGTGGCTACACGGACCACGTCGTGGTGCGCGAGGAGTTCGTGCTGCGCATCCCCGACAACCTGGACCTGTGCGCCGCCGCGCCGCTGCTGTGCGCTGGCATCACGACGTACTCGCCGCTGCGTCACTGGGGGGTGAAGTCGGGCAGCCACGTGGGCGTGGTGGGCCTTGGCGGCCTGGGCCACATGGCCGTGAAGCTGGCGCACGCCATGGGTGCCGAGGTGACGGTGTTCACGACATCGGCCAACAAGGTGGAGGCGGCGAAGCAGCTCGGTGCGCACAACGTGGTCATCTCCAAGGACCCCGCGCAGATGGCCGCCTACAAACGCAAGCTGGATCTCATCATCGACACTGTTGGCACCGCGCACGACCTGGCCCCGTATGTGGACACGCTCAAGGTGGACGGCACCCACGTGCTGGTCGGCGCACCCGAGCACCCGCACCCGGCGCTGCAGCCCTTCCAGTTGATCCTGGCTCGCAGGAGCGTCGCCGGCTCCTGCATCGGCGGCATCGCCGAGACGCAGGAGATGCTGGACTTCTGCGGCAAGCACAACATCGTGTGCGATGTGGAGAAGATCGACATCTCCTACATCAACGAGGCCTACGAGCGCATGCTGAAGAGCGACGTCCACTACCGCTTCGTCATCGATCTCGCCACCCTGAAGCAGCAGTAGAGGCGCTTGTTTTGTTGCCGGTGGTCGTGTCACACTGCTGGTATTCGATGCTTCTTCAACGTATGGTGCCGCAATCGTTCATGTGCGACAACGTCCAGCTGTGCATCTCAATTATGTTTTCTTGCTTCACCGGATTCCCCCTCCCCACCTTTGTGTGAGAGGACACTCCGACGCACGTTTGTCGGTGTGACACAAGGGGGTTCTTCCTGTTGGGTACACCCTCGAGCGGTACTTAGCCACGTTTCGTTCTCCGACCACGTTGTTTTCCACTCGAATAGCTTTTGTTGTTCTTCTCTTCTTTCTCTTTTGCTGATCCTACCTGCCGTTCTCTGTACATACGTCAGCTCTTCACTGGAGACATTTGACGTAGAACGGCCGACGGATCTTTAACATCGTTTGTCTAAGTTACATACAGAAATCCATGTTTCCAACGTCTTTTCTTTATATATACTTTGGGCCAGCGCGTTCGTCTACTGCTGTAATGATAACGGTGCCGCTCCAAGAAGTCCACGAAGAACGTGACGCTTCAGGAGGGCCGAGAGCGGTGAGGCGCACGAAGCGCCGCGACACTCATCAGGGGTCACAATAATATACATTCATAAGTTGGGTTCGTATTAACTCTAGTTCTTGCAGAAATACACTCCTCTATATATATAAGGTTTTCTTGTTTTCTTCCCTGTCTTGTACTGCGTTCTGTGGGAATTGTTTCTGCGGTACGCGGTTGGCCTGAGCGCTGAGCGCTACGTTGTGAGCCATTTGCTTCGGCTTTGTGTGCGTGCGAGAATCCACACTGTTCTCTCAACCTCTCCGTATCGGTGCTGTTGCACCTTAGCGGAACTCCTGTTGGTATACGCTGCGCAAGGCGTGAAAAATAATGTCATATTCAGTAGAGAGATGACCACCATAATCGTGACCTGCAAGATTGATCTGTAGTTGAAGAACCTTTAGTTGCCGGCAGGGGAGCAAGAAGTAGTTACATTGCAGTCCATGTCGCCCGTTTTTTTTTGTTGTTGAGATGCTTTGCTCTCTGTCACGCGCTGACGAACTCTGTTGTGCGTTGGTGAGTGGCGTGCACACACACACACACACACACACACACACTCGCCGCACCAAGAAGACGCTGTCCCTTTGTTTTTTTCTGCTGAGATGCTCCTTCCGCCTACTTCACTGTGAACCCTACGTTTCACCATTTTCCCTTCACTTTCGTAAAAGAAATATACCGTTATTACCTGCTGAGTCCTGTGCAACTGCTATTCAGTCACCTAGCACACACACACACACACACACACACATCGGTTTTCACCAGTCCCTGAAACTAGAGGCCTTCCACCTTATTGTGGCAGAACTGACACGATGCCGCAGAGCCACAGCGCGGAGAAGCAGCGCCACGTGCGTCTCACGGTGCACATGCTCGTCAGCTTGGATGGAAAGACGAACGGCGACGTTCTTGAGACACCACACCACGCACAGTTGATGTCGGAGTACTATCGTGTGGATAACGAGTTCCTTAAACCCCAGACGCAAGTGTGTCTGTGCGGACGCAACTCGATTGGGCCTCATGCCTCGCTGGAGAATCCAAACAACTATCCGGCCCTGGACAAGGCGGGCGATCGCAGCGACTTCCACGCCGATTTGGAGACGAACCCCGCACCAGCTGGGAACCACTATTTCACCGCGATTGACCCCCACGGTCGTCTTGGCTGGAAGGTGAATACCGTCTACATAAAAGATTTTCCCTTTTACAACGGTGACCGCATCGTCGAGGTGCTTGTGGAGGACTTCGTGACGGACGAGTTCCTCGCGCAGCTGCGCAAGGTGAACGTGCCGTACATCTTCGGCAAGTCCGCGCTGGACTGCCGCCTGGCGCTGGAGAAGCTGGGCAAGCTGTTCAAGACGGACACTGTGGTGTGCCACGGCGGCGGCACGGTCAACGGCAGCTTCCTCGAACAGGGTGCGGTGGACCACCTCAGCCTCATTTTGCTACCAGCGGTGAGCGGTGACCCGGACGCCGTTTCCCTGTTCAATCCGATGCCCGGAAAGAAGCTGCCTATTGCTGAGTTTGACCTGGAGCACGTGGAGAAGCTTGTTGACGGTGGTCTCTGGCTCCGGTACAACCGCAAAGCGTAACCTACTGCGTCGCTTTGCGCTCCAATGTTTGTTTTCTATTGTACTCACTGAAACCGTATGTTTCATCCCTGGTTCTCTACATAATCTGAGTGCCTGTGAAGACGCTCAAGGCATGGGAGAACCGCTGCCTGGCAGCGTTATTAGCCACTGCAATCGATGCTCTGCGTGCCCCATCGCGCCACTGCGTCACACCCTCATCCTCCACTTTCCTCTGCTCGCTGACATCCACCTACGTGCCACACATGTTTCCCGTGGTCGTTTCATTTTTCAAACGGGAAGGGTTCTGTGGCGCTTCATTAGGAAAGCAGTGGTCGTTTGCTCGTTCAGCAACAACGGCAAGAAAGAAAACGGTTGGGGGAGGGGGGATCGGATGCTCTCAACCAACGTCTCCGTCAACGTGTGCTCTACGCCGTTGCTGGGACGTGGAAGGGGAGAGACGACGGCATCTCATCTTTTCAACCCCTCCTCCCCTTTTCTCGTAGGGGCCCCCAGTGCCCTCTATTTCTTGCCTGCTGCACGGCGCGCGAATTGTATGTGTCGCTCATCATATTGACATCCTGTCTGCAATGAACACTCTTTCTTCTACTTTCGCAGTTCTTTTCGGACACGAAGTGTGGTGTCCGGAACGATGCACGCACGAGGTCTGCAGCGGGGGCGTCTCTCCGCCTGCGCGGCCTTGCCTGCAATTGCACCCGAAGTGGCGGATGCCTACCGCCGAGCGCTGGCTCCTCTTCGAGCCTTTCCTGCGCACGAGGGAAAGGATATGTGCTTCCCGGTGACGACGCTGATCAGAGGGAGAGCAACCTGCGCGAGATCGTACTCCAGCGCCTCGCCGCACGCTTTTTCCTTCCGTTGCAGCTTTGCATGTTCCGTTTCTTTTAGCTGCGTGTTGAAGCACCTCGCCTTTCTTCGCCCTCCTTTGCCTCTCGTCCCCTTCCCTCTGGTGTGCCCTCTGTCTGGCCTTTGCGTTGTGGTAAGAATGAGAATAGCACGAGCCTCTCCGTGCCCTTCGTTGCATCTGATTTCTACGCTGAACACTAAAAGCCACTCAACGCCTTCTTTGCTGCTTTGTTGCTTTGCTGCTCTTGCATTCTCGATCAAGACCTGCGCTACAAACGAGCTTCCAAATGACTTCTCCCCCCACCGTCACCGTTGCCATCCAGATGGGGATGAGCCTGGATGGTAAAATCAGCGGCGATTTCATCCGAGTCCCGAACGCGCGCGCGTTCGCCCGTGCCGCCTACCGTATCGACAACGAGTACTTCAAGCCCAAGACGCAGGTGTGCCTGGTCGGGCGCCAGTCCATGGAGACCTTTGCAGACCTGGAGTCCCCTGAGAACTACCCCGTCTCCGACCGGAAGGGCGATCGCAGCGACTTCCACGCCGACTTGGAGACGAACCCCGCACCTCCCGGCAACCATTACCAGGCCTGGGTGGACCCGCACGGTCGCCTTGGCTGGAAGATGAACATTCGACACATCGAGAGGTTTACCTTTCCTTTTTGCGATTGCTGTTGGTGCTGTCGTCGTTGTAACGATCACGAACATACTACGATAGTGGTAGAAGTTGGAGAGAGAAGAGCTTATGGTAAATAAATAAGAGAAATTGATAAGAGAAATTGAGAAGATAAATAGAAATTACGATTCCGTTTTTTAAGGTTACGTACAACGGATATAATAATGTCACACGGGTGGTGACCAGGGCTGTTGCTCACGCCTTGCGTGTGTAGCGCAGCCACACGCACCCAGCATCCAGCTTCTCCACGTGCTCCAGGTCAAACTCCTTCATCTGAAGCTTCTTGCCAGGCATCGGATTGAACAGGGAAACGGCGTCCGGGTCACCACACACCACCGGCATCAGCACCAAGCTGAGCTGGCTCACCAAGCCCTCATCCAGCAGCGAGCCAGCGAGGGTGCCGCCGCCGTGGCACACCACAGTGTCCGTCTTGAACAGCTTGCCCAGCTTCTCCAGCGCCAGGCGGCAGTCCAGCGCGGACTTGCCAGCAAAGATGTACGGCACGTTCACCTTGCGCAGCTGCGCGAGGAACTCGTCCGTCACGAAGTCCTCCACAAGCACCTCGACGATGCGGTCACCGTTGTAATACCACCAAAATGGCAAGTCGTATGTCCACCTATTTTTTCTACCCTCAGTGAACTCGCCGACGCACGCTTCATATTTTCGTGCGCTGCTCGGCGATGTGTGTGGAACAGAACCTGCCGAATAATGTCGACCGCACGGCGCCCAGCACAGCCGAGTGCCCCCGCATTTGTTTTTGCGTCGCGGCGCCGTCCGCTTCTCGTGCTTGCCGTTGCGCTTTCCCGCTTCTCTCCATGTCGCTGCCCTCTGTATTTTTTTCTACTCCCTTCTTCGTCTCTTCAGGCTTTCGCACAGCAGACTTGCTTCACGCCACTCCAACGCCTTTCGCCTTCTCTCCTTTCCACCATGCCCTCCCACTCCTCTCCGGCCCTGACGGTGCACATGCTCGTCAGCTTGGATGGAAAGACGAACGGCGACGTTCTTGAGACACCACACCACGCACAGTTGATGTCGGAGTACTATCGTGTGGATAACGAGTTCCTTAAACCCCAGACGCAAGTGTGTCTGTGCGGACGCAACTCGATTGGGCCTCATGCCTCGCTGGAGAATCCAAACAACTATCCGGCCCTGGACAAGGCGGGCGATCGCAGCGACTTCCACGCCGATTTGGAGACGAACCCCGCACCAGCTGGGAACCACTATTTCACCGCGATTGACCCCCACGGTCGTCTTGGCTGGAAGGTGAATACCGTCTACATAAAAGATTTTCCCTTTTACAACGGTGACCGCATCGTCGAGGTGCTTGTGGAGGACTTCGTGACGGACGAGTTCCTCGCGCAGCTGCGCAAGGTGAACGTGCCGTACATCTTCGGCAAGTCCGCGCTGGACTGCCGCCTGGCGCTGGAGAAGCTGGGCAAGCTGTTCAAGACGGACACTGTGGTGTGCCACGGCGGCGGCACGGTCAACGGCAGCTTCCTCGAACAGGGTGCGGTGGACCACCTCAGCCTCATTTTGCTACCAGCGGTGAGCGGTGACCCGGACGCCGTTTCCCTGTTCAATCCGATGCCCGGAAAGAAGCTGCCTATTGCTGAGTTTGACCTGGAGCACGTGGAGAAGCTTGTTGACGGTGGTCTCTGGCTCCGGTACAACCGCAAAGCGTAACCTACTGCGTCGCTTTGCGCTCCAATGTTTGTTTTCTATTGTACTCACTGAAACCGTATGTTTCATCCCTGGTTCTCTACATAATCTGAGTGCCTGTGAAGACGCTCAAGGCATGGGAGAACCGCTGCCTGGCAGCGTTATTAGCCACTGCAATCGATGCTCTGCGTGCCCCATCGCGCCACTGCGTCACACCCTCATCCTCCACTTTCCTCTGCTCGCTGACATCCACCTACGTGCCACACATGTTTCCCGTGGTCGTTTCATTTTTCAAACGGGAAGGGTTCTGTGGCGCTTCATTAGGAAAGCAGTGGTCGTTTGCTCGTTCAGCAACAACGGCAAGAAAGAAAACGGTTGGGGGAGGGGGGATCGGATGCTCTCAACCAACGTCTCCGTCAACGTGTGCTCTACGCCGTTGCTGGGACGTGGAAGGGGAGAGACGACGGCATCTCATCTTTTCAACCCCTCCTCCCCTTTTCTCGTAGGGGCCCCCAGTGCCCTCTATTTCTTGCCTGCTGCACGGCGCGCGAATTGTATGTGTCGCTCATCATATTGACATCCTGTCTGCAATGAACACTCTTTCTTCTACTTTCGCAGTTCTTTTCGGACACGAAGTGTGGTGTCCGGAACGATGCACGCACGAGGTCTGCAGCGGGGGCGTCTCTCCGCCTGCGCGGCCTTGCCTGCAATTGCACCCGAAGTGGCGGATGCCTACCGCCGAGCGCTGGCTCCTCTTCGAGCCTTTCCTGCGCACGAGGGAAAGGATATGTGCTTCCCGGTGACGACGCTGATCAGAGGGAGAGCAACCTGCGCGAGATCGTACTCCAGCGCCTCGCCGCACGCTTTTTCCTTCCGTTGCAGCTTTGCATGTTCCGTTTCTTTTAGCTGCGTGTTGAAGCACCTCGCCTTTCTTCGCCCTCCTTTGCCTCTCGTCCCCTTCCCTCTGGTGTGCCCTCTGTCTGGCCTTTGCGTTGTGGTAAGAATGAGAATAGCACGAGCCTCTCCGTGCCCTTCGTTGCATCTGATTTCTACGCTGAACACTAAAAGCCACTCAACGCCTTCTTTGCTGCTTTGTTGCTTTGCTGCTCTTGCATTCTCGATCAAGACCTGCGCTACAAACGAGCTTCCAAATGACTTCTCCCCCCACCGTCACCGTTGCCATCCAGATGGGGATGAGCCTGGATGGTAAAATCAGCGGCGATTTCATCCGAGTCCCGAACGCGCGCGCGTTCGCCCGTGCCGCCTACCGTATCGACAACGAGTACTTCAAGCCCAAGACGCAGGTGTGCCTGGTCGGGCGCCAGTCCATGGAGACCTTTGCAGACCTGGAGTCCCCTGAGAACTACCCCGTCTCCGACCGGAAGGGCGATCGCAGCGACTTCCACGCCGACTTGGAGACGAACCCCGCACCTCCCGGCAACCATTACCAGGCCTGGGTGGACCCGCACGGTCGCCTTGGCTGGAAGATGAACATTCGACACATCGAGAGGTTTACCTTTCCTTTTTGCGATTGCTGTTGGTGCTGTCGTCGTTGTAACGATCACGAACATACTACGATAGTGGTAGAAGTTGGAGAGAGAAGAGCTTATGGTAAATAAATAAGAGAAATTGATAAGAGAAATTGAGAAGATAAATAGAAATTACGATTCCGTTTTTTAAGGTTACGTACAACGGATATAATAATGTCACACGGGTGGTGACCAGGGCTGTTGCTCACGCCTTGCGTGTGTAGCGCAGCCACACGCACCCAGCATCCAGCTTCTCCACGTGCTCCAGGTCAAACTCCTTCATCTGAAGCTTCTTGCCAGGCATCGGATTGAACAGGGAAACGGCGTCCGGGTCACCACACACCACCGGCATCAGCACCAAGCTGAGCTGGCTCACCAAGCCCTCATCCAGCAGCGAGCCAGCGAGGGTGCCGCCGCCGTGGCACACCACAGTGTCCGTCTTGAACAGCTTGCCCAGCTTCTCCAGCGCCAGGCGGCAGTCCAGCGCGGACTTGCCAGCAAAGATGTACGGCACGTTCACCTTGCGCAGCTGCGCGAGGAACTCGTCCGTCACGAAGTCCTCCACAAGCACCTCGACGATGCGGTCACCGTTGTAATACCACCAAAATGGCAAGTCGTATGTCCACCTATTTTTTCTACCCTCAGTGAACTCGCCGACGCACGCTTCATATTTTCGTGCGCTGCTCGGCGATGTGTGTGGAACAGAACCTGCCGAATAATGTCGACCGCACGGCGCCCAGCACAGCCGAGTGCCCCCGCATTTGTTTTTGCGTCGCGGCGCCGTCCGCTTCTCGTGCTTGCCGTTGCGCTTTCCCGCTTCTCTCCATGTCGCTGCCCTCTGTATTTTTTTCTACTCCCTTCTTCGTCTCTTCAGGCTTTCGCACAGCAGACTTGCTTCACGCCACTCCAACGCCTTTCGCCTTCTCTCCTTTCCACCATGCCCTCCCACTCCTCTCCGGCCCTGACGGTGCACATGCTCGTCAGCTTGGATGGAAAGACGAACGGCGACGTTCTTGAGACACCACACCACGCACAGTTGATGTCGGAGTACTATCGTGTGGATAACGAGTTCCTTAAACCCCAGACGCAAGTGTGTCTGTGCGGACGCAACTCGATTGGGCCTCATGCCTCGCTGGAGAATCCAAACAACTATCCGGCCCTGGACAAGGCGGGCGATCGCAGCGACTTCCACGCCGATTTGGAGACGAACCCCGCACCAGCTGGGAACCACTATTTCACCGCGATTGACCCCCACGGTCGTCTTGGCTGGAAGGTGAATACCGTCTACATAAAAGATTTTCCCTTTTACAACGGTGACCGCATCGTCGAGGTGCTTGTGGAGGACTTCGTGACGGACGAGTTCCTCGCGCAGCTGCGCAAGGTGAACGTGCCGTACATCTTCGGCAAGTCCGCGCTGGACTGCCGCCTGGCGCTGGAGAAGCTGGGCAAGCTGTTCAAGACGGACACTGTGGTGTGCCACGGCGGCGGCACGGTCAACGGCAGCTTCCTCGAACAGGGTGCGGTGGACCACCTCAGCCTCATTTTGCTACCAGCGGTGAGCGGTGACCCGGACGCCGTTTCCCTGTTCAATCCGATGCCCGGAAAGAAGCTGCCTATTGCTGAGTTTGACCTGGAGCACGTGGAGAAGCTTGTTGACGGTGGTCTCTGGCTCCGGTACAACCGCAAAGCGTAACCTACTGCGTCGCTTTGCGCTCCAATGTTTGTTTTCTATTGTACTCACTGAAACCGTATGTTTCATCCCTGGTTCTCTACATAATCTGAGTGCCTGTGAAGACGCTCAAGGCATGGGAGAACCGCTGCCTGGCAGCGTTATTAGCCACTGCAATCGATGCTCTGCGTGCCCCATCGCGCCACTGCGTCACACCCTCATC